CTTTATAAGATATTTATATACAATTAATAAACATATCAAAATATACTCATCAAAACTAAACTATACTATACAAACAAGTCAAATAACTATAAACAAATCCAAAAAAAGAGAAAATCTAAACCTAAAAATAAAAAACTTTACATTAGAACTTTAAGATACAGAGAATATTATTTCTAATAAAAAATCGAAAAACAAACCTTACAAAATATAAAAGATATAAGAATCTTTATTTGAATTATTATAAGATATTACTATTTTTGAATATTCGAAAATTATAATTCCTAATATATTTAAAATTAATAATATTCAATAATTCAATAAAAACAATAAAAAAAATATTATTGAAATTAATTCTTCTACAAAATTAATTTTATTTTTAGAAATAAAAAAGATAGAGATACTAAATATAGCATTTACAATTAACAAATCTTTAATCAAGGCTTTAATTATATATATAAATATAGATTCTCTTGAAAAATACTTTTTTCAAAAATACAAACGAAATGATAATAAATTAAATAAGTATATCCAAAAACTAATAAAAGTAATAATAGTAATACTTTTAACAAACCCAAATAAAAATATTATTGAATATATTATAATCTTTATACTTTTTATATTAAAAATTGATTCGAGTATTAAAACAAAATTATTCAAAAATCTTTAATTAATTTTAAAAAGTTTGATAAATAAGGATATAGTTTTCCTTGTAGAACAAATTCTAGATATTCTTATTTCTATTATATATAATTAGGTAGTCTCGAATCCTGAATATAGAAAAAAATGAAAATAAATTATTAAAAAGGAAATCAGTTTATTGGTTACAAATAGTACTTGAAAAGAATATATTCTATTAAAAGAAGAAAATCTTATTTTAATTAAATAGGTATTTATAATAAAAACAAAAAATAATAAGATTAAAAGATTCAAAGTATAATTAGTAGTAAAAGGTTTTAGTTAAATTCTTAGAAAAAATTATAATAAAATATTTGTTTTTATAATACAGCTTAATATATTTTATTTATTCTTAATAATTACTATAAAAGAAAACTTAGAATACTAACACTTTAATATAAAGAATACTTTTATAAAATCCTATTTCAAAAAAAAAATATACCTTACATTATCTTAAGAAATTAATATATTAGATGAATATATTTTATATATACTACAAAGTTTGTATAGCCTCAAACAAGCTGGATGAGATTAAAATCAACTTTTAAAATCCAAATTGATTAATTGAGACTTTACTCAAAGTCTTATTGATTTATATTTATATATATATACTACTTAACAATTTAATCTATTAATTTATATTGATAATATAATTATTTTTTTGATCTCAAAAAATTAACTCAATTAATTCTCTATAATATTTTCCTTATATTTCAATATTAAGAATTTGAGGGAAATTAATAAAATTTTAAATATTAGGATTATAAAAAATCAAGTAAATAGATTATTTACATTAAATTAAGAAGAATATCTGAAAATTATACTTATCAAATTCGGAATCTTATATACTTAGTATTATACTAAAAAAATATCTACCACTAATTATTTATATCTATAATCTACTATAAAAAACAATGAATTAATTAATATTATTGAATATCAATAAATCATAGATAGTTTTATTTATTTAATAGTATACATAAAACCAGACATCTCCTTTGTACTAGGTTGGCTATCACAATATATAACAAAACCAGTGAAATGTTATAAAATAGGAATAAAGAACTTAATATAATACCTAAAAGCTACAATTATTTAGAAACTCAAATATAAACCTAAAAAAATATAATACCAAATTGCAAAGGAGTATAATCTATTAGTAAATATTATAAAAGTTTTTATTAATATAAACTAAATAAGTAATTAATATAATCAAAAAAATATTTTTGGGGGAGTTATTATATTTTATAAAGAATCAATATTGTAAACTAATAAAAAATAGAATTCAATAATAATATTAAATATTAAGTTTGAATATATATTAATAATAATATTCATTAAGTAAAGAAAATAGTTAGCTCAAATATTCAAAAATCTTAAAAAGATAGAATATATATCTGTATATAGAAATATTATTTAATTATTAGATAATAATCAAAAAATAATAGTTTTAATTAAAAATTTGTATTTATATAAATAATCAAAGTATATTAATATATATTATTATTTTATTAGGAATTTTATTAAAAAAGAAAAGGTAATAATTAGTTATATTAATATATTAGATATAATAGTAGATAAAATAACCAAACCTTTAATAAGAGTAGTATTCGAAAGGTTTAAAGAAATATTAAAATTGAGATAATAAAAATATAGAGGATTAAAGAGATTGAAAATAATAACTCCTATAGGAAAATATTAAAAGAAATAAAAATTACTAATATTAATTATGTACTATAATTAATAATATAATTACCTAAATAGGCTAGATTAAACAAATTATAGACAGATATATTGGTCCCCTCAAAGAAAAGCAAGATGGGATTAAGATGTCTATACACATAGTAATATAGTCAATATAGAGGCCTCTTCCACCCAATCTTTTAATATTTCTCTTCTTTTTTCGTATTGAATTATATTATATTTCTTATTATTTAATATTCTTTTATATTCTTTTATTATTTAATCAGGAAAGTCTTTAACTAATTTTATATATATTATAGGATTAATAGTATATATATAATTTGTAGATATATATAAAGATTAATAAGGATTTGTATATAAGTAATAACTAGCTTTATACCTCCGGTGAGATATAATATTTAATTTTATTATACCCAGTAATATATAATAAAAGAATTATTATATATCTGGTGATGTGTAATATTGATATTATATGTGTTTAGTGATATATAATGAAAGAGCTTATTTATATTTAGTAATATATAATGAGAGGGTTTATTTATATTTAATAATATATAATATTAATGATATATATATTCAGTAATATGTGTACTTCTTTTTATATTATCTAATAGTACGATAAGAGTATTATATATATATATGGGTGTATATATATATTTTTAGAATTTGAATAAAGATTTAAGATTGATGTAAATTTGTATTAGTATGTAGAATCGTTTATATAATGTATAAGATATCTTGATTAAATGAATTTCTTTATATTCTTTGCTTTTAGATGCGAAGTCGATTGTCTTTCGGCTTTTTCACTCTTTTCTTGCTTTTTCGATGTATATTTCAATATGTATTTCGATGTGCATATGCTTCTTTTTAATTGTATATATAAGTTACCGGGCTTATAACCTATTGTAGATTATAGGCTAATAATATGTAATATGAAAACTAGCTCTGATTAACGACTAAAATGGATTATATAAGCAGTGTGATATATAATATTAATAAATCTGTATTTAATAATAATCTCTCTTATTTTATATTCAAAAGGAAAAAGACCTCTTTTTATGCTTTTTCCTACTAATTTAGCTTTTCCGCTTTTATTAATCTCTTATAAATCTCTTTCTAATCTGTTCATTCTTTCGAAATAAAGCTCTTTTTTGTTTTCTTTATTTTACAGCTGTTTTCGTATTTAATGGTCGTTTTCGGATTGATAGTCGTTTTCGGATTGATAGTCGTTTTCGGATTAATGGTTGCTTTCGTAAGCTTATAAGCAATGATCATATGATCTGATTATATAATAGGCTAATATCAGATTGAATGCCTTTAAAAAGATATATATATTATATTATTTTTTAATTAAAACAATAGTATTAAATAGACTTAGTAAGATATATATACAAAGTATATAGAATAAAAAGATATTATAATTTTGTTTACGCTCTTTATATAAAGAGGGATTACTAATCTATATATCTATCTGTATATAGTTGAAGTAAATTTTAAAACCCCCTAATCAATCAATTTTAGCGCCGAGTACAAAGTTGAATAAATACTAAACTCTAGGTGTTTCAGAGACAGCCAAATCTGCCTAATACTCTCCCCTCCCTGGGTTTGAAGGCAAAAAGGTGGCTGTGACAGAAGGAAAGTGGAGACTGAAGGGAGTGCTTTCCTGTATGTTAGTAATTAAGTGGAGTATAAAAAGATCATCTCCTCTAGTACCCCTTTATCCACCCACGTAAGCAATGTATCTTCTGTGGCACCTGCTTAATTCTCTGTGTTAAACCCGGGGGGGAACCAATTGAAAAAAGCGGACCACTAAACTTTATTTCAATAACCTTACCACTTTTAATCCGAACAATCCGGGCTTTATAATTGGGACTGATGTTGTATGGTAAAGGATTCGAATTGCTTGATAATGTAGTAATACAGTGAAGATTACACAGCTACAGATTTGTGAAGAATTGAGTACAGTCGATTACCACCGGCAATGCTTAGGGCACCAGACGTATATCATAGGAATAAATTTGATCATAACAAGCAAGCTTTAATCTTTTTGAAGCTAAAGACTTGTTTTATAGGGATTTTAAAAACACTTATGTATATAATTTAATATTATTGAGGTATAAGGGATAATCAGATTAACTTTCTTCTTCTTGTAATACTCTGTAATTCACCGCAAGATTGATAGCGTCTCCCTCCTGTAGGTACTAAGATTCAGGCTGTTAGGCTGCACAATCGGTTTACCAAGCACTATTATCCTAAAAACCTTTACTTGCAAGGCTGAGAAGTCCAGAGGGTATCTATCCATTACGACAACGGCAATGCTGTTCCTATTCCTTTTCAAACTAGGGCGGTAAAGATCAAGATTCAGGGCAGTGAACAAGGATGCAAGACAATCGCATGAGCTGCGTTATTACGAGCTGTCGGTGAGGTACTAGTGACATGATTTTCGGTCGTATTCGGTGCGAATGCGAACTCTATATCGAGATACAAACCGATGCACTACAGTCGTCTTAATCTCCTTTTTACAAGAATTCCTAGTATATAACAGAGAAAAGGCGGCTCATCCTCAAAACCCATAGTTCTCCTTTACAAGATCGACTGCGTTCTTTAGAATAATCTTAACCATGAGAAACTATTGCCTAACTACTACAGCACTCCTTGCCACTCAGGTGCTCGCCTCAATCAATGGAGGGTTAACAAATGAGACAACTTGCGTATGATTCTCAGCTCCATAGTCCAACTGCCTTTTTATTACGCCGCAGTTTACACCACAGTTCTCATCGGAAATTTCGCTGACAAACATTAGTGCAACATTCTCCAGAGTCAACTTGGCGGGAAAGTTTTCATCCGTGACAATATCAATCTCACCACCGTCATAGAGAATTACTGGTCAGCCCAGCCACAAGAGCAGAATCCGGCCTGTGTCGTTCTGCCCACGACTTCAGCAGACGTCTCAACAGCTGTGCAGATCTTGAGCATGGGACTAAAACACGGCCTGAGCAATTGCCACTTTGCTATTCGCAGCGGAGGGTTAGTTAGACATCAACTAAAAGACTCTGAAGCTGACCAAACACCGGTAGACATACACCCGATGCAAATATCAATAATATTGATGATGGGGTCACCTTGGACCTCCAGAATCTGAATGTTGTGCAGCCAAATGCCGCGAAGACCCTAGTGGCCGTTGGCCCTGGGAACCGGTGGTCTGATGTTTACACAGTCCTGGATCCTTTGAACCTAACTGTTGCTGGCGGTCGCTCTGAAACTGTAGGTGTTGGCGGACTATTGCTAAGTGGTAAGATTTTTGCTGTTCAGACTTGCCTTGTGAAATTTTCTAAAAATGTGAAATAGGCGGCATGTCGTTCTGGTCAGCTCAACATGGTATGGCTTGGTAAGTCGTTCACTTGTATAATCTCTTTTTCGATACTGATAATTCGAGTAGTGATAATGTCTATAACTACGAGGTATATAACACGCTTGCTAAACATTCACGATACCGCCAAGATATGTTCTAACGTGGGTCTAGATTGTGCTAGCCAATGGCTCAATCGTTAATGCTAATGCGACTTCCCACCCGAGTCTATATCGAGCGTTAAAGGGAGGCTCAAATAACTTTGGAGTCGTCACTCGCTTTGATCTACGAGCCATCGAAACCGGGCTCTTCTGGGGAGGCCTCGCATCATATAATAGTTCGTCACTTCCCGCGCTCGTCAAGGCATATACAGAGTTTAGCAAAAGCGAGAACTACGATCCAGCTTCTCAAATTACACTTCTTCACGGAATTTATCATAATACAAGCATCGTTATGATGCATCAACATTACACGAAGTCGATCGTCTCACCACCCGAGGCTGTCTTTGCCAAATTCGGCGGAGACACGACGAACACTTTTCGAGTTGACAGCCTTCTGAACTTCACTATTGAGTTGGCCGCACCAACAGACAACGGCACTGTTAGAAAGGCTTTTGCCACCACGACATTCAAGAACAACGCCAAAAACTTACAAGGGTTTGTAGACATGTGCAACGCTACCATAGCCAGCCTTATATCTATTCCCGAGCTACAGTTCACCTCAAGCTACCAGCCCTTTGGACAGTACATCAGCTCTCATGCAAAAGATACTGGAGGCAATCTTCTCGGTCTAGATGCAAGCGATGGTGATAGAGTGTTGGTTGGCCTAACAGTACAGTGGCAAGGCGCTGAAAATGACGACATAATGACTAGCGCTATACAGCAGCTCATCAAGGATGGAAACGAGCTAGCAGTCAGTTTGGGCGCTGATGATGATTATATATTCATGAATTATGCATCCAAATGGCAGGATGTATATGGTGGGGTTGGTTCGGCTAATTTAGAGGAGCTCAGGAGGGTCAGCCTGAAATACGACCCGATGCAAGTGTTTCAAAAAGGAGTTCCGGGAGGGTTCAAATTATTTAACTGAGGAGTCCGCGTAAAACCAGTATAAACTGGATCCCGGGGCTTATGGGTTAGATTATAAGTAGAGAGTTTCACTATCAGAGTTCGGCATTCAAATTGTAATAGTGATCTCCCCTTTATTGTCTTCATTTCTCACTTCTCACTCTATACATATACACAAATCATGACGTTCGGGTTCGGGCTCGGGTTCGGCTGGCTGGAACAACTTGTGACACTTTGCCTTAAGAGAACTACATTAGCAGGGTACATTTTATCCTTGAAATCTACAACTATAGAATAGGAAGCGTAGCGCTCGTAGAGCGCTCATTTACACTAGCTATGTGCACGTGAGCGATTGAATTACAATTGAGTCCAATCCGCGATAGAAACGACTACGCGTAGCTATTCATAAATTCTATCAATCTTAAATTCCCCAAAATAACGAATCAATAATACTCCCTACAAAGACATAAACTTAACCCCCCTCAATAAGATATCACTCCTTACTATTACTCTATTATCGATATCAACAATATTGTGTTCGATATCTTTTACAAATCTTCTAAAAATATTTTCATTATATTAATGTCCAATTCTCGATTTAAATATATCATAAGTAGGTGATATAGAAATCTAATAATAAAAAAGTAAGATTTTTAAAGTCTATATAATTATAAAGAATCGAGTACAACTAGTTACCACTATAATGCCCCACGTGCCTCGCCTAATTTCCGTTTCTTCGAGACTATTAAGGCTAATAACAATTATTTTATTAATACACTAAAATTAAAATTCTGCCTAAATGTTACGGAGGTACCCGCACTGTAACATAAATTATAAGATAAACCTAAGAATATAGTATCAAAATCTATTAAAATAGTATTAAAGAAATAATAGAATTAAAAAGTAATTAAAGATAATAATAACCAAATAAATAAACAATGATTAAAAAATATATATTTATCTTTTGTTAATATTTATTTTATAATAAGTATAGGAAGTATAGTAACTATAAATTAGCTAGTAAATCTAGATTAAATAATAAATATTAGTTATTTAGTAGTACGCTAAGACTAGCGCACCTGCGTACACAGATACATATATAGCCTCTCTATAGTATGAATGAGAACTTCGTCCTTCTTTCATACTATTCCCGTACTAAATAGGTTTCATTATAATATAGAGCTTCATATTTAAAACAATTATTAGTTTTATACTATGATTACAAGAATTACAATTGAATATAACCTTATTAAATTCCTATTTGAAGTTTAGTTTAAATCATTTTAAGAGATTTCTAAATACTTTTACATGACTCTAGAGGCAGCTCCCGTAATATTAAGTTAAAAGCATATATAGTAAAAGGATATATATTTCTAGTTAAATAGGTTATTTATTGTTATATCATTTTGTAACTCCTGTTTTATAATAAAATATTTCTTTTTTCAAATTATTAGTAAGCTAATATCTCTTTTTTCAATAAGTATTAGAATTTCTTTAATTCTTTTTAGTTTTTATATTTTATTCTTATTTATACAATTGCTATAAGTAAGTTTTAAAGTTTATTATTTTTATATAAAAACTTAATTAAGCAATAATATATAGATGGTTATAATACTCTTATAATATGAGTTGAAGTATAATAATATTACTATTATTACTGTTTTATTTAATAAAAAAAAGTAAGATATACTATAAATGATTTCTATAATAATACATAACGAGATTATACTTTGTATAATACAAACTTTTTCTTCAGGATTTGTATGAGCATATTATACAAATTATAGACTATTCTTTTGCGTCAGGCAGAATTCTAATTTTAGTGTATTGGCAAAATGGTTGTTATCGGCCTTGGTAGAGACTCAATTTCATGATTGCCTAAAGCTTGATTCATCAGAACTTCAATTTTTACTTCACCTTGCAAAAGATAGGAAAAGTTGTAGATAAGCAATCTTCCTACGGCATTCAGAATGCAAGATACTGAATTTCAATTTCAGCCTCTCAGCGAGGGCGGCGCAATAAGACTCGACAGGCTTTACTCATCTTCTGATCATGACTCAGATATTCACAGCGAGATTCTTATTATAATACTCTCTGAGCAGTCACTTTGATGCTGCATTTGTGATCCATTGATTGAAACGAAACCGGGGATTATGAAGTGCAGTTTAGTTGACCGGAAATAGAGTAGCTTGCCAGATTTTCCATAAGTGAAAGTACTTAATTTCAGGAAAATAAATTATGGTTAAAATTGCAAAAGTTCAGGTGGACTCAATGCTTGCATTAGTGCTGCGATGTATAGTGCTATTCCACTGTATAGAATATGTATTTCTAAAATGTTCATATAACTACACTATTGAACCCGCGATAGTCGTTTCGTTGTAGTTAGCTCCTGCTCTTCATCATGTAATGTGTTGTTGTCAGTCTTGCTTGCATCTTTCTGTATCTTTCCTAGTGCAATCAGCTCTGCTTCTGCGTGTCGATTCCTGTAAGATGAATCTCAGACTGCTAACTTTAATCCTACTACCTCCCGGGAAAAGAGAATGGGAAGCACTCTATACAACACATCTCCACATCCACTCTCGACTCGAATAACCAATGAGTAGAATTCGTGAGCAGGGAGAGCGTAAGCCCAGCGGTAGAAGCCTAGAATCAGCTCGAATGGATAAATTGTTGCTTCTACATTTATAATCGCCCACGGGAGGACAAAAAACGTAAGAAAGGATACAGGAATAAGAGCAGTAGCTGGATCCAGAATAAGGAAGTTGATATGCATATAAATCCAATATGACATCTATACAAGTGCGAGCTGACTCCCACTGACATCCCAGGACTCTCGGAAGGCCCAAATATAACCGGTCGTTGCAAGGGAGGCGATTAACGTGTACATAATCGAAATAACACGCCTCATCAAGCCAATTCGTGTAGAATTGGAACGGCCATAAATACAAAACTGATTCTTGATGCCATTCAATGCCATGAGGAAGAAAAACTGTTGAATAATAGGTAAGACTACGCTCACGGTATTAGACAAAACACGGGTGCCTTGTTCTGTTGGCTTGATGTTGATGTTAGATGCTTTTATAGGGTTTAAGAAGGGAAGAACTGCGTTTTCGTTGCTTGCGTTGAGTGACGAAATAGCTTGTGATCCGTTGAGAGTATGGTAAACTGAAGATACAGCATCAATAAGATTTCCAGATTTCCAGAGACATCGCCTAGCTGTACAGCCGGATATCGAGCGCCATTGTGAATATAGGTCAAGGTGTCACTCGAGTTGTGTGTACTCGCCGCAGAGCCACCACCCAGAGCCTGAGACAAACGACTCGAGGCTCCCGGTTGAGCAATGATAGCTCCCCAATAATCACCACGGCATACAGCTTTTTAACCTCAATTAGAAAGGGATATTTGGCAGTGGTATGGAATTGAAGGTCGGGAAATTCATCTCCATGGAACTGTTCGTATGCCACTGATAATGCTTCGCCAATGATACCTCCGTCATAGTCAACAGCCAAAATATTCAAGCTATGCGCCCGATAACCGCTTTTGAAAAGGATGCCGTACATGTACGACATCGTTGTGAAAAAGAGGAGGGTGATCATAATTCCAGACATGAGAATGCCTATGCCAAACGGCTTCCTCTTGCCGTTCCAGAATGGATCGCACCATAAAAGTCGCGATGCCATGCTGAGAAGAAGCGGTCTTGGTTTTAAATGAAACGCAATAGGATGCGTAGAGATGGAATGTAGAGATCAATGAGTCAAGAATTTTGAGTCAAGTAAACAGAGTATTTAACAACAAGAGAATCGCGGTTTAATCACACTTATATTCTTTCGACTCGAGGTCTGACATGACATATATAATTTGTACCTGGAATGCGGACATTGTAAGAATGATTGAATGTGGAGAATCTGTCTTTGTAAAGCATGGATGAATTGATTTCAGGGCGGCCTTGAATTCGGCTTTCTCTAGATGATCTGCTCTCGAGCTGCTCTGCTCTGGAAAATGGATAATAAATCTACGGAGCTTTGATTTAATAGTCCCTGATCAATTTTCTAGAACGCTAGAATAATCATGTCAAGCATTATGAACAAATTCTTAGCGTTCCTTGATTGTGTTGGTTACTTAGAGGGAACTAGCGGCCGCCCCCGCTCCGGCTACCCTGGCCTCTTTAATTGCTAACCTTACACCCTGAGCTCGGATATTCCCACTCTTGTGCATAGCATAGGCCGATATACCGATCATAGTGCCCGGAGAAACGACTTTGCCATCCACGACTGACCCATTATGACCTTCACCTAGTACGATGCACGGAAATCTAGTGGTTACTGGTATAGTCACTCGAAGAGCCTCGTGAACGGAAGCTGATTGATAGGGGATTGATTCCAGCTGGGCCAAGCCTAACATTGCATCAGGATCTCACAAGGCTTCCGCTAGAGCCTCCATAAATCCGCTCCACGCGGAGATTACATGCGATGTGCCAAATGCCAAAAGTCAACGTGAAAGCGGTAATCTCCGAATCGGCAATGAGAATGTCCATTACCTCTACAGCAACTTGTTTATCGTCCAACACGGCCTTCTCGTCGTCAAATATGACAAGTAGCTCGCGTTTCTCAGCCTTCTTGTAAGCCTAGTTGTTCGCCTTAGCCACGTGTATCACACTAAACAACCTTAGAGCTGCAAGCTCTTTACTCATTGTAGCGACCGCAGCCTTCGGAGTGCGGTCCCCAACTTTGCACATGATGAGCTGGTAGATCAAGTCCCACAGTCCCAGAGCAGCAGCACCGAGGGGCCACTAGGATTGGTGGTTCAAAATTATCATCACTTTTCTCGGTGAACATCGTGCTCCCGACGAAGGCATACTCAGTGATTGAGTCAACGGTGAGGCAGCTAAAAGCAGAACCAGCCTAAGTGCGATAATCTCTACCAGGTGCACTCAAGATTTCTAATTTCCTTCACAGTGGATCTACTTTGTCAGTTATCATACATTCCACCTTGCAATCAGTTGAAGTATAGTACATCGTACAATTGCTTCATTTGATCTGTTGTGCTCATGAGATTCGATCAATCAATAATACCATTAGCCGAAACAGAGCTGGCTGCCATGTCTTGAATCTTTATACGTAACAAAAAACATTAACTTATTGCTTTTTGTATTATGTAGTCCTACCACGGCTGAATGTTCCAATCAATATGATTCAAGGTAAGCGCCCCTCCCCCCCGAAAAACTGAGTCAGGTAAGAAGTACAATCAATTCAGTTGTCAATTGTCTCTCATTTATATCTCTTCACCATCCCAAAATTGATTTTGCACATTTTTGTCTTCATATTTAAGTGAGGTACCTTGTCATTTTTCGTGGTGTATAGCTTTTGCTTTGGCACAATTGATCGTAAAGTCTCGCAATTTTCGAAATTTAATATTTTCACAGTCATGGCTACAGGGACGTACTCATTGGCAGAAGTGCTGGCTGTTGCGGAAAATCATCCTTTCTACAATGAGAATATACTGTACCCAGCCGATTCAAAATCAGTCACGAAACTTCAGGAGTCCGCTTTCAGTAAAGAGAAGAAAGCAGATCTCGAAGAACAGCCATTGCTTGATAAAAAAACACTGTGTGTCATTTTTCCACCCGTTAATTGCATTTGGGAACTAATTTGGATTAGGTATAAATCAATTAAAAGACTCACTCATGATGTGGACCCGAGAAATACGTATCGTCATGGCTCATACATGAGTATTACTGGCGGTGGATCTGGCTCAATTCCAATGATGTTCGCCGTAGACGCGCATGAGAATCGTCGACAGCGGGCTCGGATGGGAGATTTGCTTAGAGTCTGTGGTGTTATTGAATCGAAAGACTTCGTGTTGTCTACTCACCTCGCTGGAGGATTTTATAGGTACCTCATTCTAGTCAATAAAGAGCTTTTTCTTACATATCCTTGAGAAACTGACAAATGCAAGATCACTGGATCTGGTAACAGAAATGATAGAAAATGCAGGAGGGACTATGCTTAGCGCCGGTGCTTACATGCCACCCGCCGAAGTTGCAAAATCTCTAGCTAACTACCATGTCAACGCTCTTACTGGCGACGGTAGCCAAGTTGTTCAGACTGTCCAACACATCTCCTTGATGGCGAAAGAGGATCGTGATCGTATCGTACTGAATAAGATCATCTACACCTCGGAGCCATTGACCGGTCCTCAACGCGTGTTTATAAAGTCTGTACTGGGTGATGTTGAGATTTTTTCTATAATGGGTAGTGCTGAAGCGGGTCCCTGGGCAATCAGCAGTCCAAAGTTGACTGGAGAGCAAGATGTCAAAGAAATTGCCACCGATTTTATCTTTGACACGAGAAGTATGTTACTCGAGATCTTCCACCCCTCCGTCAGTGATGGTATAGCTCCACTCGTTTGCCTTCCACAGGGAGAGAAAGGTCTCATGGTACAAACTTCGTTCCAAAGATTGCGCAACCCACTAGTACGCTATATCACCGGCGATATCGGCTCCGTTCATCCACTTCCGGATACTGCTTCTGCTGTAGTACCTGAGCTTGATCGGAAGTTCCTACGTATTATACGTATGCGAGGGCGTGATAATCGGTTCAGCTTTAAGTGGTATGGTTGTTATTTTGAGTTTCAGAGAATCGAAGCTTTCATGCAGAAAAAAGATAACGGTGTCCTGCAATGGCAAATCATATTGGATCGACTGGATGATACCCCACAGGCGACCCTGGAAATTCGCTTACTTCGATCACCTCCAAGAGATGGAGTTCTCTCCGCCCAATCTATAACGGAACGATTGCAGACCTTCTTTCTCATTACACCTGAAAATGAACATCTGGTACAAATTGTGTTTTTGGACAGTTTGGACGGGTTTGAGCGAAGCATTACCGCAGGAAAAGTAATCAAATTTGTGGACCGTTGGCACTGAACTATATTTCGCTATTGCGATAATGAGCTCATTTAACAATTGAGGTCACGAAGTTGCGAGTAGCTGGTAAACTTTGAATTCAGGATCTCGTATAGCAAAAATAATCCAAACCGATGATACCGTTGTTACTTGATGTGAGCTTGGATGATATGTTCTGATTCTTGAAGCCCTCTCTTTCCGATCATATTTACACGCGTACGATCATCATTAAGGGCTCTAAAATTGAGGTTGTTAGTACAAAGTATGAGATCAACCCATATGACAATGCTAATGTTTTACAAGATCCAGTCAAACCCGACAAAGACAGAAAGCGATCTGTTGTCCTGAGTTGGCGTGGGGTACACAAACAGGCTCATAATTATACCAAATTGGAGAGCATAATTAACATGATAGAAGTCGAGCAAAAGGTCTGGAACCTGTATTATATTGTATTGATTCAGATTGCATGTGTCAACCCAGACAGCAGTGTATTAAAGTACGTTTTGGTTAGGAAGCTTCCTCTCGCTTCATACTTAACTCTAGCTACTTTCGACTAGAATAGAGTGAACACAAAATTCGCGCAATTTCTTTATCATGCAAATAATTATTTCACCTCTTGTTCAAGCACATGTGTGCTTTTACTAATTTCTTCGTCAGACTCAAGTGGTTCGTATGTCTCTTTAGGCTCAAGAAATGTCAGAGCAAGAACGGCGATGATGAGATAAGAAAGACCTAACACCATTTTTCAGCGACTAAGAAAAGGCAAGTGAGTATAAGTATATCTTACTCCAGATCCAGTTCATATATGTGTATCCAATCAACGTCCTCAATGAACCACCTATAATAGGGCCAATCATCATCCCCAGAGTAGCACCAGCGTCAAGCATGGAAAATACACGCGATAAACTGCCTTGAGATCCAAAGGCGTCGGGTTCTGCTTCTGGAGTGCTTTTCCGGCAGCTAAAAAGCCTTTGTTATCATGATAGCCACATTATACAAGGACGTAACCGACGTACCAACCAACTCAACAGGTGCATTTCCGGATACAAATGGTCGCATGGTACCTATAACTATCATAGACGCTATGTAGATCATGCCACCTCCGCTTTTGCTCCCAGAAATACCTAAAATACCTAAAAATAATGCCTGAATAATAGAACAAACAACAGCGGGATTTCGGGCTCCAAGCCTGTCACGGGCCCAGCCGGCAATGGACCAATGAGAAGACCCGGAACGACAAGACCGATGAAAAGAAGACCAGCAATAGTCGGGCCCCATCCATATATTTCTTGAACTGCAGTGGCAAAGTGGCATTAAAACTCGTGGTAACGGTCGTACTGGTGATGGTAATTAGCAGACAGGTAAGAGCACGACCATCAGTTAGCATTATTCTCCAGAAACCCTTATCGTTACTGAATTTTCGTTCGCTCCCACGTGTAGAAACTGAACCTGTTCTCCGTGAATTGTCATCCAGAGATAAAGGAGCATTTGTATCCACAAGTTCGATCATGATTACACGTGCTAGAAGGTCGATGGTTAAAATCACAAGTGGATGGACCATGTCACCCAATAACCTGCAGCCTCTAGAAGTAAACCAGATACAGCAGGTCCAATAATTGTCCCCGTGTTAGCCAATGATGTCATCATGCCCAGCCCAAAACCTCGCTCGTTCTCCTCAAAGATGCTTGCGACTGTTGAAAAGCCAATGATCCACACGGCGGAGCCCGCAACTCCTTGCATTGCGCGGCCTATGATTAAAATTCCGACTGAATGAGCGACAGCAACCAGGCAAGTGCCGATGATGCACAATATAAGAGAAGATAACAACCAAGATTTGCGGTTTGGGCTCTTATCGGCAAAATGGCCAATTATAGGGCTAGAAAGCATAGCAAGCGCGCCGTGGAGGGCAAGCACGGCAGATGTGAACATCTGAGTTTGAGAGGGTCTATATGGAGACGCTCCCGAAGCATATAGCCCAAGATTGGGACTAGGAATCCATACAGAAAATTTTCTATTCAATATTAATATTTCCTTGAATGTGACAACAACAGGTCGGATAAACAAACCGGCGAACAACGCAATTGCGATAGTCAAGAGGATGAACCAATTAGACGAACGCCATTTATAACCCTTGGGTAAAGACATTTCGAAGTAACTGTTCGAAATCTATTTGAAAATAATCAGATAACGCATAGGGGATAACGGAAGTTGATGTTCTTGACAATAGACCAGTTCCATTGACCAGAACGCTACATACTTGTCGAACATCAAAGTCGGGTGCATTGTGGGTTACTACTTATAAATAAGACTCGATAATTGATAGTGCCCGGATATCACATTTCACAGCCGAAGAATGTATTGATGATGCATTGTGGTTGAAACAGATTCTGTACAACGTCAAAGCATATTGTACTCCAGATGAGTAAGTTGATTCACATGTGGATGAAAAACACAGGGCACAATAAGTATCGAGCAAGACATTACTGACGATACATGTGCTCACCACTTCCCGCTGTTTCTACTTACTGCATTAGTGGCTTCATTATTACTACCCTGACTCATATGTCTGAGTCATGCAAATTTCTTCGTTGGAACCATGCTGTCACGTGCCTGTTCAATATTAAGCTTAGGCTTGGAGGATTTGTACAAGCCTCGAGCTACTAATACATCATGTTAACAGCTGAAAACAGTGCATGTATCTTTCTGATGGACCGGAACAACCATTATGTCTTGGTGATTAATGGAGACCATGCTATTCCTTCCAAAAAGAAATTTTGAGTCATGAAGTGGATAGTATCATGTAACAAGATCTTCTAAATGATGGCTGGCTATATTCAATCCTAGCAACATCTCATTCACTTGACAACCTTTGTTGTGAAACGTTCAATAATTTGCAATTGATAATAAAATTGAGTTGGCAAATCGTCAGCATTAAAGATGATGAGTCGGTCCGTCTTTAAACATAATCAAAATGTGAACTATTCTCCCAGTGGCTACCTCGTATACTTAAACTTGTTGACGCAGTAGTTCTTGTTTTCACATCATGCACCGACTTCTTCGTGTTGGTCATACAGCAACACAGGCAACAGACAGCCATTTTGCCCGAGCCTCACCTATCAGTATGAATTGAATTTTCCCTCTTGATTCGCTTTTCATTTCGCAATACTAACTTGAGGAAGGACACCATGAAGTTTCGAGCCTCATCCCTTGGATTGAAGTTCCCCAGCCGGATTCAGCTTTTCAACCATCTCATTTGAGAGCCGTCCACGATGTTTTGGAAACGAGAGGGGTACTGCAATTGCAGTTAGGATTTCAGGATGAAAAAAGTACTTACCTCCAGAGCCTAATTCACAACCTCAACAAAAACCATAATCATGGTCTTCCGATCACCCATAGTGCCGAGCGGGGATGGTTTTGGGATGTTCGGCCCTCTGTAGGCAGTCTCCAAAATCATGGACATCAAGCCCGTTCAGAGACGATGTCTTGCTTTGACTGGCATACGGATTGCAGTTATGAAAGTCATCCACCTCGATATTTTGCGCTTCAAGTCCTTCAACCAGATCGCTACGGGGGTGGAACGTTATCGCTATTGGGCGTTGATCGGCTCCTCGCCTTACTTTCACCTCGCACACAGACGTGGCTCTCTAGCCCCAATTACATGATTGCCGTTCCTCCTGAATTCAATAAGAAAACCGGTGAACAGTGCATCGTGGGAAACTTACTGATGAGATCAGGAGGTGGTGGGAGTCAAATACGATTTCGGGAAGATATCACAACACCGTTGACTTTAGAGGCTGCTGCGGCATTGGAGGAACTGAAAAAGACACTTTTGGATAAACGAGTCCAAGAATGGACTCTTCATTTGACCCCCCAAAGTCTCCCCAGGGGATCGATCATTATGATGGATAATCGGCGCTGGCTACATTCACGAAATGAGGTTAAAGACCCCAATCGTCATCTCCGGCGAGTTCGATGGGATGCAAGTCCGTTTGGATCCTTGAAACCATAATGTTCTTGCTGTATTATTAATCCACTATTCTATCCTGGAATCTAAACTATTGAAGACAATTTGACAAGTTTCTCAACACTATTCATGTCTTCCTCGGACCCTTGAATCATGCTTCAGATTCACCAGTCCTTTCGTTTTCTTCAAACTCTCACTTGTCAAATTTAAATACCTCCAAAATATAACAATTAACATGTTTTTCTGCCTCGGTAGAGATTTTATAATAAAAAAATTGTAGCCCATCTTACTTCGTATATAATGATACGGTATAACAATAAGAGCAGTGATTAATAATAATATAATACAAAAATCGTATAAGAAAATATACAAAGAACGATGTACCGTTTCAAGGATGGCTCTCTATAGGGCAAGGCAAGAAAGTACAAACTAGAATATGAAGATATAGGGAGATCGATTGAATTAAGTATAGTGGCTGACTATAAGAAGAAGAACTCTGACCTATATCAGAGCTTCTGCTAGAGCGGATCTAAACCAAACCCCTCTGTTTTAGTACTACACGAACTATATCCTTTAATATATACCTCAAATATTAAGTATATAAAGTCCTGTATCCGGATCTTCAATAATTTAATTAGAATTTCTTATGAACTTTATACCTCTATCAATGTATTGAGGTGAAATGTATATATTTCAGTATAAAGGTGGGGTCCTCCAAGTATAAGTGGCCTAGTACTGTATTAAATTATATATCTTAAAGTAAGTTTGTAACAATTTGAAAGCCTTTTTATGAATTTGATGCCTTTGATTGTTATCGGCTGTATTGGTTCGAAAGATCGATAAAAAGCGGAAGAGGATAGGAAAGTAAAGCTCTGTTTATCTCAGCTATCTTACTACTACTTATTAATTCAAATAAAACCACTCATACTACTATGATATTATGAATAGCATTATATTCATCCAAGAGAAGTTTGAAATTCGAAATATATATAGTTCTCGGAATTTCAATATACTCTTAGGAAGCGGTTGATTGTTCTGTTTCGTACGCGTGTTTTGTCTTTAAACTTTTAATATCAAGTTTTACTAGCAGTAATCTAATTAAACCACTGGTGATCTGCTGCTTGTTTATCCTCAGCAGATTACGCAAGTAACAACTTAGCTACTCAAGATGGGTAGTTTATGTCATCACACTCTCCATAGCCTGTCTGCGACTAAACGGTAGTGACGTGGATTACAGTTATCTCTTGTGATTCCAAGGCTCAGCCGTGGAAAATTGTCAACGCGACTTCTGATGTTTCTCTCCTCGGAGCTGATTTCAATAAATCGACAATGCCATCAAATGGTTATGACTGGCGTATGAATTCAAATAGTCGCACCTTATCCCACACAGCAGAGTCTGGATTGAATGGAAGGTTGGCATTCATTCTTCCTATCTATATTTAATTCGCAGAGTCTTTTTGTTTATGAGGAGTTGGAATTTGTGCGAATAGTAGACAGTTTCTAGAACAAGCCGAACAGATTTCAGCGCTTTTATTGCTCCAATAATTGAGATATTGCATATATACAGGTGCTAAATGTCATCTTGAGAAATAACTGAGCTAATCCAAGATCCTCCAGTACTAATAGCACAGACTTTATCAGGACTGCTCCGCCATATCCCGAAACCGAGCAATTTTCCGTGTATGACAAAATATGTTCCGACAAGGGGATGCTGAACAAAAGTGCCAGATGATTCTAAAGCAAGGTTATACAGTCTTGGGTTGATGCGACGCTGTACTACACAGGTAACTCCAGAGACAATCTGACTGCTTCTTAGAAGCTGCAGTGCAGAAACCCATTCTTCAGGTGTAAATTCTTCACCAAACACGATTCCTGCTCCTTTGCCACTACGAATGGGCTTCAAGATAAAATCTGTCCGAAGGCTCGGAAATTCTTGTGCGAGACAAAAGATTCGTTCTAGTTCTTTTGATCCGGGAAGGAATGTATCCGCAATCCCTTGATCAAGAATCTGTGCCTGGGTCTGGGTTATTACACTGCGTGAAACCAGAGAACTTAATTCCTGCTTCAATATACCGAGCATTCGTTTGTCATGTGTAAGAAAGATTGATCTGAAATCATTGAAACAACGAAGACTGATTTGACACAACATTTCCGGCTCTAGGAGTAGTAGCTCCGATTGATGTAACTCAAGGCCGACTTGGTAAATTTCTTCCACGACTTCGCCCACATCGGTCCGCCAGGCCAAAGGTGAGGGCTCTTCATTCTTTCCCAACAGACAGCAAAGCTTGTATCCACTACCATCAGCGAGAGGGAAAAGCCTGAGCTGTGCTGGGGTGATGATCCTGGGTTTGAGGCCGAGCCGCTGTTGAACAACATGAAGGAACATATTAATATCCATCCCTAATTCTTTGCCCTTGAGAAGATGCAATGGAACTCCTGTCTGAAATAGACTGGTGATCCCATCAAGTATCTGCTTAATGTTAAAAAGCAATTCACTTGTCATTCGGTCCTTTGAGAATCTCAGAAGTCCTTACCTTTGTTGGATCTGCCGCATACCTCAATCCATTTCTTCCAATACCCATATCTTGCAAGCTTTCATATGCGATAGCTGACAGAATAAAACCATTGAAGGAGAAGCGCGCATTGATTTCCGTAATGCGATAATTTTCCACGGTCATACCATTCTCGTCAATCACATCCTCAACAAGGAAGTCTGGTCTCCACGAACCCCGACGGTCGCGGTATAACGGGATTTTATTGTCAGCAATTTGAGCTTCCATCCACTATTCAGAAGAGAGAGTAAATGTTAGAAAGCTGTGAGATGACTCAAAATCCTATTGGCTGGCATGGAAAGCTTGTCAACTCACGCGTAAAAGGTGTTCTTCTCGTGGTTCGAGTGGCATACGATCAGGAAAGTGCGCATCTTGGTCGGTCCACCATCTCTCGACAATATCCGTGATTGCTAGAACTAATGCCTGATGCAAGCCTTCTAGCTGTTTTTGGTGCTTATTGTTGATTAGAATCGGCCGGGGACACGCTTTCTGGTAGGTTTGCCCAGGCCATTTATGACTAGGACATCTCTGCAGTAAGCTGCTTTCAAACTTTGCTTGCTCTTGGACATAGGTACTTCCTTCGATGGGACACTCTTGAACAGACTGATGACTCTCAGCCTCTGGCCTGATGCGCACCTGTTGGAACAATTGAGAAGTTGGTCTCGTCATGTCAAAAGCAGGAATATGATCTGGGAAGAGAGAAAAATAAGTGTATCCTGAAGCTGTATGACTCTTTCGCAGATAATCCTTACTTTTGATTTTGATTTTGGAAAAGACTGTTACAAAACGGCGAGGAAAAGATATCATACATCAGTTAAAAAGCAGAACATAATACAACTTTTTAAGGTATTCCCATTATAAGTCATTCTAAATTAGCACCCGACCTACTAAATGAAAGACAGATGTGTGACGTTCAGCTACAAAGATTTCGCAAGCTTGAGACAATTCTTTCACAGAATAGAAGCTTGATGAGAACAGATCTAAGACAATGTTTTGAGACCTGTGTGCAGAGACATGATTCTCATCTCCGGCTATTATCAACTGTTGAAATTTTTGTTGAAATTTTCAATCAGACTTGTCGTTGAGGAATCGCGTTGCTGAAAATGCCGTCAACTATGCACATGTTTATACTTGTGAAATATTCCCTAGGGTTGGGCATTGTGGTATGGGGTGCGAAACGCTAATATCAAGTCAAGACTCATGGTCTGATCACGAACTGAAAGAAGTAACAACTGTCTAAAAAGAAACTGATGGAGAAGCAAATGGGATGATTAATTCTTGTTAAAGATTTGATGTTTCTTCTCATTCTCCACTAACATTCAATATCATGATTCACGCTTGCGGGTGTCGGGTGTCGGGTTCGGTCATACACTAGGCAACCTGATCAAGACAGCGCATGAACTAAAAACACAATTGACGTCCAAGCTGTCACTAGGTTATGATATCTCCAGTGTAAAATGGGCCAGGAACAAACCTATACAGTCTCAGGATACTTGACAGAAGGTTGGCGTACCTCAAGCGAAGCATTGCTTACAAAAAGCGAGACAGATCAACACAGAGACAGCGGCAGGGATAACAGAGCAAAGGGGTCCCAAAATTGAACCAACAACAACGGAACCCAGATACAAAAGAATGAGTAAAATTGAGAGACGAGATGCAAAACGATCATCAAGAGTCGCCGGTAGCTGATTCATACCGAGGTGATTGACGTTGGATGTGTCCATACCACTTGGTATGTTTTTTTGTTATTGAATAGTGCTGTCACTACCTATGTTTCATGGGCAATATTCTCAACATGACATAAAATCTGGACAAGTTACTGAGTAATAAGTATGCGATGTAGGCAAGGATAATAAAAGAGGCAGAAAAGTGAAGCGAATGGTATGGATAGATAAATTGATTGCATTGCTGTTGAAAATGCCAATGTTGACGCCTAAGGTTTAAGGTTCGCATTTGAGGCTGGCTGCGAGAGGCGCGTTCTTCCACCCTCCACCCCACCACGCTTGAAGGAAAGTGGGAAGGCTACCCGGTACCCTTTACCTATCGACAATTCACACTCAGATATCTCCCAGAATATTTTCCACAACATTACAACCGCAAACATGCAACGCCGTATGGTAATATTTCCTCATCATAAATTGTTTCCATGAGCACATCTTCTGACTTTATAGCTCAGTTATCAAAAGAAGACGAAGCAGCAGTTGGCGCAGATGAGGTCGAAGTAAGAAGAGAGGATCAAGACAAAATCAATCGGTTCAGTCGTTTACATCAACGGGAAATTGGACTGGAAGATGAGTTGAAGTCAAAACATGTCAGTACAGTCGAGTCTCGCGCGACCGCGACCAAAATACTGCGATTAGTAATCTGCGATGAATGCTTTTCTAATTCTCCTGTTATACAGAAAGAAAAGGAAGACCTCGACGACGTATCGGGGGAACTTGAGTTGGCAGATGAAGATGACATGATACCGTATGAAATGCCACCTCCCTTATTGACAGAATTACCATGCGTCGAAGCATACTGACTTGATATCTTGAAGTTACAAAATCGGAGATTCATTTATTTCATTACCACTACCCGAAGTCCAAGACCTCCTCACGAAGTCAACTGAGAACATTGAGGAGGAAGTAACAATGGTCGAAGAAAAGCTTAGCATAATTAGGGAGGAGATGACACAACTGAAGGTGGAATTATATGCTAGATTTGGTCGAAGTATCAATCTGGAAACATAGAGTATCGAAATAATCTTCATAGGAACATCCAAAGGATCCATCAAAGCTCCATCTACATATTCCACGCGGTGACCCAATTACAACAAATGGCTCGGGAGAGTTGAATGGCATATGTCATATCACATAGACTCCTTACTCGATCAGCTCATCCGACAACATCTACCGACAAGAACCAGCTTCCACATTTTTCAGAACCACCCTTATCTACCGAATGATCCTGGTCAGTCCGTCAATTTATATTAAATAACAGATGTTGAGGTTGGTTCCTCCTGCCTTGGAGTATTAAATTCACACTTGTTCGGTCTTCGTTCCCTCTTCTGGAAGCAAGACTTTACATAAGACTTGGGACATTTTCACCAGATACACCAACTTGACGAATTCCCTTAGAGATCTGCCGTTTGCCATGACATTTCTGAAAAAGGCAGTCATCCCTACGGTTGCGTCGGCACCATCGTTCCTTGCAACCAATGAATCGGACTCGATGGCATGCAGTGGACCCGCACCGAAGTTTGACAGTGGAGAGAGCTTCACACTACGTTGTAGAATTTACCATTTACAAACTAGCAATGATCCTTCGTTTTTCAAAAGGGCCATGTAATTGTGGGCACATAGAAATTTCCATGCCCAATGTATTCTTATCTCCAGGTAAGTATATCACAAGCTAAGTTTATTTCTTTTACTGCATATATTTTACTACAATTCTATTTCATTGTAATCCTATTCTGCTTTTGCCCCAGCTCTATACAAAATTCAAACCCATTCATGGGTTTCAACTTCATCCAGATTTCCTAGGACATCACAGAGAGGAGCAAGGAAGATTCAATTGCTTGTAAGGATAGCCGACAAAGTAAACATGCCCAGCGCAGATCATGGACATGCAATCGCCTCACGGGGAGTCAGCGACGACGTGATATATGGGCGTAATTCAGAAGCAGGCTCTACATCAATTGGTAGTTGCAGCATTCCATGGGTAGAGCTGCAGATATACTAATGGACATATAGAAAGGTATCAAACTAGACTTTCTCGAATGGTCTCTGAAACTGATCACGACGATGCGAAAAGACGATATGATCTTGAGGCGAGAGATAATCATGTATCTCTTCCGGATTCCTCTGCATCCAGCGTGTTGGGTACGCCGAAAACCGTAATACATTGGGAGGAGGGCGATCCAGAAAATCCATATAATTGGTCCTCCGTACGTCATATCTCTTCCCCTGGGTAATGTTTAGATGGGTATTCAATTGATCGTAACGAAGGATGAGTCTAATTTGGAACCATAGAGGTGGAAATGTTACATTGTTCTCATTGGAATGCTTGTGGTGATCAACAGTACCATGGGTTCTTCTCTGCCTTCGAACGCGATGCCATTCATCGCTCCGCATTTCCACATAACATCAGAATCCGCGGAAATTCTACCAATATCGATGTATCTCCTTGGATATGTGCTTGGACCTTTAGTATTTTGTCCACTATCGGAACAATTTGGACGAAGAACGATCATGCTGGCAACCTTTTTCTGCTATACCGCCTTTACATTAGGTTGTGCCTTAACACCAACGTGGGGTGGACTCTTAGCATTTCGAATCCTGGCAGGTATCAACGCAAGTAGTCCTATATCCGTCAGTGGAGGTATCTATGCAGATATATACAAGGATCCAGTAACAAGAGGAAGAGCAATGGCGGTCTTCACTGCAGGCACTTGTGTAGGTCCTCTAGTGGCTCCAATAATTTCGGGCTTTATATCTCCCGTTCTTGGCTGGCGTTGGTCTTTCTGGATTGGCTTGATTGTTGCTGGTGCATCTTGGGCCCCTCTTATATTTCTTCCAGAAACCTACGGTCCAGTTCTACTTCTCAAACGCGCAAAACATTTGCGAAAAGAAACAGGCGATTCCGAAATAATCGCGCCGATCGAATTGGAAAAGCAAGATTTAAAACAAATGATGACTGTGACACTTACTCGACCTATCCGCATGTTCTTCTTCGAGCTCATCGTCTTGGCCGCTTGCACCTACCTCGCCTTCGCATATGGGATATTCTATATGTACTTTGAAGCTTATCCGATTATATTCGAAGGAATATATGGTCAATCGCCTGGCGTGTCTGGACTTATGTTCCTCCCCATTGGTGGTGGTGCAATTCTAGCTATCATCGTATTTCTCTGGTGGGATACGTTTTTACGCAAAGCTCAAGCATCTAAGAAAGCTTGGGCGCAAAAAGAAGAATCTCGGCGGCTACCACTTGCTATTTTGGGGGGCCACTCTACGTTATTTCGCTTTTCTGGTTAGGCTGGACATCCCGCGCCTCTATTCCTTTTTATGTTCCCATGTTGGCCGGTATACCATTTGGAATGGGCTTTATATTAATCTTCATTGCTCTACTCAACTATTTGACGGATGCTTATGAGGTCTTCGCCGCTAGCGCCATGGCTGCATCGAGCTGTTGTAGAAGCTTAGCTGGGGCGGTGTTGCCGTTTGCAGCGAAACCCATGTATACAAAACTGGGCGTGCCATGGGCAAGTAGCCTGCTTGCACTCTTGAGCCTATTAATGTGCGGTATTCCGGTATTATTCACATGGAAAGGCGATCGTATCAGGGAAGGGAGCGTATTCTGTCGGGAGCTTAAAGAACGAAAAATCAAAGAGTTGGAGAACTTGCAAAGAGACAAATTGGTGGAAGAGCATCGCCCAAATGCGGGAATCGCGGAGAAAGTTTAAGAGTAAAAAAGCTTATATTCTTTCTGTAGAGTTTTTGGTATAAGAGATGCCTTAATGAACGATCATAATGAGTACATATGACAGCTGATTCAAGCTTGAACGCGAAAAATGTGTAGCATACGGCGTTACAATACTATGTTGTTTGATTTCTTTCTGGATACCATCATTGGGGGCTCTTTCAATAGCTTGTTCATTTCTCTTATTTTAATGTTATTAGTCACTTCACAGATAATTCTTTCAGTAAGTTGGTAGATCCAACCATCCCTGTTCTCCATCGTTACTTCTGCCACATCAAGAACGCATTTCACGAGTAGTATATATCTGGCTAATTGAAGCATCTATCAATCTACGATGCCACCGATTGTTGATAACATTGAACATTTTTGCGATTGAAAGCACGCACAAATCACTTGAAATGAATTTTGTACACTACGCTCGAGCTCAAGGGCCTTGACACAATATCTGATCAACAATTTCAGAGATGGGCTTTTCTGCTATGAGATGGAGTATGGTCTTTGCTGATTGTTCCCGCTGTTATATGTCAGCTCATATCCTAACTCCAGGCTGCGCAATTTACTCGTGCTTTCGGTCTTTTCTACATATCTTTTAGAGCGTCTCCAGGATCGAATTTCTGATTCAAGATACACAAGCCAGGTAATACAATAACAATGAAGTTGATCAGAATAATTTTCTTAAAGGATACTTCAGCTATGCACGGTAGAGCTCTTTCATAAAAGTAAGATCTTACCTTTCTTTCATCTTAATCCGTTGTGTGGCTTGGTACATTCCAATGGGTGTTGTTATTAGCCAACTAGCCTCAATGGTTCATTCAAAACAACATTCAATATTCATTTCTCTATCTTTCTCAATCTAAAGCATCATGGCGAGCAGACTTCGTGATCAATGGGTATGTGCCGCCTCTTTCGATGCGGATCCGGACATCGCAGGTCCTGGGGTAAGTAGCTCAATGAATTTCCATGACAATCCCCCCTTCCTAACAAATTCCAAAGGTTATGACAAGTTTCCTGATTACCGCGTGGGTCACATGTTTTGTTGCATGTATCCAACTATATTGTGTCGTGTCATCTCGATTCCGTCTCCAACTTCTTTCTTCTGTGTCGGGAACCACAGCTGAACATATTGGCAAATACACAGTCAAGCTAACAAGAATTTCCATCCCATCATCTATCGAACGAAACATCCCAAGACTCATAATCAAAGGCGTTCATCTCAGCTTTTATGTCATCCGATGTTCGTTAGCTATGTTTTTAAGTCTCTTTCGCAATTCCCAACCGCGACTTCAGTTATTCTCTCAAATGGCTTTAGATCGATTGTGTGATCTTCAGCTTGTTACAGGAACCGCGATCATCATTGCAGGTATAGCTGAAGTTCATGACATGTCATTCTATCACCAATCTCTCATTACAAGCTATTGGCTGCTCACACTAAATTCGTTTTGGGCTGCTAGAGCTGGATATCTCAACTCGGAACACTATGGTCATGACAGGAGCTTTTATTTCTGGACGCGCTGGGTTTTCATACTTATCAGTGATCTGCTCTCAATCTATTACCAGATTGTTACCACACTGGAGGCTGAAAACCACTGGGACTCTGAAGGAAGTGGTCAATGTTATCTTTCCCACGAACCATCACCAACCAATGCGCAATATTTCTGGATTGTGGGAATTTCCTTTGAAGTTGTATATATGTTATTGTATTCCATGCAACAATTTGTACAGTCATTGTCTTGCAAATGGCGATGGTTGAAGGGCTTAGTGAACTTCATTGCAGATACGTCAAACGATGTATCCAATGGGGGCCAGCAACGCGCTTTAAATTTATGGTCGGCGGTGAAACTGCGCACCTGTCGTTGGCCAGTTCTCTTACGTATCTTATTACAAGTTGTAGAAACCATAATCTACATGATCTGGCATGTACTTTGGCGGATTCTGGCACTATGGGCTTGGGGAGACAACGGATCGGTACTGATAGTTATTGGATATATTGGACTAGCAGCATGGAATACTTTCGACGTTATTGACACGAAATTGTCTAATCGAAGCTTGATAATTGGAGATGAGGACACTTGGGGGTTTGGGCAAATTCTGCCACTTGGTTTGCTCGCTCTTATATGTTTAGATTTGCTTGACATCCTCAACAGTGAGTAGTCTTTGTTCTATTCAATATTTTTGTCGAGGATTTGACCAGCGGTAGAAGCGTATAAGCATCAAATCACAACTACGATACCGCATTTTCAGGCTCAAAAAGGAGAATTATCTCTTGTGGGCACGAGAAACGAGTATTCGACTTGACTTTATTTCCAGAAGCTCAAACGTACTCCCTTTGATCATATCTTCTGTTCACAAAATCCTACGCGACGTTTAGCATCCGTGAAGCATTTCCATAGGTTAATGAATGCCTTAAGGTGTCCAAAGTTGCACTTAGATAAGCCTAGAGAGTCCTTGAGTGATTTTTCTTTGCAATACTTGTCTAGAAGTTTCTTCCCGCCTTTAGATTTGTAGATCCTCGTGGTTTGAGCTATTGATTATTCTTTCAGGATCCAAATATATTGATTTGGCATTGCATCAATCCTGGATGATAAACGGATGTAAGAACCCACCCATACTTGTGTGATCAGTGTTAATTGGCAGTGCAACGACATTAGTATACTAATTAGTACTTTAAAAAATTCGATTGCTGTCAAGGAAACCCTCTTCACAAAAGTGCCTCACAAATCATCTAAAATGCGTAATCAGTAGTGGGTAGTGCTTTTTTAAAGTCATGTGGAATGATGAAGTACTCTCTGAGGTCAACCCGGGGTTTTCATCTGTTGATTTAATATACAGCTTTATTTGATAGAATAGACTTAATACTCTAAAAGCTTTAAGAACCAAAGCAGGACGGGGTATGAACGCCCAATTCTGATACTAATTCTAGTCGTTAGATGGCTGGTGCCAAAGAAAGGCCGGAATCTCCTGGGCACAGTAAAAACCCGAAACAGAGATTTTGGTGGCGAGAAGAGAGGATATGGAAAACCTGAATGGCCTCGGAAATCGAAGAGAGGCAGCTTGCTGAGCTGAGCAGGGAAGAACGCGTGATTTTTTCCTATACTGGGATACTTGTAGTGAGGTAAGGAGATAGCTTGTGGACGAAATGGTGCACTTTTTGATCTGGAAGTGTCGAGTGCTTGACTTTTGATTTGATCAATCACAAATTTGCCATTAAGACTTAGAAGCAGTGCTGAAATTAGTATACGGTGGTAATACTGTGGCTGATATTGCAGTTAGGATACGCACTGTAGTACGTATCATAATCAACGATATCTACGGCCGTAGGTATTTCCAAAAGGTGTAATACTGAAGATGTACTGAAATACAGGAATTCACATATTTTCAATGAATTTAAACCTAATGAAAAAAGAGATTATTTAAAATATGTAAATTCCCATATTTCGGAATGTTACTAGTGATATTCAATATTTTAACAATATTGAATACTATTAGTGATATTCAATTTGATAATAATTATTGAAATATATTTCAAAAATTCGATACGCACCACTGAAGTGAGGGGTATCCAAAATACGGAAAATGTCAATTACAGCACTGCTTAGAAGGCTAATGATTCAACAATTTTTTGAGCATTGGGCTTTACCAAAAGAGCAGTTTCACTCACGCATTTCGCGAATACAGTATCCTCATCTTTCACATAGGATCGAGTAAAAAAGACTCCTCACACCAGCAATAATAGGGTTCAATCCAATTACTTCTGATGGTGCCAAAACCGAAGATACATGCAAAAACTTTTCGGGTGCTGAGCGGCAAAGTGGAGACGGAGACAAGTAACAGGTGAAATAAAACTCTATGTCCATTGACGATTCCAAAATTGGATACAATATAAAATCTTCAAATCTCAAATACAGGAACCAATACTTCAAACCGCATCAACAATAGCGGGGAACAAATCATTTAAATTTCTCTTCGGCTCAAATGGTTTACCACCTAAGCTTCCCCCTATATTACCCGCCTTAACCGAGGAAAGTTTATGCCACTCCCAGTCTCTCGCGTTCATATCATTTTCAGAGTTCTCTCCTTCCTCGACTGGTGGTATGAGGGAAGAAGGATACTGGGGAGGTGCTAGTCGTTTCATGAGGGAATCACCAGCAGGGCGGGCGAAGTAACCAACTACATAGCGGGTCATAGATGACTGATCGCCGGGGGGAGAGGTGACACGATGCATAGCTGAGCGAAGGATCCCACCAGTCCATTCAACCATTGCGTCGCCAAGGTTGACTATACAGGTGGATGGCCGAGGTTTAATGTGAGTCCAAGAAGACTCGAGATGAGGATCTAAATGATGAAAATTAATTAATTATTAAGACGAAACTTTGGAATTATAGATTGGAGTTGCGTACCTGCGTCATCGTTAAGAATTTGGAGACCTCCAGTTGTACTAAAAAGAAGGGTTAGTGCAGTGATATCGGTATGTCCCATCATGGAAGTACGGCGATCATCAGCTGGCTATCAATAATTAGGATAGTTTCGAGATGCAATTCTATGATGACACACGTGGAATAATGGGAAACACAGGAGATTTCGAGCTCACCTGAGGCTCATACTTTAACATCCGTAAAACACTACCGCTTGGCTCCGTCATCGGTTGCAACTGTGCGAAAGTACCCAGGGGAAGTTTCAGATGTTTTTCTAAATGCCCGAGAATGACATTAACAATTCTGTTGGCCTGTTCAATATATGTCTTCAATTGCGGGCGAGAACGTTCGATACAGCTCGGGTTAGCAAGGGGCTCAGAAGCCCCAGTTATATCATCGCGGCTGATTCCGTAGAGCTCGACTCGATCTCCGACTTTGCCAATCTTGTGATAACCTAAGGGCTTGTAGCTAAAAATGATAAGAGACCAAGTTAGTCGAGACTTTCGAAAGGTCGTACAAATTTGGAATAAGAAGTGATGAATTATGAAGGCGGGGGTACCGAAAGAGAGAAATTGGGGGATTGTAGGCGTATTCATTAAGCTCAAATTTAGGGAGTGCATATAATTCTGCATTCAAGTCGAACATTTTCTCGGTATTCTTGAGAAATTGATCACCAAACAAACACCCAGTGAAGTCAAGCTGGAAGCTACGGTATTGAGAATTAGTAATTTGCCGCGAATAATGCTTCTAAGAAAAAGCACGAATGTTGTTCGAGAAGAGTTATTGAAAGACAAATAGATGAACCACATGATCAATACGTGCAATGAACTTGGGTGCAATTAAACAGTATAATTTGCATTTCTTATCAAATCATATAATGCATTTGATTGCAAAGATTTTGCGTGGGGACAGATCGAAGGATATTCGTAGGATTGGAAGGAAGGATTTGCTGTTACTTACAAGCCTATATGACGACTGGCTTCGAAAAGAGCGCAGGACTCGTGTCCGTCATTGATTGCAAGTTTAGCGAAGGAGAAAATGGGCATATCTGCCACTGGGATATTGGAGGGAAAGGGAGGATACTTGGCAAAGTAGGTGGGAGTAGGCATTTTTAAGCAAGCAAAATGAGATGATGTGAATACAAGCAGCGAAGCGAGGAGTAGGGTTTTAAATGTTGGATATATATACCATCTTTTCAATATTCTATTCCTTGGCAAGCTTTTCAAGTACGGGAGGTTATATCTGCGAAATATATAACTCAGTGCCTATAGCATTGAGTTTTGTTGTGCTTTTCCCAAGTAATAAAGAAACTATTCATCCCTTTCATCTTCGTTTCAAGGCACGAAATGCACAACTCTTATATTTTATCCCAATGAAATAGTTATTGCACAGGTATATGGCTGTTGCATTAAGCTTACAATCAGTATTTGGCGAAGTCAAACTTTGGTAGCTGTGATGCTTGAGTCATAGTTTCTGATCAAAGTGTTACTTTATGAGGAGTTCCTTTGACAGAGATACCATTTTCCACCATGAACCTGCCGAGTCTCTTTCACGTGGAAGCGTTTTTTTCCGAGATAGATCTTTCTCGAGTCCCTTTCATGATCAGTGGTGTTCGATAGCTTCTTGGTAATTCAGCAATGAAAGGGTCCGGAAAATTCATTTTTTCTTTTCAAGTAAAAGAATTAGGCTACTGGATTGATTTGAACTGAAAATTTGAAGCTGACAGTATTATTGTTAGAATCTTGGACATGGAATCTTGCATCAGACTGCAATGCATGACTCGGAAAGTAATGCTCACGGCAAATTTTGGGCATAGTAAAGCTAGACACATTATGGCTTAACTCGACGATACGATGGAATTTCAGGTACGATCATTCCTAGGTTCTAGGTTTATTCTACCTCTGGGTTGAAAGTGATCTATCATCGTTCTTCTGTAATTCGCTAATCTCTTTGATGGCCACGCGCCTTCACTTGATCTTACTGGCTAGCTTTTGCCTTTCCCTATCGGGATTGTCAAAGACAAAATTGGTACGACACTTGCCATTTAAATTGACACGAACGAGCGTAAAATGACTTTTAGTCAGTCACACCAAACCAAAGATGGCTGTCCGCCGTGAAAGCAGAAAGAACAAAGCTGAAAATCCATCCAATTTACAGGATGTGCGCACTCGTGTAGATGTTCTTCCGTATCGATTAACTCCATCGCATAACTATTGACAATGATCTCAGATATAGATGTGGAAATTAATCGAAGAATCTTCATGGGTTTGTTGTTGTCATAAGAAAACAAAGCCATTTCTGGGAAACTCTCATGCCAAGGTGCAGTCGAATTGTGATGGCTGCCGTAGCTTGGAAGTTCTACATCCTTGGGGGACTTGCCGCTTCGATCACTGCTAGCGAATGACGGCAAGTGTTAGAAAATATCATTGCCCGACCCGAGACAGACCCCGAGAGAATATTGAATATGGTCAGAAGACGGTGATAAATTTTATTGCGTTCCTGACGTTTCTTTTTGTTGGACTCATAATGCAGATCTGGCGATTTAACGATGATTGCTAAGATCCAATGGAATGTAACTTCATCAGTGCTCCTATTGAGTGGTATGGATAAAAGTTCGAAATACTTGGATGCGTGTGGTACAGGCGGGACGAATCTTTAGTCGAATGAAAGCATGAGGAAGCCAGAACAGTAGAAGTTTGATTGATGTGGTCTAGTTAACAGTTTCTTTCCACCAAATCAAATGTAATACGACGAAATATCACTCTCAAAATTTAACAATCATGAGCAACCCCACAAAGAGATACGGAATCGCCTTTGAAAAGATACGGTGCATTTTTGCAGAAGGCACTTGCCTCTGGGCTACATGGAGACTCTTGACCTTGGGAGAAGTGTTCATCTTTTTGTTGGGCAGGACTGAGAATATAAGGAAGGGAGCTGTACTCTTCTTATCATGAAGCTACATATTCAATGTTGTTATACAAACCCAGGGTATCTTAATGACTCCTAATAACTCCCAATGTGACTACCACCAATCGTAATATAGTATTAACCAAGCGATCGCAGTACAATCAACGCAGTTCTGGCTCGGACATAAACCCAGGCTCACTCAAACCACTTAGGTCCGGCATCTTGTGTCCACCCATTTTTGCCTGCGTAAAATCCTTCCAAAATTGATCATCATTACCTACATCTCCGCGCTTCAGATCATCGTCAGGCCCTCCAAATTCGTTCGGATCGATCGAAGAGCAAGTGTCATCCTCCTCCTCATCGAGATATGATGGGGGAGGAGATTCATGACGTTCGTCATGAGAATATATCTTCAGTCCACGAACATGTGTATCCTTGCCATTCTGGTGATTCTCCAATACCTTGACTTGTATAATGAATGCGCGTAGCGTTTTTCCATCTGAACCTCCTCCTACGTGATCAAGGTTGACATCAATCCATCCTTTCGGTTGAACAAACGATAGTTCAGAAAACGGAATTAGATCGTGGTAGCCTGTACCTCCAAGCAACTGGATACGTGTTGGAGTATAAGACTCATCGGCTTCGAAGTCAAGGAATATTCGAATGGCTCGAATCTTTGCGAATTTGGCAAAATGAATGTTGAGGTAATGAGGCTGGGGTCCATCGGATCTGCAGGTGGGATATGTCAGTAAATGTGCAAGTCTATCACCGAATAGAGATGAGAAGTAGAGACGAGAAAGCATATATCTCCTTACTGCCAGAACAAATTTGTGTCATCGTCCCGGAGTGCAAGAACTCCACAACCAGGTTTACTACTAGAAACAGTCCAGCTAGCCAAATTTCCGATTTCTTTCAGCCCGAGAGCGGCAGGGTCGAATAATGGTGTATTATCCATGGTAGCTAGATGAGGTGATAAGTTAGCCGATTATACATAATGGGTGGTGAGGTTGTGCATTGATATTCGGAACGGGATGCAAAATACAATCGGATTGCTGTGCTGTAAGATGTACTGGTGCAGGTTGACCGGTTGGAGTTGAGGGAGTGAGAGTAGACATCTTTAAGTTCAAGAGGTTCTGGTTCTGATTCTAGTTACGAGTTCAGTTGCCTTCACTCTTTCCTCCCGATGTGTTGGTGATGTGTGCGGAAAGAAGGGGGAAGCGGGAAAAATAAAATTGTCAAACGAACCGTCAACTGCAACATCGTCCAAACCTATATCTTCGTCTAGGTTTTCTAAATCTTCAATAACAGGATCACCTTCAGATTCGTCTTCTTCTTCATCTTCTCCACCACTTAAGTCTTCTGTGCCTGTGGTTGAATCGAGATCATCTTGTGCATCTCCACCTAATGATAACATACCCTGAATGGGAGTAACATTGTTTTGATCAAATGGGTTGGTCGTACGTCTTCTCCTAGTATTATTATCAATTCTAAAGTGCTCCTGGTAGTTGACAGTAGGAGTATGTGATGGAGGCATCATTAACGAATTAGCAAGGTTGTCATCAATGTTGAATTGCGAAATCATTGATTCAAAGCGAGGCTCAAGCTAGCAAACAAATGAACAAATGTATATATATTTTGCGTAATTTATCTCTACACCGCTTACTATTTATGGACACCGCCCTCGTTCCTGCTGAGCAACACGAGTATTTGTTAGTAATTGTAGTATATCACGTGTCTATTTTATATTTTCCCCTCCATCCTTCTGAGTATCTCGCATTGCCACAAATCTCTATTCATTGCAAGAGTTAGCGTCCTTGTCCTTTATTTGTCATGAGCATGTGGGCATATATATTGCTTCACTATTATGGTCTCCTGGTGGCGGTCTTTAGACGGAGTCATCCTGATCGAATCCAGAATTCGAATATGAACCCGAGAAGTGCGTTATTTCACAAATTTGAAAACTAGTTGTCTCAAGAGATGCTTTTCGATTCCAATACGCGAGCTTTCAAAGAAGCCTCTCACTGCCTCCACCAAAATGAGACTATGTAACCTAATTCCTGAGCATAAAAAATATTGGCACTTTACACATGTCCCATCGGATTGCCAACAATAAATCTTTTGAATTGCAATAAGCTTCATCGTCAAAAAAACTACAAGTATTCATACCTCCCAAATATTGTCAGCTTGAACACTGCTCGTCAACCGAACCGAACCGGCGATTCCAACATAACCGAGTTCAGGAACGCATGTCGAATGGGTTTCACAATTTGTGCGTTGGGATCAGCTCAGAATATCGAATACTAGCATAAAGCGTCTAGTCAATCCTCATGCATTTGAAATATGTGATGACTTTTCAATGGACACCTCTTCCGTTGCTTCAGATGTCAAATACCCATACCTAGTCCTCCCATCCCATCTCATACAAGACATAACGTCCTACTCCAGAGAACAAGAACTAGTGTTACAATAGAGCCACTTAGTATGCTTTTATACTTCCCAAGCTCATTGCATAGCTTGAGAATCCTAAATAATCTATGTGCACCCGGAGATACAAAATCTCCATTCAAGTGCCGGAGCCAAAAATTTGTCCAGATTGTTCGTTGCCTCCCGAGCCTCCGTCCACCGGGTTCCAGATTTCAACACCCAAACTATCTTTCACTGCCTCAACATTACTCATATCGATCTAGTTAAGTTTGATAGACCAAAGAGGCAGTGATCATAGTATCCGAACAAACCCCGACAATTCATTCATTTTGTCAAATGATCATTGGATGAAGGAGTGGAAATATGGCAAGTAAAGTTTCGACTGCCGCGAAACCGGGGACCTGGAATTCTTTCAAAATGACGTTGACTTGTGTTGAAAGACGCGGTACTGGAGTAGATATTTATACCCAAGTAAAGTACTCGTTCGTGTGGTTTACAAAAGCAGATAGGAATTTTCTCCTCTTTACGTTAATAGCTTCCCCTCATTTCCATACCCACAAAACCCCACACCATTGTGAGGACTTCACAACCTTAACGTACGAAGAGCTATTCTTTCCAATCTCGGAATATTGAACTGATAATCAATTGGTAATGCCTACTATTGTATCTGGCCTTAAGAAGTAAGTATATGAATATTCTTTTATCATAGCCCATATATAAGCCTTTTTTGATTCAGTCAATTCTTCCACGTGTGAGAATATCATGCTAATTTAACTCTCAGACTCAAAGAACGTCGAGCTCACGCCAAAGAGCTTCGAGGTCAATCAAATGAATTATACAGATGCTATCAAGATATGAAAGCCGTGGACGATCGATATAACAAGCCTCAGACGTACCATGTGGACCAATTCACACACGCGAACGGAGATGCAGATAAATTACAAAACCTGCGTGCTACGATACCACGGGAAATAGAGATAAGGACTTCAAGTGATTCATCGGCACGCTCATGAAGAAAACGGAATCATAATATGGTCGTGATGGTTTCGGTGATTTTATGAGAAAATGAGTCTCGTTTGAAGCTTACAAGTCAAATTCAAGAGAAAGAAGTGTCTTTGGACTAGGAGCCACGGATCGTTAAACGAACTAGGAAAACCACAGTTCCCTCATCTGCGAGGAGGTCAGGTCGAGTTTGAAATATTTATGGTTGCGTCAAGGTGATACGATGGGCATTTATACAGCATTGTCACTCCCTTGGTGTTGGATTTGGAGTTCACAGTTATCATTGCAGCGATTGGTGGCCGGAGCAGGAGGAATTTTGACAAAGTGCAGTTTATAACTCTCTCTGTTTGTAGAACAATTTGTATATTATATCGTTATCGAGAAATCATCTTTCAAACCAAGCAAGCTGCCAGCAGCCTATGTTTATGCCTCTTTTCCTTTCCTCTCCCGATGCTATCCGACGAGTACTAAAGAATTTCCTCAAGCCATTGGTATAATACAAAGCCTCCAATCCGCAATTAAACGCCATATAATGCATTTCGATCGTCAAGTATAAAACAGACGCTTTCATCTGTGTAATATGAGTCGATGACACTCCAGTCTATTTCCCCCCAGGCGAATTCTAGCACTTCAAACCGCACACATCCAGAGGTGATTATCGCCCATTAATCCCTTCATCTTGGCGGTTGTGTCCGCCATCCCCAACACTCCGTCTTCTTGTGCTTGCTGTCGTCTCGTCTTTTCCATATCTTTATTCTTAATCTCCATCAACAACTCGCTCTGATATTGCCATCTAAGAACGTTCCACTGGGCTGGTACATTCTTGGGTATCTTGTTCTCTTTCAAAATCGCAGGTTTGCTGTAAAAAATGCCTGGTCAGTTTGACTATTTCTTTACCAATCACAGTTTTCTTTTGCTCCTCTCTCTACTTCTAGCTCAATTCATATTCGAGTATGAGGAACCAGAGGGACATTAGGGAGTATGATACTAACTTCAATTCTTCCTCATTAGCCCAACGGTTTGTGAACCTTCCAAGAGAGAACCTGGCAAACTTCGCGATATGCGGGGTGAAAGTATGTACAACCATGGCTCCGTCTGTTTCTTGATGTCTTAATGGATATGATTGGTTGCGGGAGGGGTTGGTTGATTTGTCTATGACGAGATGGACAGAGTATACCAGGCAAAGCAAGACAGCGCAGCGCGCTCCGGATGAGTGAGTTACTCTGCCAACAATTAAGTATGCAGACGAAACTATGGAATTGAAAGATACAAAAGAAACGAAAGGAATGGAATTGTAGGGACAAAGGATACATAAATACTACCTCCACAGGTCACTACCGGCCATTTACTCCACAGAAGCTATCTGCCCTACCGAGATTCATCTTAAACCGCTCAATTTCACCAACGAAGCAGTTATGCAGTTATGCAGTGGAGCAAGGAGAACGATTCACAATTTCAACCACGCTCCAACAAGCCTAAAACATAGTGGAGAAAAAGGGCTGACACTAGTCGCAATACATTCGGTAGGTCCAACCTAGAATACCAACAATTGTTCTTTGGCTCCACTCTGCCTCTGGGCGGTATTTCTGGGGCGGTTCTCAACGGGATTGGACCCGAAAAGATGTGATCCATAATTCGACCGAAGCCGCAACTCGCTCCACGCTGATAGTCAAACACGCCAAAGTCATGCTTTTCCAATCCTCCTGTTCTTTTCTGATTCGTAGCAGAGATCTGGACCACCGTGATCTTCAATTGGTAAATCGCTTCTTGTCGGCTTAGAACAATTTAGGTCACCGACCAACTAACAAGATAACAGTGCAAGGTGGCCAAGTAATATTGTGAACATTATCGTGCTCATATATGCATGCAAAACCCCTCTTGATAGATAAGTGATTTACCACATGCTTTTACATACTAAGGTATGTTGGCTCCAGCAATGAGTTTTCTTATCACATCGAGCAAATGTGAGTAATGTCGAAAAGTTGTGCTGGCGTTTCAAATGCTTACCAAGGAACATTCCCACTGGTTTGCATGTAGAAACGTGGCTGGCTTGGTTCGTGATGTACTGAGTGTGTAACTTGGTCAAATGGAAGAAGACTGCCAAGATTGATATATTTGACCATTGAAATCTTGGTTCGATATTGACATGCTCAAGTCTGTCAACCGAAAATTTCTCTGATTGAAGGATTGATGATGCCTTGATGAAAGACGTATTATCGTTGGCATAGAACGCTACTTTCTCTCAATCCTTCAATCTGCGTTGAAGATATCTTTCAAGGACAACATGTCCAGAAATCTCCTATTCACCCCCTCCCCCAAAAATGCCTTTATCTTGTGCTCTGGTATGGGCCGCAGGGTAAAAGCATGTATAATAAATTTGTTACTCTTTCCCAGTAATATTGGTAGCTTGACAGTGAAAACCATCCCTTTTGAAGTTTTCGGCGGTGGGATCAAAGATGACACTATTGACTACGAGGTAGTATGGGAACATGAATTGACCTACAATAGCCTGCAAAAGTTCCGAAATCTGGTAGGCCGACCATATTTACCAGACTAATCTTACCGGTGCAAACAGATGGTCTTTGATCTTGAACCTACGATACCGCTTCATCAACATTTGACACTTCGCTGGCTTTGCGAAGACTGCTGCCGTGGAGGCAAAATAATTGTGAAAGAGACATATCTTCAGTCAATATTTTGAGCGATTGGTAGGCAATACGAAGAAGAAGTGGTGTTAATTAGTTCTATCTGATTTCATAGTGATCATAGATTTCGAAGGTCAAGACTGTGGAAAGGGATACCAGGTGAGTAAATGAAGCATGAATATAATCAAAATTACAAAAATCAAAGAACACGAGTGGAAGTTGAAAGCGACCTCGAAACCAATATTGCCGCAAACATCATGTGATTGATTGATTGATAAAACAACAGCTTAGGTAATCACCGTCATCTTTCATCTCGCAGTTTCCGGCGTGTCTGAATAAATGCTCTATGAGCTTCAACAATTGCATCACAAAATTCGCAACCAAGATAATCTCACTACGAATACCTACTGTCTTACTTATTGACGTCTCGCCTTCGATACATCTCAATATAAAGAATCAGTATCTTTCAATTCGACACATATTACGGGCGTGTTTGATAAAATAAAACATCTGAGACTATTGTCCATCTATCTGGACTACAGTGTATTCCACGGTATTCTGACAAACCATCATGCGTCTTCACAACCTCCCAACCGAAACCGCATTTCTATCAACCCTCTTCTTTCCACTCCTTTCTTCCGCGCTCGGAAACTTAGATTGTACGAACATAGTTGTTGACAAAAAGCCGTTCAATTTGGAAGCATTAGGTGGGCCACGGTCGGCATTACACAGTGTTAAAGATTCTGTTGGTGAAGCAAAAGGATGGACAAATACAACATACACAATCGACCTTTGTAACCCTATAGTCAAGAAGGGGTTCTATGAGTGTCCAGGTGGGACAAGAGGTAATGTCTCTCCTTATTCTAGGTCTTGTTAAATTTTAGCCACTAGCCAATTCATCGTGTGTTACTCAAAGGGTCTTGGTTCACTAACATCCTTGATGGAACAGTTTGTGGCATAACACATGTTATCAATGAAGGGGAAGGATCAGATGCAACGCAAAAAATTGTTCCATTTGCAGGCGAATTACAAAATTATGGCGGAGGTCCTCTTGACGCTAAAGTGGAACGACTTAGCAACTCTAAATCTCATTCAGACGCCGACAAAGAAGGATTACGTGTAGAGCTAAACGGTGGCTTCATCGAGCAAGGGAAGAATAAGAGGCCGCAAAAAGCTATCGTGGAGTTTATTTGCGATGCGAACAGAACTGGACTGGAAAATCTGTGGGTACCACCAGAGCCGAAAAACAAGCAAAAGGATGAGGAGAAGCACAATGAGAGGGAGGAAGAAGGGAATGATGATGAAGTGATTGGAGCGCCAGGCAACGATTCGAGTCTTCAGTTTGTTAGGTTGGATAAGGATAAAGGCGATGCAGATATCCTAAGGTTGACTTGGCGCACAAAGTATGCTTGTGAGGATGGGCCGAAGGATGATGGTGATGACAAGAAAGGTTCACATTGGGGGTTTTTTACTTGGTTCATTATTATGTATGTGTTTCCGTCCCCTGGTCGTTCTATTCTGCATCACAGGTACAAAAGTGGCGAACGTAGCTAACAAATTTTTGACAGTGCATTCCTTTCAACGGCCGCATACTTAATTTTCGGTTCTTGGCTCAACTACAATAGATATGGCGCTCGTGGATGGGATCTTCTCCCTCACGGAGATACGATTCGTGACGTTCCATACTTATTGAAGGACTGGACCAGGCGAGTTTTGAGTACCGTACAAGGTGGTGGAAGTAGGGGAGGTTATGCGGCAGTATGACCGAGAGCCTTGCTCATCATCTGAGGGGCAGTAGAGGAGCGAATTTTCATATTTATAGGCATTACAATACTGGTAATTATTGGCGGAACACCATCGAGAGAGCGACAGGAGTTAGGCATTTCTAGTGGAGGGCATCAATTTTGTATATCAATTATCGTATTGCTTTCCTGTTCGGTGTCAATTTTAGTTCTCTCGCCCCTCTTGCAAGCTTTGTTCCCCTACCGCAATTGTACTATATATGTACAAATCTATCCAGATGCTAGCATACTGCTAACCGCTGACCGCTGACCGCTGACGCATTTTGAGTAAGGTTGAACAATGCCAGCACTCGCCCTGCAAAAAGCTTTCTACTGTCCCATGCCCTTCAATTGTTTGAAGCAACTTGGAATTTGAAGAGATGCCTTTCGCAGGCGTAATCATGCTTCTGTTCCAGGACGAAAATCAATGTCTCTCATAAACCACCTTGCAAGGTCGGTACCCGGGCAATTATGGTGGTTCGAGAAGTCTCGCAATCATCTGACAATATCAGTATGCTCATCATGACACACTGTATAAACCTGGGGGCCATTTGAAAGTCCAGGCATCTTTCATGAGGCTCAAACTTTGGGCGTTGCGGCTTTCTCGCTTTTAGATACCAATTCCTGGCGTTGATGACACTGGATCAAACAGATTGATCGCCCGCGCCAGGTAGTTTCCTCGGTACCTGCATTGCGGCTCTGCCTTTCAACATCTTCACGAGCCATTATTATACCATCGAGTGATAGGCTTTATGGCTTGAATACTTCAAAAAATTTGAAAACATTGTGTGCTGACACTTTAGGTGCGGTAGAGATCTTACCTTTGCGACCACCTGGTATGTCAACCTTCCTATTCATATGCACCTCCGGGCCCTCGACACGTGCTCAAAGTTGTTAAGATGTTAGGTTTCATCCACTCACTCAATGCTATGGCTTTATTTATTTATTTATTTCTCGGTTCTCCTGTAGGATTTCCCTTTGAATTTCGATTTCGTGGTTCCTATCATCCTTCCTAGCGAACTACTATTCTTCATCGCGACTTGCGGACACCCCGCGATTGCTTACTGATGGTAATTGACGAGTTTAATGCGAAAAATTTCGAAATCTTGGAGAGGGAGAAACTTGGTTTGGTTGTAATTGTATTGTTATTCCTTTCTTCGTGGTAGATCTGGGTCAAGAGCCGGCTGATGTAACAAAGATCAATGACCTTCAAGAGGAATTTCAACCCATAAGTTGACATCGTTGGCAACGTTTTTAAACATGGATTGTAAAGTTGTGATTCTCGTGTTATCCTACAGCTGAAGGCACTTTGGCAGAATAAGGAGGTACAGAAACCGAGTATATCTAGAGCAGTATATTTTCTATCGTTTCCACTAGCTCGTTGAGACCACGTCTTTTAGTTGGTTAGTCAGTTTCCAATGTAAGTTGCAGATAAATTTTAACTTATTTTCTTGGGCTTTTCCCACCTGCAGTGCCCTTGTTTGCCGCCATACTTGTTCACAATTGACTTGGTTACAGCCTAAGATCCTGCAAAAGGCCAATTACACATATATGAGGAACCAATAATCGAGGCGTCATTCTTACACAATTGTATCATGGGAGGTCCGGTAATTTTTTTCCCGGCCCCTGAGAAAGAATGCCCTAAATCAAAAAGTCCAAGAGTTACGACCTGGTAGATTAACAAACGGGGCAACTTTGTAATCTGCATATCTGCGGTCACTTTTTCCTTTTTTCGTCACAAAACGCAGTCATTGATCGAAATGGGCGAATTCACACAATTTTGAGCTGCTTGCCTGCAGCCTTGTCAATCTGACACGCGTCACTTGACAAAGAAAGCCTCAAGCATTTCGGCAACCTTCATTGGCCACCGAGTACAAATGCCCCAAATGCCCAGTTCAAATTTTTGATTATCACGAGATCGTTTCGACATTTTTCTTTCCAATTCAAATAAGTATAAGAAGTTATCAAAGAACATTGTGAAAACCCATCCAACTCATTCATTCTTGCATACCAATATAAAAGGTCTACATACATCAAGCATTTTACACACTTCACAATGCCAGAGTCAACCCAATCGTCGCTACCTCCACCTGCCTACACTAATCATGGTGATGTATCTGTAGCAAGTAATGAGACACCGCCAACGGCGCCGGTAAATCAGCCAACCACCTCAATTTCTCATGAAATAATAGTAGATGCAGCTGCGACGATTCAGGAAGTTGATGCAAGTTTAACGATAGCAGCACCTGACAATCCAGGATTTATCGCAGGCTCCAATACAGCAGAGAGTGACAAAAATCATCCCAATGGATTGCTTTCAAAACTTGAAAATGTTATTCAGCAGCTAGAGTCGTCCCAGGAAGAACGACTTATCACACGACTTGAAAATGTTCTATCACGCCAGGCAGAGGCAAATTCTAGTTTGTTAAGTGAGAAGAAAGACACTAGAAACCCAATCAAGCTTAAAGATGCAGTCGGGAGACGCTTCAGCTTCCCTTATCACCGATGTGAGACCTGGGCAGTAAGTAGAATTAAGCTCCTCCTGTTTTCTGTCAAATTAATTAACATTCTCAGGGGATCTCAGAACTCATTAAAGCAGCATTTCTCCATGTCGAAATCATCGGCCCACATGTTAGCGAAGGACATTACGATATTATGAATCCGGCTGGAGAAGTCATCCTCCCTCAACTCTGGCAAGATCATGTCCAGCCTGGATGGGAGATCTCCATGTCAATGTGGCCAATTCCTGGCCCCCCCAAGCCAAGATTTCCGGCACTAACACCGAATGCACCGGTACATGTTATTGTGGATAGGGTACTTGCACCCGCTCCAAATTGCTTTCGATCGCATCATCCACCTAGCTATTCCAGTGATTTATGTGCCCAGGGCAAAGGAGCTCGTGGGTTATGGCAAAAAATGAAAGGTATATTCACAAGGAAAAAGTAAGTTCGAGAAGAATTACCTTGACTGAAGATGTAAACTAACTTTGCCCAAGGATGACTTACGACTCGGATAGCAGCGAGTCTAGTTGTTGTGATTAATTCCCAGTTCATCATTTTCCGTCAGTTCGAGGTCGGGGGATTTTGTCTTGATACGAATGATTTTATTTCATTCTACAGGAGTCAAGTAACTGTTAGACCGTTGAAATTACCGATTATTCAACAATTCGTCATCTTTGAAAAATGCTCAAAATAAAGTTATGTCATCGATAGCCGTGCTAGTAAGTGTTTCAAAGTAGATGGATTTTAATGGAATGGCCGGCTAGGTAGGAATTGGCAATGTTGCTGGATGTTTCACAGTTCTAGATTATCACAAATGAGAATTTTATAAGTTTTTCCCTAATGGCGAGTCAGAGCATTCCTCCACAATTTTATGATCACTTTAAATGAGCTGAAAGCTCTCTAGGGCTCTTCACAACATCGCATAAGAACATTCGAGAACACCGCCCCTTGTAGGATAAGAACATGCAATGATTCGAGATAGATGCAGCAATACCATTGTTTCTCCTTCAATATGAGTTACAAAAGGACTGGGCTAGGGTGCAAATTTCATGTTTGCGAGCCATTATCTCCCGCGATATGTTGACCGGTATTTCCACCACCAACACTACCTTACCTTTCTAAATTTTCAAATTTGAAAGAGAAAAGAAGAAACAAATAAACAGAACAGCAAAAATATAGTACTCCGGGTGGGACTTGAACCCACAACTTTCGACGGTCATAATAATCTGATTTCTCAGAAGAATATAAGATCGACACGCTAACCATTCTGTATGATATTGTCAGATCAGAATCCTTATATTTCTTATAGGTAGTAGTCGGATTAACTTACGCGTCACCGGGGTTTTCATGTTTGGCATGTTTGATGGAATCGGTATTGTTTTTTGAATACTTGATCATAAACTTAAGAATCTAGGAAGGATTGAGTGAATTGCAGTGGGCTATTGTGGAACTTTGCCGAGTTTGCTGAAGGTATTATAGTTTGAGAAGGAACGATGTCTTTATCTACCTGTCGTCAAGTCTATACTTATACTTGGCACTGTCTCATTGAGATCATTGGCTATAAACAACAAATTCCTCAAACACCTATTTCTTCATCAGGCATCCAATAGTCCGAACTGTAGCTCAATGATATAAGATTTTGAATACTTAATAAAAGCAATCAAAAATTCGAAAAGATTTCTATATTCTAATCAAATTCAATATCCCAATTGATTTAAATATTCTAATTAGTTTAGGGATTTAAGAATCTTCATTCTTGAACTGCAATACGGACTATTGAACACTCTGTTCCCTAAATGATATCCTATAAGATATCTAGTATAGAAATCTAAATCCTCTATCAACAGCAACCTCTTCTCCCTCGCCCTCTTCAACACTCCTTCCTGGGGCAGCTCTACTGTTAACTCCCTCTACAATTTCCCCTCTATCTAACTTCTTATTCAACCCAATCAAATGAAATCGGAGTATTGTTGCAAAAACAATCGATACCACTGACATTGAAAGGTTGACATACATTGCTTTCGCATAACGAGGTGCATCGCTGCCTGTGAGAGGTTAGAACGATAATTTGCCAATATAAATGCAGCTCCAGGGGTAATGAGAGCTTACTAGGATAAAGGTATGGTGAATAAATTTGAGCCACGTTACTCAACGCATTGATACCGGCGAGAGCAGCTGCACGCTTAGATGGAGGTCGAGGAAGTACTATGTACCATTACGTTAGTCTTTGTAACTAACATGGAGCCATTATCCAACATACCATTTGAAATCCAACTAAGTGCAACAACGTATCCCGAATAGTTCGCTCCCACCATGAGGCACATGGCCAAGTACCTCGGTGCAAACTTAGTCGTGCCAGCTGCAATGGCAAAACTGATGAAAGCCAAAACCGGAGGTCCAGCAATGTGTAGATACCTTTCACCACTTGCATCTGCATGCCATGCATTACAAAGAATGGCAATAACAGCAATTAGATATGGGGGTGTTGTCAAGAGAAGTGTTTCAATATTGCTCCTGCCAAGCCCTTTAACAACTGATGGAACAGAGTGGTGACGGTGCCCGCTGATGTAAATCCATAGATAGTGGCGAGAAGAAGCCATGCTTTCGGATCTTTCGCAGCAAGTTTGGCGCCGTGTAAAAATGTTTGTTGCTTACTATCAACCCAGTCATCTTGTCCGATATCTTCTTCTAATCTCCAGGCTGCGAGTTCTTTCTCGTCTTCGGATAGCCAGCTTGTTGTACGTGGAAGATCGGGCAGGATGAAAAAAGCAAACAGCGCTATGAAAACCTGTATTTGTTAGTGAACATGAATTTCGAAAATTGCGGAGCCAGGTTATGAGTACGAACTGTAATCGCGCCCTCGACGATAAAAAGCCACCTCCAAGCACTGAGACCTCTGGCGCCATTCAACCCATTTGTTATACCTGCAGTAATCAACCCTGAGAATGCACCCGAAAGTAGAGATCCTGAGTATAAAAGAGCCGTTCTTTTAACAAGTTCTTTACGTGTGTACCAAGCAGAAAGGTAATACAGGCAACCGGGCTAAATAATGATTAGAAGATAGTACAATGTTAGGTGTAGTGAACAGTATGACTTACAAAGTAAGCCGCCTCAACAAAACCAAGAATGAATCGACAGGCGAGTAGACCACCATAAGTTTGACACCCGGCTGTAGCCCCCGAGATAACCCCCAAACTACCATACATCCAGGAAGATAGAGGGACGGTTTGCCAAGCTTGTTAAGAAGTAGATTAGATGGCACTAATCATGTCCTCGTCAGCAATACTTCATGATCTTGCTTGTTTCTGGGTGCTAGGAATTACCTTGCATCAGCAAATATCCCACAAACAAAATACTAACAGAAGTCTGAAACTGATCTCCTGTCAGATTTAAATCTGTTTCTAGTCCAGCCAATTTTGCAGCAGCAATATTGTTACGGTCCAGGTAGTTCATAACATAAATCAGAACAATCATAGGAAGTAATCTCGTGTCGACTTTTCGCCTCAGTGAAGTTTCAATCCTCTTACGATCTTCTGGTGTAAGATTGCGTACGTAGGCTGGAGCACGACCAGATTTCGCGGGCGTTGAGGAGACATATTCTACGAACTCGACTTCGTTAGAGTTGATCTTAGTGTCGGTGTCCGTATCAGTTGTTGAAGCGCCTAGGGGTGCCATAGCTCATATGATGTGATTCTTGCGGTATTCGCGATTGATAGGGAATGATGTTCTTGATCTAGAAATTGGCACAAGCTTTTAAAATTATATTCGAATTTGGAAAGTAACTCTTACTGGATATACAAGGTAAGATCTAAGTAAAAGATAGCTTGAGAACTCATGATATTGATGAAAGCTATTGCAGCTATAAAGAAATGATACATGGGGACATACAGCTCAAAATGCGGTATGCGGGGCCCCTCACTTCCCCCGCGTTACCCCACGGCTCACGGAAAAGGACGTTGCAACCTTGCCATCACTTATACTCGTAAATACTCGATAGCATAAACGTTCGAAAGGCACGTGGTACTGCTAAAGATCTGCATACGGGTATGCAGCCGTTCAAACATGAATCACATATACATATCCGGTCGGCTACTACAGAATGTTCAATAGTCTGGACTGCAATCCAACAATAAAGATTGCTGAATCCCCAAACCAATTATAACATTCAAAGCATCTAAGATATTGAATTTGATTGGAACGTTAAACTATTTCCAAATTCCAACTGCTTTTAGACATTCACACTCTGAAATTGTTGGACTATAGCCCGGAATATTGGATACCCTGAGCTGCTATCTTGGATCCATACAAACGGATGAAGCTGAGGATGAGAAAAGTGTGTAGCGAGTACACAGCCGGAAATGTCAACGGCATAATGCGGGGATGTGAAACAACCACTGTTGGTGATATTTCCGGATTTTAGATGAAGCTTTAGAATGGCTGGCAATGTGACGTGAACAACGCAATCCTACCCTGACATTTACCAGATTGCGCTTGGCCCTTTGATTTAATCTCAATTGATAAGCTCCTCTCATTTCAATGGTACGGTCACAGCACGAGAACAGCAAAAAGGGTGTTTCGAGAGATAACAGCGTTACACAGAGCACGAATGAGAACGGCTAATACGAGTTGCTTACAATCAAAGACATTGAGAATATTGTACTAAATAGAGCAACCCTAAAAGCGGTGAATACAACAAGCGTACATCAAAGTGATCACCACTCCTTTCTCCAGCTATCGATAAATTTCTTGACCAGCCCACTCCCCACAATGTCGCAACCATTCTTAATAGCCACGGACTTTGAACCTGTCTTGTCCGTTTTGAAGACAAGTCCCTGTCGACCAGGTTTGTCATTATCATATTTTTCAGTGAAGAAATCCAAAAGTTTTATCGTTGGGTTCTTGTCCGGATCTTGTTCGCTCTCCCTGAGTAGCTTTATCCATTCTCTTTGATTGACAATATCAAACTCTAATCCCGCTGCTTGTAAAGCAGGAAGGAGGTCATTGGTCCAGGAGAAAGTGTGTGAATTTTGTACATGGTAGACAATGTCTTTTGAGTCCGGTTCATGCATAGATACTTCTGGTGAATCGTTCTCAAGGCCAGCGATCTCCAGAACAGCTTTTGCAACAATATCAACAGGTAACCAGGAAGGTGTCTATGTATAGTTAGTACTGGCATCAAAAGTGTACACTGTGGTGATTCTCACCTCATCTAGAGCCGGCAAAGCATGAAGCGTTGTAGCACTTCTTATCATCAGTGAGATGGCCTCTGTACTATTCCACAGCCCTTCAATTGTATCTCCAACAATTTGACCAACTCTCAAAACCTTTGCCAGCATTCCAGTCTGTCTCGCAGCTTCTCCGATCAACGTTTCTGTGACTAACTTTGACCGAGCGTATCCCATATTTTGAGCATAATTCAGATTCGTAATGTATGTTTCCTCAATTGTCGCAGGCAAAGGAGTACCTGCTGCCGCTGATATGGAAGAACAGAAAAATAACTTCGCCGGAAAGGGCGTGCGGACAGTGAGGCACAAATTCAAGAGGTTCACGGTTCCTTTGATGTGATGCGACTCAAAGCTTTGGACGCCCAGATTAAAGTTTACAGCCCAGGCACAATGAATCACTGTCGTAAGGTCATCTCGCAAGGCTTGAATTACGGTGGCTTCGAGGCCAAGATTTGTGTTGCTGAGATCTGATGGAAGACAATGAATCTTTGAGAATGATTTTGGCGATAATTTCTTGGCTGAAAGTGTATTTCTGACTCTTTCCTCTGCTTGACGTCGATCCCTAGCTCGGACAAGACAATATATTGCTTTGACGAAGTTTTTCCCTACGAGCTGAGAGAGAACATGAGCCCCAAGTGAGCCGGTAGCACCAGTCAAAATCTTCGGCAAAAGGTTAGTAGGTAACAATAAACTCTTGAACTCATTACTTACAATAGTTTCCCCTTCCACGATCCTCGAGCCTGGGACATGTTGTTCAAAATGAGAGTATTTTTGAATCAATTCCTCCATTATTTTGATCTCATCCTTCTGCTCTGATACCTCGCCTTTTCGAAGAGAATCCAAGTGTTCCGCTAAGTCTTGCACACTTGGAAACTCAAAAACCACATTCTGACTCGGTACTGCAGAAGCCAGATCCAACTCGCGCAAAATGATACCTCGAACTGCAATTGCTTGCAAACTATCAACGCCTGCCTCGAAGAAATCAGCATCTCTTTCGAGGTGCTGGATCCCAATTCGTTCTGCGAAGACACCGAGTAGGAAGTCTTCTAACTGTTCTCTACTCAACTGGAGAGTACCTTTCAAAGAATCTAGTGGTGTCTCAAAGCTCTGATACATAGAATCTATGAGATCTTCGAATTTTTTGTAGAAAGCAGGTCGAATCATGGTTCCTTTATCTGTGCAGGGATAATCAACACCAACGTTTAGAATATGAACCATTTCCTTCGAAATCTGACTGAATTTCTCCACTCTTGAGTTTGCAGCAACTACCACTGGCCAAAGCTTTTCTAACAAAGCTTTTTTACCTATGCTGGTTGCTTTCTCGCTTGGAACAACGATTAAACCAGGAAATGCTCTGCCAACGCCAAACACGCACGCTTCTCTTACCAATTCGTGCTCTCTGATCTGATGCTCGTATGTGATTGGGAGGACTTTTTCGCCATTGACGAGCGTAACACGATCATCTAATCGTCCAAGATATTTCCATGCATTTGGAATTGAAGGATGAGGGGTGAACAAATCACTCGTTTTGAACGAATTTGGAGGATCTTGAGAATTTGAGGTGACTTTTGACGGTAAACCATCTAATACCACACATTCGAATGTGTTCTCTGATTGTTGCACCATTTGAATGTATGGTACACATGATGGTAAAGGTCTGACATAGTTCCATGCTGTATCTTCTCGCGGACGAAAGGAAGTCATGAGCTGCCCTATCTCGGTACTGCATGCTCGGTCAGAATTTATCGTTACTGATGAAGTTCCTGAAACTTACGCGCCGTAATGACCAACTAAATAAACTCCAGCTTGTGTCAAGCGGTCTCCAAGATCATCCGGACAGCTACTTCCCCCAAACAAGACTAATCTGCATCTTCTCAGAGCTTCGATTCCACTTTCGGACTCCGCGAGTAGCTTCAAAGCGTAAGGTACACCATGAAAACTTTCAGGTTTTACTGCAGCCATTCCTTCGATCAAATTCTTTCCCGTCAATGGAAGGTTGGCATTGAACATAGAAATCTCCTTTGCTGAGTGGATCGCTCTAAAGAATGACGATAATCCGTGGTTATGATACAGAGGCAATGTCAAAAATGCCCGGTAACCGAAACTATTGGAGTAGTTGGAGAGACAAGCCGCATGTGTTTGAAATATTGGTTTTGGAAGCCCTGTTGAACCCGATGAATGGATTATGAATGAATTACGCGTTGAATCCAAGGCAGTTCCTACAGATCGAGGAAATCGTGGGGTCAACGGAGCTTTGATATCATATTGAGACTGTCTCAGCAAGGGATACTGAGATATTTCCAGCTCAACTTGAATCAATTTGATAACGCCGTGGTGATTATCTGAAATGACAATTCGCTTACATTTTGTCTTTTCCAGAAGAGAAACGTATGCTTCTGGTGCCAATCGATTAGAAAGCAACAGAACTGCGAAACCCAGGCGTGATAAGGCAAAGATGGTAGCGACGTAATCAAGATTTGACGGTGCTAAAAGCGCAACGACTTCTGCAACCGGACTTTTTGATGACTGTGTTACTATTAGAATGAATACCTAACAGTTAAGTTGCATACTAACACTGGGAATGAGACCAAGTGAAGAGTATGTATTTGCACCATGGTCAGCAAATCGATCAAGATCCCTCGCCGTGTAATGAACATAGTCCGATCTTCCCTTCAGGCTACCGGGATATGCTAATAGAGGGACATCTGGAATAGTCTGACTTCGATTGTAAATCAAGTCGTCGACAGTGTATAGAAGCCGACTAGGTATAGTCTTTGCGGGTTGAGACGAATTTTCTAACCTCTCATGTGGTGCTGTAAATGCTCTAGTCTCGACTATGGCCGACATGGTTCTGAATTGTCTGAATTGTAAAGGGACACAAAGAATGACATGCAGACGTGTGTGTTCTCTGTTTGATGAGGCCTCCTGCCCGGATGTATCAAAGCGCTATATATGACTGGAGGAATATTTTTCCTTGGAAGGGTATTAAGCTGCACAGCATAGCCTACACAAGCATCCGTGCCCCAGGTGCATATCCGAGATCCGGAACTAGGAAAATAACAAATCACGGATTATTCTTGGAGTGGGGAAGCGAATAAGAAGCGTGATGATGAACTAATATCCGGAATTATTACCCATTCCCGTGTCCCATTGATCATTTTGATCTCCTGTAAAGATAAAGTCAAAGCCACCTACTCCACCAGTAACCTATTAAGTAAGCATAGTTTCAATTAAGACTCTATATAAGAACGTACCAAAGAATCAAATTGGCCCCAGCCAGTGAGAGGATCCATAGTCACAGAAGGACTTGACTCGACATAATCGCCATCAGCTCCGTCAATTGAACGTGCTACTGCAATTCCGCCATTCTCATATTCGTGTATCGCATTCGGTGCGGTGACAAGACTTTCACGGTTTGGATGGGAACCGCTCTCGGTCTGGGTAGCATGAGATCCGTGGTTTAATCCTTGTCCTTGGGGGTATGTGATGGCTTCTAGTCTAAGTTCTTCCAGCACTACACTATACCTTTGTGCCAACGATTCATTTTTGGCTTTTGACGAAATCTGGGAATGACAGCGAACAGCAGCTTCAAAGTATTTGATATATTCCTCTCGAGGATGATAGCGGTGTTGTATCGTGTATACGTATAGCACAACTACCGCACAGAATGCGAAATAATGAGTGAACTAGTCGAGTCAGGGTATTGCTGTATATATTTATCAGGAATGGCACTTACCCAAAATGCTTGGTACAGTTGCCCGGCTTCCGTCAAATGATTAACGATGTTAGTGATTTCCATTGCAGCCTGTAAACAATTAAAGACATTTTTGTCCACAGAGTTGCCGGTTGAAGTTTCTCTAGAATGGTACGAGTTTCTTTTATGAAGACTGGCAAAATCTCGCAATAAGAAGGGCCGATGAACTAAGATCAGTGCATGCCAATATGAGAGATTCAGGACATTTCTTTGACGTTGGAATAGAGGTATCAATAGAGACGTATCTACACCCTTAGCATCTAGAAACCCAGTAAACTTTGTCCGCCACTCTTGGAGATTTTTGCAATACTGATCTGCTAGAGAAAGACGAATAGTGGAGGATGGTGGACGAATGGAATAGAGATCGCGAAGAATATGACTGATTATCTGGGACAGCCTGTAGAGGAGTGAGCTTGTAAACACAAAATCGAGATTCTTACGCTTACATTCCATGCGCGATAGGTGCCATCATGATAGACTGGGCTCTAGACTTATTGACGTGAACATGTCTTGAAGTAAGATCAGAGTCATTTACACAACTTGGGAGTTCCTAAATTGAGGTCTTAGAATCTTATTGGGCAATCGCGATCGTTAGCCTGAAATAGGAATGGCTCACTTGATCTATATCATCATCGTGAAAGGTTCGAGGTCTTCCGAGAGCTGCACTTAGATAATTGTCCAGTGTGTATGCACACCAAAAAACTCGCTTTCTGCATTCTAGTTCAATCATATCCACATTATTGTGGGACTCTAGACGTCTCTTGCGATGGATACCAAGAGCGAGGATCAGATGAGCCGTTGTTCCGAATAAGCTCCAACAATGGTTGACCCTCGACTGTGATAAGAGATAGAAGCATTGACACAGCCGAGCTTGAACACTAGTTAAAAGCACTCCTCCAGTTTCAGATGTCAGTTGACGATCAGCGGCGTGGAAGTATCGGGAACTACAGTATTATTAGCTTCGGCAAAATAACATGATGATAATTGATTCAATTTCAAAGTATACAAGTTCTCGAAGTATCAGGCTGGATATGAAAGCTACCTATGCTCCACCATAATTTGATGACCAGAAACATCCAATATTTGAGTGCAATCGACAGTGATTTGGCCAATTAAATAGCCGGAAGTCTCTCGTGAAAAATTTAATTCTTAATCATTGGGCATCTCGCAGTATTTACCTCGTATCAATGTCATTCTGTTTGCCAACGCCTGGCATGTAATCTCTTGCTTGAGCAAAAACCATAAATAAAAGAGCCGTTCGTCCTTTGGCGCCGCTTTTCCGTTGGAAAGTTCCCAGATTATCGTAAAATTCATGTACCCAGAGTTCAATAGTTGGGCGATGTAGAAAGCGATGGGTCGGAACTGCAAAATCAAAGTATCTTGCAACAAGATTCTCGGCGTCGGATTTTGGGGGAAGCACGAAAAAGGAAGGGTCAAATTCTGGTAGGGGAGCATCCCCAAATGTGAATATTGATGAATCTTGGGAGAGTGTGATCTCTCGGTGTAACTTCTTCTGTACTCTCAATAGAAAAGAGGCCCCAGAGGAAGGACCCACGTAGTGTCCCTGGAGGTCAGTCTGCGGAGGCTCTGGTGAGTTCCGAGATGATTGCATTCTCGAAATTGGGTTCGAGTTCTCAGCGATAGTAGGCTGGAGCCGGGCCAGTGTTGATGCAGCTATAGCTACATCATGTGGGATACTGGTAAAATCTCCGCTCAATTGACTATGGAACGCACTGTGATGATCTGGGAAAGGTTTGGCAGCTTCAATCACGTGTTCATGTTCAACACTAGTAGAACTTTCGGCATTTTTAGAAATGCCTCCGAGATGTTCAAGTTGTTCTTTCTCTGTCGTTATCGGAGGTATTCTCCCACGCCTATAGGCTGCTGTAAACTCACAGATCAAACCAGCAGTTGTACAGAGATTGCAAGGTTGATTTCCGCTGCATCTTGTCTTTTTTCTTTGAAATGCATTTGTGAGATGTCTTTTCCGCAAAATGTAGGGTTTCACCATCTTACCTCTTACAACGATCGCAAGCTCGACTTACACGTATTCTCTCAGTCTCATCCCTTTTCCGTCTTTTTGCTGCGGGCGCCGGTCGAGTGCCTGTGCTCTCGTCCCTTGGATGAGCTACCTCAGCTGTTGACGGAGAATTCAACGAAGTGTGTGGTTGTCGAGCTTCCGCCATTATGATTTTCGTGGTGCCAACCTTCTCAGATCCGAAACATAGAAGAATGCTTCCGAAGGGGTCTGCAGGATAATGGTTCATAGAATTGTCCTTGGTCCGGATATTTGAAAGCTGGTGGTGCGGGGAAGTTAAGCTTTCCGGCTAAAGCAAATGACAGGGGGTTTCGGGTCTCCCACTTTTGGGCCCAAGCGGCAATTTCAGGATTAGTCGCTAGCAGATATTGCTCCTCACCTTTCCCGAGCGTACATACGGAAATGCCCATTTTTTCAATATCTGCAGAACAATGAAGAATTATTGGGTGGAGGAATTGAAATGTCATATTTTGAGCTATTTTACCATTCTCTAATCTCACCGCCTGGGCCAATGAACCCCGGGCTCACCCAAGGCTCCGCTCCTTGAGAAAGTCTACGTACTTGCTCCTCGTCAATATTTATGCCAAGTCCTGGTCCCTTCATCAAATCAATATAACCGCCGGTTACCTTCCAGACCTCTGGATTGGTTGTGTAACTCGTAAGGTCTTGCCCGCCAACGTTGTAATGGATACCCAAGCTCATTTCTTGAATGACATGATTTGAGCAAGCCGCCGCGATCTGAATATTGGCTGCGAGAGCAATAGGTCCTAAAGGGCAGTGCGGCGCGAGAGCAACGTCATAAGTCTCGGCCATAGTGGCGATACGTTTCATCTCACTGATCCCACCACAATGACTAATGTCTGGCTGTAAAATATCAATAGCACCAGCTTCAAGGAATGGTCGAATATCCCATCGACTATGGAGACGTTCACCCAGGGCAATTGGGGTACTTGTCAGTTGCGAAAGATCTTTGATGCCACCAATGTGTTCTGAAAGTAGTGGCTCTTCCAAGAACATTGGTCGATGTGGTTCCAGAGCCTTTGCTAGCTGCTTGGCCATCGGCTTATGAACTCTACCATGAAAGTCAACTCCAACATCCATTCCAAGCTCTTTGACAGCTTTCACTCGTTCTATACAGCTATCCAGGGCAGATGGCGAGTCAAACCATCCCAGATCTTCTGTACCATTCATTTTGACTGCTGTAAACCCTTGGTCTTTTCTAGCCTGACTACTCTTATTAACTTCTGTCCGTAGAGGTTGGGGATAACATACGCTTGGCCGGCAATATCAGAAGGTCTATCTCCACCAATCCAGGCGTATACTTTAATCTTGTCCCTGACTTTTCCACCAAGTAACTGATAAATGGGTACATTTAATCTTCTAGCTGGAGAAAGAATCAGCTCAGGTACTTAAGTAGATTGATGAAGCATACCTTTCAAATCCCACAAAGCAATATCGATTCCGGATAATGCGCTCATGAGAACCGGGCCTCCACGATAGAATCCACTTCTCCAAGACATTTGCCATATATGTTCAATATCACTACAACTAGTTATTAGTTGTACTAATACGACACCTTAAGTCCACATACTCAGCTTCCATGCCCGTGTATCTCGCGATATAAGCGTCTAAACAACCCTCAACGGCTTGGGTATGGCCCTCAAGAGAGGCTTCGCCCCAACCTACATTGCCACCTTTGTCTGTGATTTTTACAAAGAGCCATCGAGGTGGTACACGAAAGTATTCGATAGATGCTATCTCCGGCATAATGAAATCTGTGATAAATGTGTAACTGTGGGCGTGCAAGTCAGAACTATATGTGGTCTCAGATGAATAGCTGTCTGATTCCGAAGACCCGAAGGCCGGAAGTAGGGTGGGGTAAGGATGCAGTAGATCTGATGATCCCGGGTAAGTATTGCATCCACAAATTTGAAATCCGGTCATGAGCGAGGAGTTTTATTGCAGGGACCTGGCAAATTAAGATGTTTAATTTTACTATTCAACGATAACTAGCATAGTATTCATGTGGCGCGCAACTTCCTTTGAGATTCTTTCCAATCTTCGACACTCTTTCTCAAACTTTCTGGGCTGACCTCGCCAAAAATATCCACTCCAAGCCGTGCTGGAAAATTGTATCGATGGTTTCGGTCCAAAGAACATATCTTCTGGAATGCATCATCTGGCAGTTCAAAGTCTAGCGATGGAATCAGCTTACCAAACTTGTGGATGCTGAGTATAGAGGTATCACTAACCTTGGAAATTATCGTTTATACGCTCTGGCGTAACGGATTTTGGAAGAACAATAGTGCCTCTCTGGACAGCCCAACTGATAAGTAGTTGCGCTGGCTGCTTTCCCAAGCTTTTGGCGAGGGAAATCACAGTGGGGTCATCTACGCCTCTTGGCAAGTTGTATATATTGTTCCCAAGTGGACTGTAGGCGGCCACTGCAATATTCTGGGACTTGTGCCAATTCAACAACTCCGGTTGTTGCAAATAAGGGTGTGCTTCAATCTGATTGACAGCCGGCGGAATTTTGGCAGTTTCTAACAGAGTTTCGACTTTTTCTCTGGTGAAGTTGCTAACCCCGATACTTCTAATCTTTCCCTTTTTGACAAGGTCTTCCAAAGCTGCCCACGTGTCTTTGATTGGAACATCGACTACAATGATTTCCTCTGTTTTGGGGTCAACCGGGAATCTTTCCTTGGACTGCGGGAACGCAACTGGCCAGTGGATCAGATAAAGGTCAAGATAATCAGTCTGAAGGTCTCGTAAAGATAAATCGAGCGCGGCTTCCACATCTTCAGGCTTGTGATCTGTATTCCATAGTTTGCCCGTAACCTAAACATGTTTCAATCAGCACGTAATTAGTAAAGAAGTAACGTGTCAGTGCTCACAAATATATCTTTCCTGTCTACCCCTGATGCTTTGATTCCTTCTCCGACTTCCGTTTCGTTCCCGTATACAGCCGCTGCATCGATATGGCGATATCCTGTTTTTAGTGCATGTGCAACAGCCTTCTTTACTTCATTTGGTTTTGACTGCCACGTCCCTAAACCAACCACTGGAATGCTGTATCCTGAGTTCAACTTGACAGAGCGATTGAGGGCCATGATGAAATGAAACCGCGAGAATATCTGTCAGTATTGTTTAATGACACATTGGCAGATACTCGAGATTTTAAAGGGAAATCAGAGCTACTGTGGATGCATCAATACTGCATCAATGATGTCTTTTTGACTTATCCGTAGGCAGGTAGCCCGGGTATGCTTTTCCGTAGGCATTGGTGGATAAAGAACATGTGCACTTCCGCACCTGATCATAATCGAATGATACGATTAATAAGATGAATCAGTATGATATTGAATCTCTGATAAAATGGAGGCGCATCTCTCATACATTCAGCTCAAGTTTGTTAAGGAATTTCTTGAAGTGAAGCTCTGAGACGTGCAATCACGTAGTGATGACTAATCAAAGTGAAGTACCTCCCGAGGGAGTTTTTGTTCCCGTCCCGACCTTCTTTAAGCCATCAACAACACCTCTTTCTACAGATCAAGCAGCAGTAGATGTTTCAACCCAAGTTCAACACAGTATTCACCTTGCGAAGAATGGGATACGTGGACTTGTGCTTCTTGGAAGTACAGGAGAAGCCATTCATCTTTCACGCCTCGAACGATCCGAATTGATAGCTGGTGTTCGAAATGGACTTACCTCCGCAGGCTTCTCAAAGTACCCAATTATGGCAGGCGTTCTAACGAACTCTTTAAATGAAGCATTAGAATGGTTGGCCGATGCAAAGGAAGCTGGAGCACAGTGGGGTCTTGTGCTTGCACCTGGCTATTTCGGTCCTGCTGCGAACCAAGAAAACATTAAAGAATGGTACAAGATTGTGGCAGATGCTAGTCCTATTCCAATCTTAATGTAATATCCATCTCTCTCTCGTGTTTTCATAAAGATCTAATTGGCTACCTCCGCAGCTATCATTATCCTGGAGTTACAAACAACATCACAATAAGTCTCGAGACTTACACGGAGCTCGCTGCTCATCCCAATATCGTCGGTTGCAAGATGTCCCATGGAAATGTTTCACACCATCTGCAAGTCTCCTTGACGCCAGATATCGATCACGATAACTTCCGCGTATTCAGTGGGTTCGGCCAACAGCTTGGCCCTATTGTACAATTTGGCGCGGCCGGTGCGATTGATGGGCTTGCCGCAATTTATCCTCGAACAGTTGCACGTCTTTTTGAACTTGCGAAAAAGCGTCCTATTGAATCCGCAGAATTGCAAGAATTGCTGTCGCTTCAGTTCTCTGTGAGCCGCGCAGAGGAATTTGTCGTGAGATGGGGAATAATCGGGATCAAGGAAGGGGTTTATCGAACTTTAGGTATGGGAAATTTGGAAGGTGGAAGATTGCCCTTGAGGGGTAAACTACCTGATGGAGAATGGCAGTCCTGGCATTTTGCCACTAGTGTCATGGAAAAACTCGAAAGTTCATAAGTTTTCACGGCCTATGATGTTTTCAACAACTGTCAATCTACACATTAGCTAAATTTAATGTTGTGGATATAGAAAAGCTCAAATTAAACACATTGTTGAAGCAGTTGCCATCCCTTGGGAACAGATTCGTCCAACTCTGGGCCGAACATCCTGCCACATGATGTTCTCTCCATTTTCACTCATCTCCCCAAAATTAAGTTTTGGAGGACTATGCGCAAGTCATCTACTTCATCTGTATTTCAAGATGGTCACTTGCCTTCTGATATTCACTAAACTTTCATGAATCGACAGATCATGAAACGACTGATTGAAATGCAATATCTCTTTTCTTCACAGTATCTTCACCAAGAAGTCCCCTCCTTGCTGGGGATATATTTCACAAATCAATGCGCCTTGTGCTCATTAACTTTTACTTATAAATCCTATTTCATTTCTCAAATTATGCCACTCATCCACTTCTTACCGTCACTAAATCCGTACTTCGAGGGATGCCGCGGCGCATTCTTAACATTCTCGTATGAAGCATATTTGACATATTCAATCAGCACGCAATGATCAGAATCATACGTCCAAGTCAGGAACCAGCTACTTTATTGAAGAACAAATCTCCCGCTGAGAACACGTTCAAGCAGAATTGCCCAAAAGCTACCGGAAATTTTACATCTAGAACAAAATTCTTTAGCCTACACAAAATGCGAACAACTGGCGCTTTAATCTTCCGTTTCTTTTGCGTAAGATGCTCCGTTTATCAGGAGGTTTGAGTCTCTGGATCAAAGGTCTGGCTGCAAACCGGAACAATGATATGGATGGTGAATGTGAAAAAGTTTCTATTGTCTACATGCATACGCATTCCTCTTGTAGTATGTCATGAATTCAAGATTAAACAAGCATATCTTCAAATTTGTCAGCGATACTGACAGAATTAGGCTGTGGAGATGTTGCCTTAGCAAAGGCACTTTGCGAGTACTGCGTTAATCTTATCGGGTCTGTCCCTTTACCGACGGTTACCAACCTACTACACTTTCTTATGGCCCACAACAGCACTGGTGTCAGCCAGCTATCACCAGGCATCATGTTATGCCACGCGAGATTAGTAGTGGTTGTAAACTTGAGTGATGGAGAGATATATTGCAGATGCCCAACGCAATAAAATTCTTCGAACTCTATTATGGCTTCGTAGATCCGCATGTTATGTTCGTCAGGTGTAATTTGGATTATTTGAGTGGTGGCCCAACGTACACTGCGACAGATAGTATTGAAAAGACGAGGAGAGAAGAGCGGAAGAACGCAAATGCTAAAATTGATCAGGAGAGGTACCCGGAACAATCGAAAATCACAAGGAAAGAGTGAACGATATTGAAATGGCACTTGGTGAAACGCATGAGATGAGCACGGGGAGGAGTAAGGAGAACGGAGAGAAACCTAGGGGGAATTTTCTCTCGGTATCAACCAACGATGAAGAGGTAGTGATACTGTGTAACTTTGAACAATACCAGGCACTTGAATCCGAATACAAACAAGCTGGAAACAGTTGGTGATGACGATTCCGGTAATGTAAAGGAGGAAGATTCCTGTGAATCTGCCAAAACAACACAAAAAAGTTCGTCCAAGGAGAAAGAGTTGAGAGACAAACACAAACGTGATCGGCCATCTAAGGTTGATTTCGAGCCCTGCAGATTTTTTGACAGCTATAGTCGGGCATGCGAGGACTAGAAAGATTGACTCAAATGGGTCTACTACGACAGGACATGTAAGCGGCTATTCCTGTTCCACCGTGCAATTACCAAGCTTCTACTGATGGAAAGGGAAAATGAAAGGAGGGGAAAGCCAGAACAATTTGAATGGTGAATTGGATGGCTTTTGGGCGATATTAAGGGATGGGTGGAGAAGAACAGGTGCCAAAAGCCGGACTGGAATACTTGGGAGGAGCTGGAGTCGGAAACAGCTCACAAGATGCATTCTATATATATATATATATATATATATAGGATATGAACACATGTACTAAAGCTAAGAGTTAAATTGGATTGGGTCAGTGGATTGATGATTCACCAACACCCTATGAGGTGGTATTTGCAGTCGATTGGCGTTCCTCTCTCAAGAATATGCTGAGTATTAGCCATCCTTTATAGATGAAACCAACTCAATTCTGATACTTCGCTCATGATATCTTCTTCGTACCACACTCCCTCCGATTTCGAAATGCTCTTTCCATTCATTTCAGTTGTGATTATCAAGTTCCCCGATTTCATGCCGTAGATTCGGCAGCGATCCGACAAACAACCCCTCCCGCTAGGCCTGTGCCATGCTGACATTGTACATGAGACAGAATTTTTAAGCATAAATTCCTGGGACCCAGAACATTTGCGACCCAAAATCCGTCTTCATATCCGCTAGCTATCATAATGATATTTACCGACGCCTTATTAGCTCACATCGACTTTCAATTATGTTGCAACTTGCGATACAACTGCATTATTGAAGGCTGATAATGAAGGGGCTAGGGAGAAATGGAAAGTCCGTGCATAGTAACCTTATAGGTTGTGTTTGTCGAATGGATTCAACTGGAACAGTCACTTGTTTTCCCATCACTAGCAGAAATCTAGATGGAATTCAATTTCGATATACTTTATTTATTTATTGGGATTGTCGGTGTGCAACAAGAGTCATCTAGATATCTGTTGTGTCTCACTCACAAGCCATCTCCAATTTGAGATCATCACTGACATGTCGCTCCTTTCTACCCAATTGCCAGTTTCGAGCTTACAAAATGGACGATGGTGCTATCGACGTTTGTAGTACAATGTGAATTCGAAAGGCAGCAACTTTATTTCATCTGATTCCGGTGCATGATGTGTGTGAAACATTCATCTGTGTGGGAAGTTTTTGGCCGACAGCTACTAGTTAGTTGATAGCTCAAAAACGCACAGAGCTCCAATAAACCGTATTTTGTAGATTCATAATAACGAAGGTAGCTGTTGAAATTTTCAAATTGTTCTTCCCTCAGTTTGTCCTTGCGCTCCTGATATCGGAATCCAACGGAAAACAGAAAATTCACGTTGTTGTACGGGGTTCCCTTGTAGCCTCTAAGTCTAAACGTCATCGACGCCGAATTCAGCGAACAAAATATCAGAAGCTTACTACCTCGAAATTGTCTCAACGACAAACTCTCTCGAAAACTTGGACATTGTGGTCAGTAGGGAGGGAATTCTTGGAGAAGTTTTCAGGGAAAGCACGAGTTAGCTCAGCAACGCAACGATCTACCAACTATGACATCGACAATGGTCGGAATAGACCATCTGCTTCTTGGTATGTTTTTTCCGTCATTTCATTCCAATATGATCCCTTACTTAATAAATCTCCAGGTACGCAAGAGCTCCTCCTCGCGATTCCACACCTTATACGTCCAATTCTTCTCACGTTTGCTCTGTTCTTTGCTGTGTGTGTATTTATGTGCGCAGTCGCATATGCTTTTATCGCCGTGAAGTCGAGTTTATATACGATTGTCAAGGATTCAGATGATATCTGCTCGAAATGGATGAAGAAGATTGTCGCTAGTGATGAATTTATTGAGATAGGAGTATTGGGGTATGTGTTTGTGGTTGCGTTCGGGTAGGGAGGGGATTGGATCTGGTGCTTGGAGTTTGTTGGTGAGGAAGCGAAGGAGCGAGTGAGTGGGTAAAGGGTAGGACAGACGGGCAGGTTGCTATGAAACGAAACCATGGTCTTTAGCTGCAGAGAGTCAGTATCCTGATTTGCAGTGTTTAAGAATTACAAGAAGCATTTGAACGATCTGTTTAGCCCTCGGACATGATTATCAACATAAGAACGCGTGGAGAAAGGGTTGATGGAATAGATGATTCGAGTCTTCTGGACCACAACCATGCTTTTGGTTGCCAAAACATCATCACAAAGTAACAGTTGGCTAACAATATCAGTAGAGAGATAATATTCTCTCTGCTCTCATTTGGATTCGCGGTAGAAAGATGCCAGAAATATCCATCACCTTCATATTACTACTTCTTGGAACAGGTATTCAATAGTCACAATGTAGCTCAGCAACTTAGAACTTTGAAGGGCTGAAATTGGTTAAATCATTTAAACAAACTCAAAGGTTGAACGTGTAACCCAACAAATTGAGACTTTCAATATCTGAATGCAATTTAATCATTTGAATAGCCCCAAAGACTGAACATCTTGCGAAAGTTGAGTGGTCTTGAGCTATTGAATCCCTGTGATTGACGTACTGCAGCCCAGACCATGGGAAGCACAAATCTAACAAAAGCTTCCATAGAGAAGTCTAGGATATTTAACACCAAATGCCGAGAGATCACAGTCCATACGCGATTTTGGGTGTAGTCAAGTAGAATTTGAAAGTAACATAGTATTCTCACACTAATCAAGTTTTATAGTCACAGGAGGGAAGTTATTATGCGCAGCAATATTGAATTGAATATTTACAAGTAATCAAAAGTATATACATCTCGAAGAACTCAGCCCCAAAACATCACCCATCAAAAGTCGACGTGTGAATCTCCTCCAAATTTCCTTCCATTGCAACCTGGCAACCGAACTCCCACTAAATGATTTAGTAGGTAACTGTTCCGAAACCAGCGCTGGCGGTAACGCTGGCGACAACACCGCTGTATGCGGCGGCGGAAGCGACGTTCTTTCCGGAGAAATCGGAGAAGAAGCTGGTGGTGGAGGAACTGAAAGTACCAGAAGAACCGAAACCGTTGACTTGACAAGTGTGTCCAAGATAGGCGGTACAGGCTGCGTTGGCGGTGGTAGATGGAGCAGTGAAGAGCTCACCGTCGATTGGAGATTCAGCGACGACTGGGATGTTCTGGAAAACGTTGCCCTCAGCGACGACGTAGGCACCGGCACCGATCTCGAACGCGTGTCCGGAGTTGTCGTACCAGTAGTTGTTAACAGCATGGAGGACAGTGTTTCCTTGAACCTTGGGGGAACGTCCAGAAGTGTGGTAGATATAGTTACCCTTCATGGTGACCAAATCGTTGGAACCATCAAGGTAGATACCCCAGTAGTGGTATCCGTCACAAGTGGCAGAGTAATCAGAGACACCGTTGATGTAGTTGTTGGAGAGAGTAACACGGTTGGAAGCGAGCGTACCAAGAACGATGTGTTGACGGGCGATGTGGTAAGTGGTGACGTGATCAATCCAGATCATATCGGCATCGTTGATAGTAATAGCGTCACCTCCCCAGACGTACTTGGGGTTGATTTCTTCGATCTTGATGTTTCTAAATCCAGGGTTAGTATGAATTTAGCTAGAATGAGCTCGTACACTACTTACTGAATGATGATGTTGCTAGCACCGGAAACCATACGGAGACCCTTTCCTTGGATGATACCAGTGGAACCCTCACCGATCAAAGTCTTGTCGGAAGCAACCGTGATACCAAGGACACCAGCGTTGTCGTAAGTGACGCTGGCAGCTGGAGCATCTGGCTCATAGTTCTCACACCATCCACTGGCGCCATCGATAGCAAGTTGGCAGTTGGATGCGGTACCCCATGGTGCACATCCAGTGGCAGTGGTGGTACCCTCGGTTCCTCTGAAATCGAAGGTCTTGGTGAGGACGATGACACGAGGAGAGGAGTCTCCCAAGTAGGAAACCAGTTCGTCGGTTGTGGTTGGGTAGACAGCAGTTGCGGAACCACCACCAGTAACACCTTTGGCGAAACCTTCTGCGGCTCCGTTGACTGCGACAGCAGCAGAAACAGTTTGTGCGACTGCGGCAAGCGCTGCGCTGAAAAGAGTGAACGACTTCATGTTGAAGTCAAAGAGTGTGTAATATGTAGTGAGAAGTGAAGAGAGATCGTTGGGATGAGGAGAAAAAAAAACTTGATACAGGACTTACATTCTGTTTATATAACTTTTTGGTAACTTGCCATTTACCGTACTAACAATAAATGTTGCCCCCCCTTCCCCCCCAATTAGAGAATATAGTAAGCCAAGAACCTAGAGTGGGAATTTGATGGGACCTTAGAGGATGCTGGGTTGAGGTTCATCACAAAAGGCCCCTGTCACTGATTGAACATGGATGGCGGATTCAACTTTGAGTGGCATGCCCACCCTTTGAAGAAAGAAGTTCTTTTCATCCAAACTCTCCAGGAGATAGGTGGATACTTCTCGGAATCATCCAAAGTAGTACGCATCAGCGGAAGAACTTGTTGTCGAGTGTAGTACACGCGCAAGGTGGTCATGTTTCATTTGAATCAATGATATATCAAATAGGCTTAGTCTACGAAGTATAGACAGGTGCAAGGTTGCAATTTACATTAGCTAGGGGGTTGGTTGCCGCCTCTCGCTTTTGAAGCTCAAATCACCTTACTCTATGCACTCGCATTTTAAAGTTAGCAAATTTCCGAATAAGGAAACAGAGGTCCCTGGATTCTTCCAGGCATCCTGCTTCCATCGATGGTTCTATGAAGGCCAGATAGTCCGCTGCCGGGTTTGAAGGGAAATTATGTTCACCGTTGAATTTACATTGTGTCATGGTAACACGAAATTCCTGCAATTGCAAAGACATTTTCAAGCATTGTGCATCCCATTCTCTGAAGGGTTCCAAAGAACATTCTTCAAATTTGGAAAATATATTGCAACTGATTGTAATCATGCATCAAGGAGGTTCGTGTGCCAATTGTGGGGGTTTCATCGCGGTGAATAGGATGAGTTGGGATGCAATCTCCATTTTCTATCCCTGAATCCACACGAGGCCAGGTATCTTGATTCTTGATTGGGGCGATGGCTCAATCAGTAATTGACGACACGCCGGGACATTGTTGATGGCATGATAGTATGATGATACCGAATGTTGAATCCTCGCAAATTTCATTTCAAGAATTTTCCGTGTTCAATGCCAAGATGGAATATAGTATCATTAATATTCCGCCAAATACCGTTCAAACAATTGCCGGCAGCAATACATGCAGCCCTAGATAGAATCCTGATCAGCCAAGGTCACAAGAACTTAGGCAACGCGTGTACCCGCTGCCGCCACCATTTATCGTTGCTAAAGCTCTGGGCGATGGGAATAGCAGCAACGACATTCGAAATATTACACGTTTGTTCTTTTTTTTTGTTTCTGTCATTGTTTATGGAGTCCGTGGTAAGTTCAGGGGACGAGCTTAGACGCTTGGCCTTGTTTCACGATTTTTATCACAATAAAGTTGGCGGATCTCTTGATTTGGTTAACCGCTTTCCGCTTATATAGGAGGCAAGATACTGAGGTTACACATTATCACAAAGTTACAGAGCTTCGACGCAAACTTTCCGCTGTATCCACTACGTCGCCGAGAAGCCGAACCATATTCATGAATTGATTTTCACTGGGGCTTGAACTCAGTTTAGAAATGACTCTGATGATTAAGATAAAATAAAAACTACATTTTCATGCTCTCCTATCAATCTCCCACTCAAATAATTACTCTACATGTTTGAAGGTGTCATCATTGAGATTCAGTCTTTTTGTAATTAGCCGGAGTAGCCCCCCAGGCCAACCGTCTAGCGTGATACGAAGAGTGGGTATGCCAAGTGCGAAGGCCAAGGCAATATGATATATTTGTTAAGTGGCTCAGTAGCTTACGGAATGTTTTGCCCGCAAACTAAAAGCTAACATACATACACCTCTATCTCGGAAACAGAATGGACTGCTCGTGAATATTGCAATTACCCCCTTTCACTTCCTCTGGCACGTAGACAGAACCAAACAATACTGGGTAATCAATGAACTCCTTCTGGAAGGTGTTTGTGAGGAAACGTCTGGTGACTGTGACATTTCGGGGACTTCGGGGATTTCGGGCATATTGTTCTGGAGCAATTACCAAGTACAGATGGCCTGTGTAGATCAAATTCCCAAAAGCATCAAAAAAAAACACATGCGCTGCAACTACTCTTCCTCGAATCAGATACATCGAGAGCCTCCTAAACTCCCCATGGCTTGATTCTACTCCATAACATCGGAAGGATAGTGCCTACTACCCAGAGCCAGACTCGATAACGTCTGATCTCACTGGCAATTGAACAGATCTGGTATAGCCACTACAGAGTAAAATGCGATGGAGATGCCTCCGGACCTAAGTAAAGCCTCAATTGGTGGCTTCATTTCAGCCCTGATTTCTATCCACACCTTTGATGCTGGTGGAGCTATTTTGAATGGGGCATCAGAAATTGATTATGGGCTATAGACGACGCATGGGCCAAGTAAGAGGAACAACTGAATGGCATTCATGCAAGATCTGAGAGATGTCTGTCGGTCTAGAAAGGGGTCAAGATGATGAAGGAGGCTCAAAGCCTGGCTTGCAGGCAGATGAGAATGCGCACAACGTTACCACGCAAATTGTAAAATGTGATCAAGTTTCCACTGTCCGAATGATCAAATCCTTGTGCGAGTACGCAAGTATACATCAAGTGATACAAAGTACCATGTAGCTAGCAATTTGCTACATGCAATAGTTCAGCAAGGATAGTCTTAAGAAGGCTCTTGATGCGCTTCCTGAGGCGCAATTCTTGTCCTTGATGAAGTTTATTCGAGGGAAATTGACACACTCTTCACGACCAACGGAAAATTGAAATTCATTGTCCAAACAACGTAAGTCAGCCTGGGGCAGATATCAGTGATATGCGAATGCGATCAACCGTAGCTGAGCCGTCAAGGTTGGGGTTGGCAACCCCGGGATTATCATCATGCCACTCTGCTCGTCAGGGTGATACTTATGGCCGCGTATGGCCCGAAGTCAGCAGCTCACGAAGCTTAAAAGAATGTCGAAATTCCATAGCTCTTGGCGTTACCCGCTGCGGAGCGAGATCTTAAATTGCAAAATCTTTGGCAAGTGTAAGCTTTCGGATAATGGCTTGTACATAGCATTCCGCATGTTGTGACGAATCTCTTTACTTGGCGGATTTCTGCCGGGGGCAGAAGTAGGCAAGCTTCGAGCAAATAAGCCTTCGGAAAGCTTGCAGACTCCTCGGTCCAAGCTACAATCTACACTGGAGTACTTTGAGCATCGAAAGATTTTTCAAACTCAGAAAGATTGAATGCAACTAGGAAGTTTTGGCTTTCAATGTAAGATACTAAATTCTAAGAAAATCATCTTGTGATATGCGTTCAAGTCATGATAACCCCAGGCGAGTTGATCCAGTAGAAGACAGCAGCAGGCCTATTAGAGTGCCATCAATGAACATGTAAGCAGTTTGGAATGTGACGACTAGCTTTTTAAGAGCTTGAGTCGAATGAAAATAAATATTGGCAACGTGCAATATGTGTTATATTGAGGTGTCAGTTTAATATCTCAATTCATATTACAGTCTTGACAAAATGCGAGAATAGCTGCAGACCGTACCCAGTAGTCCGGAGCTAGATTCCATGATCGAAAGTCATCGCTGTTTGATTTGAATCAGGAGGTCCAAGCGATGCAAAGATCATATCTCCCTTGTAGGTTCATTCGTGATCGTTTGAATGATTAGAAATCCAAGGTGACTTGTTTATATCATTTTAGTGTAAGTTTTTCCTTAACTTTAAAGGCCAGTCATAGACCACTTCCTGTACAACAATAAGGAGTCTGGCTCCTCTTCTCCCTCTTATTAAGGTCAGAACTTTGCGAGGGCAATGAAAGTAATACTATCCCATTAGTCAGAACAAACGTGCCTGACTTGGTAAGCTCCCGAACCCCAAATATTATTAGACCATTTAGTATATTTATAAGAATATTAAAGAGTATTTGCCCATAAGTGGCCTCAAATGAGCAGTATTAGAGATAAATATCATGTATTCAAAGGGTGGATGACTATTAACTTAAACTTTTGGAAACTGCTAGAGATCCTGAAATAATTTACAGAACAGTGGTCCAATAATCCTAGTCAACATAGCGTAGATTCGCAAGGCTAGAAGAAGTCAACTTTCTGTGTAGTCGATGAAAATTGGAATCAACAGATTGTTGACGCCCGACATTTCAAGCAAGCACGGAAAATTTATCGTTCCGCCAATTGGATTGACTTCTTTGTTTGTCAATACAGACTCACAGGTCCAAGCCTCATTGTTGCGGATCGTAATACCAACTCTAATAGAGGCATCAGAAATGGATTTTCCAAAGAGCATTTGTTCGGAAGAAACGTCTGTTAAATTGTAAGATTATTTCTTGAATGAACTGTATCTTCCAAGCAGGCCTTGGCCCTATAGCCTCTCCTTTTGTCAATACCAATCGTTTCCCCTCCAATAAAGCTCCTAAGAATACCACTAGAAGTAGATGCATCCTGCAGGACTGAAAATCTAAGCTTAGCAAGTGTCCCTCTCTATACACGCGGTCATTAAGTATGTTCCTTTGAAATTGTGGAGAGGGATTCTGGTGAGTTCTTGACCAACGTGGATGTGGCTAGAGTGAATCATTCCGCAAAACTAGAGAAGACTTTCTCATCCGGCCTGGATTACCAAGGTTGGCCCAATCCTCATTATTCAATTTAGAATCTGGTAAAAAGGCAAGACCTTTGATGCCTCTGAATCCTTTGAACAAGCAATCAGCAAGGATTAGATCAACGCGGTTCACGAGACTGGTCTTCGAAGTTGATCGTGAAGCAAGGTGAAGAAGGAGTTGTGGCTGAAAGACTTGCAAGGCGTGTATCAATATCGCTGAAGATGACATAGTAATTTGTGGTTCATGGCCATCATCACACATACTCCCAGTGAGTCCCCTCTAGCATGGAACACTTGATCAATCAGCATTGGAACTCGAGAACTTCGAAACAGCGTTCCCAATTCGAAATTTACTCGTGTTATCTGTAGGTCAATAAAGGGCCCCTACCGATACCCCTTTTTTCTTCAAAAGGAATCGTACACCTAAGCAGACGAAGAAGGGGTGACCAGAAGTACAATCGGGTTCCCATTGTCTTCCTGCTCAAACAAGTCAGTAGTGTCCTATTTGGAAATAAGAAACATATAATTACTGATCCTATCAGTGTTAGTAGAAACCCAAATCTCGACTCATTCCATCATATTAATCATGCTGCCTATCTTGTAGAGGACATGCGCATGAAGAAATTGCATCTAAGATGTATAAAATATGATCCTGAAACTCTCTGAATGGCAAATGTAATTTCTCATGTCTAGCGGTAACCTTTGCTAGTAATTGGTCCATTAAAAAGCTGGTCTTCTCGGAATGAGAGCATGATTTTCATGGGTGATGCTATACAGGCCTTGGGCAAGTGAAGACGAGATGTATTCAATTATTCATTATTTATAAATGAACAATGTGGTCAAACACACAGCTCAAGATGCAGCCACAAGGATGGAAGATGGCGCATTCTTCCATCGTTGCATTTGAAAAGTTGTCCAGAAGCACTTCTCACTTGAAAAGGCTATCGAAGGGTGCGAGAAAGCTCGAATGCCCAAAACACATTTGAATCAACAAGCTGCACTTGTAAATGATGTGTCAATATTGCTACGAGCGACAGAGAATAAAAAGTTGATGTAAGGATATCGATTGCTGTACTCGCATCCGAAGTTCTTGTCCCCGCTGCGTTCGTTGTCTTGAATGGTTGCCGTAGACTCAGGCAGCAGGTGAGGTTAACTGACCTGAACGCTAGCTAGTGATACCGAAACAACTCCTTACGCATATTTTTGTTCCAGCCAGCACTTTTGCTTTACATCAAATTAACTACCATCATGTACAACTATCTAATAAATGAAATGCGGATTTCTCTTTGGAAGCTTCTCTGCATCATTTCATGGAATGACGGCGAGCTACACCCCATTTCTTCTCTATCTGATAAGGATGGGGAATCACCGACTTTAGATTATGCAGGCAACTTCATCAATTGCCAATCGTTAGCCCACGAGCACGTTGGAAGTGTAACTCCGCGTCGTTACTAGGTAGTTACCGGTACCAGTTCATTTTAGCTTTTAGGTAGTAGATCCCACCCAGTGCTTTCAATCCTTTCCTATTCGCTGTCTGTCTTATTTTTAACAATCAAAAATATACATTGGGTGGCTGGCAGCGAAGGCAGTTGGGTGTATATCTGTTTGAAAGTCCCTCGCTCACATTCAGTCTCCAAGTGAGAAAGCTGAAACTTCGGCCAAGGTCTAATTCTCTCGATTTGTGTGATTCCTTTATCAATCATCGGTTTCTTGTCAAGCATAGGTGTCATTTACGGGATTTTCACGTTCTACCATCTGTGGCATTAGGGAGACATGGCCAAACATTTCCTCGTCGCCTTAATTTTCGCGGGATACCTTGCTCCTCTTACCCAAGCTGGAGCCGAACTAGAAAAAGAGTCTCAATTACCAGGGGAACCATCCTTTGTTGTCCCGTCGGCATTCCCAACCTCAGTGTTTTCGAGTTACTATCTCAAACCTGCTGCAACTGCCGAACCCCAACCAGCTTTGTACGATCCGATACTAAACATCACCTTTCCTCTTAATCTTACCAACCCCACAACCGTACCAACTGCTACTGATGATCCGGTATACTATCCAGAGGCTGTCGGCAATCCGAGCAATACACCTCCAGAAACATTGCTCCAGAATGCGTTAAACGAGGTTAAGGATATCATTTACAATCAAACTGGGCTTTCAAGTAATTGTTCAAAATGTATTGCTGCATTGAGCGTAGGGAAGACTCTCGCCCAGCAAGCTCCAGAATATGTACCTGATGCTTTAATTTCGTTATGTCAAGCCACAGGCTTTGCAACAAACACCACGTGCAAAAATAACTATGCACCAGGGAGTTGGGGTGCGATATGGACACAAGTGCTAGCATTGGCTGATGTTACTGGATCAGACGGTCAATATATATGTAGTTCTCTGAGCACTACTTATTGTCCGCTCCCCAGCGCAGCGCCATTAAATACTACCGGATTGTGGAAGCCAAAGCCGGCCAACGTAACGGCTCCAAGACCAAGTGGACAACGAAAGAAAGTCCTTCATCTTTCGGATTTTCACCTTGACCCTAGATATCAAGTTGCTTCTGAGGCAAATTGCTCTTCTGGCATGTGTTGTAGATACACCGATGCACCCACTTCTCAGGCAATATTTCCGGCACCATTATATGGGTCTTACAAGTATGTTTCATGTTCCGATGTCATTGGAATGACCAAATAATGGATTATGTAGATGCGATACCCCATACTTTCTTGCGCTAGCAGCTCTTCAATCCATTGGGGCTATGACCGGTACCAACGGCTATGGATTGGAACCAGCTTTCACAATCTATACAGGTGATTAACCAGAACTTCTTCCATACCTTCTCGCTAACGTCCCACTAGGTGATCTCGTTTCCCATGATGCTCAAAACCAAATGTCACGAGAATACGTTGAGTATACAGAGACTAGTATCTACTCAATGCTGAAATCCTACATCAAGAACCCTATCTTCCCCGTACTAGGAAACCATGATTCAACCCCGGAAAACATTGATAGTCCCCACAGCTTACCTGGTCCTTTGGGTAAGCAGTTTAGTTGGAACTACGATCATGTCTCTTCCTTGTGGCAGCACGAAGGATGGCTGAGCAAAGCAGATGCCGAAGAAGCTGCTATCCACTACGCTGCTTATTCCGTGAAAACACATGTCGGACTTCGGATTATCACATTGAATACCGACTTTTGGTACAGGTCTAACTATCTTAACTTCATCAACACGACAGACCCTGATGTTTCCGGCTCATTTAAATTCATGATAGACGAGCTTCAAATGGCGGAAGATGCTGGCGAGAGGGTCTGGATTCTTGGCCACGTATTGTCAGGGTGGGATGGAACCAATCCACTCCCAAACCCAACAAATCTTTTCTATCAAATCGTCGACCGCTATTCACCCCATGTCATCGCCAACGTTTTCTGGGGTCATACGCATGAAGATCAAGTGCTTATTTACTACTCCAACAACGGAACCGTGCAAAATTCCTCAAACGCTTTAACAACCGGATGGATTGGACCCAGCGTAACTCCACTGACAAACGTGAATTCCGGCTATCGCATGTATGAAATTGACACCGGATCATTTGAAATCATGGACGCATATACATTTTATTCCGACGTAAACACCTATTCTTCCCTTAATGGGACTGGCCCTACCTACCAGTTCGAGTACTCTACAAGAGCTACCTATGGACCATCAATTTCTTGGCCAGAAGATGCGCCGCTCAATGCGACATTTTGGCATGGTGTTACGGAAGCGATGGAGAGAAACAGAACGTTAGTAGAGGTGTTTAATACGTTTCAAGGAAAAAGTTCTATCAAGAGCCCGAATTGTACAAGTGATGCTTGTGCGCAGGCAAAGGTGTGTTATATGAGGAGTGGAAGTGCGCCGATCGGGAGGGCTTGTCCGCAGGGATTTGCGAGCGTGCAGAGTCCTTATCTTGGGAAGAACTTTTGAGGGAAAGGGGAAGATGATTGGGAATTTAAAAGTCTAGATAAAACCACCATTTTACTGGCCGAGTGTCTAATGACCTAATAAAATACATTCAGCCTATGATAATATCTCATGTTTCGATCTGATAGTGTGTATGACTTTAAGGCATCGTCTGAAGATCTCAATCACAGGATTCATTCATGGTGCATGAAACGTAAAATATCATACAACATCGTATCATTAAAATTTAGTATTTGTGTTGAATTCATATACTCTAGCCCACCCTCTAGCCAGACTTCTTTTTCCTGATAGCCATAGCTTCTTGACCCAGCTCCTCCAAAGCATCCTCATAAGTTTCCTTCTTGTACTCGCCAAATTTCCTTGCATCAACAACTACTCTCTTGACCTTCTCTCCGTCTTTCCTCCTAATTCCTTCACTCTTTGCAACCTCATTAAAAAACCATCTCGCCTCAGTGTTCCCAACTAAAGTCCATGCAGAACCTTGTCTCCCTGCTCTCGCTGTTCTACCTACTCTGTGTACATAATTTGTAATGCTTGTAGGAACGTCATAATTTATAACATGCGCAAGATCAGGAAGATCGAGACCACGAGAGACGAGGTCAGAAGCGACGAGGATTTGGAGTTTACCTCGAGAGAATGAGGCGATAGAGGCCCTGCGCTCAGAGGAACGGGTGGTAGAGGTGAGAGTTCCAATGATATTGGTGTAGGAATCGTTGATCAAGGAAAGTAAACGACCGAGACGGATGGCGGATTCGTTAGATTTGGTGAATATGAGTACACCATGAGGTTCGTGATTGATTGGTAGTGGATTAGTTTTGATTTTTGATTTCGACTTGAGCGATGATCTTGAATCTGGCTTTGAGTCTGAATCGGTGTCTGATTCTGAGCTGTCGTCCGAGGACGAACTGTCTTCTGAGCTGTCTTCGTCTGAACTGGAATCAGAAGAAGAATCCGAATCCGTGTCTGTGTCGGATTTAATCTCGCTCTCATCTATCATGTCATTTCCCTTCAATATTTCAATCAAATACAAAGGCTTCAGATTCTCGTCATCGACCTTGACAGCAAATTCAGTAAGTCCAGATGGTAGAACATGCGCCTGTGATCCCTTTCCATTATCACCTGCTGATGAACCTTCTAGGACTACCAATTTTGGTCGATAGAGCTTCAAACTAGTCAATTGACCAATATCTCTGGTCATCGTAGCACTGAGAACAATTTTTCTCACTCTATCCTTATTACTTGGAAGTGATTTCTGCCCTGCCGCTAAGGAATTCATAACAATATCCAACCATTGCTGGAAACTTTGATCCAGGAGCTTATCTGCTTCGTCTATAACAAGCCATTTGACATGCTGTAGAGTAAATCCTGGGGTAGACTTTAAATGCTCTACCAATCTTCCCGGTGTGCAGATAAGAATATCAACCTTTGATACCGGCTCAATGACATGATCAGGCAAAGGAGAAGCGGTTTCATCATCGAAGAACGGTTCACCTTCATCATCTATTCCAGCATCCGAACTCTCCCATCGAGAATTTTTTCGCTCTTCTTGCTCGTGGTATAGTATCGGATCATACCGATACGTATTTTCCACAAGGTTTGCTTGTTCCACTTTGAAGGCTTCATTTCCTACTGCTGTGCCTATCTTTACACGTTTTCTACTGCCAGCAGAAAATGCACTCGAACATACCTCACATACTTCACGCGCTTGAGATACAAGTTCTCGAGTTGGCATAACGATTAATCCACGTAGACGAGTGACTGTATTACGACTGATATCTTGGGTCATGGGTAAAACGTATGATAGAGTCTTTCCGGATCCGGTGGCCGCTGACACCAATACATCTCCAGGCTTTTGCTGAGAACCAGGAAGTAGGAGAGGAAGTACTGCGGCTTGAACGGCGAATGCTTCATTAAAGCTTTTGGACCGAAGAACATTGGCAGCTTCAACCTCGACCCCTAAAACGGAAAATTGGGCAGTAGTTGTAGGCGAGACTAGAATTGGTGACGCAAGCCATGAAGGGAGAGTAGATTCGAGCGATGGAGGCGGAAGTTCGGGAATTGGTTCTGGTTGCGGCAGTGGGACTAAATCGTGGATCTCCCCAGGTTCCTCTGGCTCTTGGGCGTTCTCAACGACTACACCCTCCTCAGCAGCTTTGCGCGCACGTCTCTCAGCCTTCTTGATAGACTTCTCGCGCTTCTCTAATACCCTTTTATGTCTTGTATCATCTATATCCTCATTACTTTCTGCAGTATCCCGAGACGAAATGGTTTCGATCTTCGACTTCGACTTCTTTGATTTCTTGTCCTTCCTTGTCACTTCTTGCGCTTCTTCTGGCGAGACAGTATCATTATGTGGCTCCTCGGAAACTGATGACATGAGTGCTGTCACAGACTTCTCTTTCTTCTCTTTTCTTGCCTTCTTGGAAATGGGCTCTGGCGTGGGCTGAACGACATCTTCGTGCTTTCGTTTGGAGGCTGGAGATGGCGATTCTGGTGCAGCTATGGGGGCGTCTTGTTGCGTATTTGGTTTTGGTTTTGATTTAGAAGGTGGTACATAACGCGCATAAGTTGAGGAGGCATCTGGTCGTGTAGCAGGTGGGGCGAGAGGAGGAGAGGATGATTTGGGGGGAGATGGAGGGGCCTCGATAGAATTCTCTTGCGTTGTTACCTTCTTTTTAGAAGGAGGGACATATCTTGAATACATCTGTAAGTTTTTTAATTGATAATTCAACAATTGTCAATGTCAATTGACGATTTTCAAAACTTTCTTCAGTTGATTAAGAAAGAACTGAGAAATGGAAAATAAAATTTTACGGAGACTTTAGCGACTAAAGTGGCAGTTAATTGAGCGCGACAAAATTCCCGAAAGTCTAGGCCCCAAAGCTGCCAAAGCTTCCTACTTCAGCCCTCACTGATGATATCGATTGTCATCATCATGATGAATTTGCACCAGAAACTACAAGTGATTCCTCCCTGAACTCAAATTAACATTCTCCCCTTGATCGGTTGATCTTAGCAACAGTTGTTGTATTTGTTGTCAAGATGCCGTACAATATAGCTATGGTCAGCGACTTCTTCTTTCCACAACCAGGAGGTGTCGAAAGTCATATCTACCAACTCTCTACGAAGCTCATCGACCGAGGACACAAAGTCATAATTATTACACATGCATATGAGGATAGGACCGGTGTCAGATATCTTACAAATGGTCTCAAAGTCTACCATGTCCCATTCCTCGTTATGTTTCGTTCTTGTACCTTTCCCACGGTCTTCTCGTTCTTCCCAATCTTCCGCAATATCGTCCTACGAGAACAAATAGAGATCGTTCATGGCCATGCAAGCATGAGTAGCATGTGCCATGAAGCCATATTACATGCAAGGACGATGGGACTGCGGACTGTATTCACAGATCACTCATTATTTGGGTTCGCAGATGCCGGCAATATATTGATCAACAAGCTTCTCAAATTTACATTGAGTGATGTTGATCATGTAGTGTGTGTCAGCCATACATGGTAGGATCATCCAATTACACCCTTTCGAAACCCCTAATTCCCTAACACATTGTAGTAAAGAAAACACGGTTTTGCGCGCTTCCCTTGATCCTCTTATGGTCTCTGTCATTCCAAATGCAGTCGTGGCAGAAAACTTCCGACCTCTATCACACCCTTCATATCCATCCGACCCCCCAGGAAAGCATCCTCCACCAGCCCCGTATCCACTTGGTCCGCACGATGTGATCACAATTGTCGTGGTTTCTAGACTGTTTTACAATAAAGGGACCGACCTATTGATTGCAGCAATTCCCCGAATTCTCGCCCACCATCCCAATGTACATTTTATAATTGCAGGATCTGGTCCAAAGGCCATCGACCTTGAACAAATGCTGGAGAAGAACGTGTTACAAGATAAAGTTGAGATGCTAGGGCCTGTCAGGCATGAAGAGGTCCGAGATGTTATGGTTAGAGGGCACATATATCTACATCCGAGTTTGACCGAAGCTTTTGGAACCGTGATAGTTGAAGCTGCTAGCTGTGGGTTATATGTTGTATGCACACAGGTTGGAGGAATTCCAGAAGTGCTTCCATCACATATGACAGTTTTTGCCAAGCCAGACGAAGATGATCTGGTTGCTGCTACCGGCCGAGCAATTGCGTCTTTGAGAGCTAACAAAGTTCGTACCGAAAAGTTTCATGATCAAGTGAAGCTGATGTATTCATGGACAGATGTGGCAGAGAGAACAGAAAGGATTTATGATGGAATCTTCGGTGTTCTGAGCGAAGCGGAATTCTATGGATATGACGCAGCTGATGCAGCTAGCTGGAGCGCCACGAGAGGAAGGGCTGGTGTACAGAGCTTTGCCTTGATCGATCGTCTCAAGAGATACTATGGTTGCGGAATTTGGGCAGGTAAACTCTTTTGCCTCTGTGTGATCATCGATTATCTGTTATATTTGCTGCTCGAAGTCGTGGCCCCTAGAGATAAAATTGACATTTCGAGGAGTTGGCCGAAGAAGATACCACAAGATTCTTCTAGGAGAGATCGCGAAAGTAGGAAAGAGTTTGGATAGTATCGCGTGATTGATTATGGACCCGCGACATACACTTCTCACAGATGACAAAAAGGCCATCGCTTTCGATGTTTCTAGTCAAGGCCTGTTTGGTGAGTAGAAAAAGAGTCGAACATTGACGCTTCCATCCATGCATCGTGGAGACTTGGTCGTGAAAAGCTAGGAACCTACTATTCTATCGTACCCTACAATGAGCCGAGGGTTTGGGTAGCTCTTGTCACCTTGCCCATGAGATCCGGATCACGTCGACATTGGCAACTTTCACTTCTGCCCTGGGATGTTCTTGTTGGTAGTAGATTTCGTCCCGTGGGTATTTGCGCTAGAGGTTCTGGAGCATTGAGAGTCCAATGATCAACATGCACCTAGACACTAACTCTATACGATTCAAGATCAATCTAGACTTCGGGGTTTTACGATACTATTCAAACGCAGCAAAGGCATCGTCCTTAATTACAGTGCTTATTATGAGCTTGTTTAATAATTTAATCGAATTTTGGGATGAATGATGAGCTATGGTGGTTGATGATGCTTGGATTAAGCAAGGTCTGGTCTGGATTTGCGCGAATGGAAATGAAGTAAAGGTGCACCTCTCCAAAGACCAGATTTCGTTCGACCTATCAACTTTTCGAGCTTTATTTACCTTGTGTACGATGTGATTACTGGTATCGGCTCTATGTAACGAGCCACTTCAGTTGCCCAGAGGCCAGCCGCTATGACCTCTAGTAGACTCGCCATTGGAGGACAAGAGTAAGGCGTCAATAGGTGATCGACTTTTGGCACTCGTTGTGCAAAATATTCCAGCATGAAAGAGGTTCAGATCAACATTTCGAACTCCTACTATTGAGTACATTTTGAAAGCATTCAAAATGCTAAATGCCGAGTTTTTAGTTCCTGGATTTTCAGATACTGGCTTCTTCATAGGAGTGAGTAATAACGAGAAGTGTATGGATTGATTGCGTAGAGGTATTAGAGCCTGCTCAGAACAAGAATTTGATGGTTTCCAAGCAACACACGCGGAGTATGCAATGAGCCAGCACTCAACGCACATTTGTAATATGCAGCTGCAAGGGCACGTAAAGACCTCTTCATTGTTTTGGGTCCCCAGCCGCGGATCCTCACTCTGCACCTGTATGTTTACTTCAGCTGTGAGTGAGTTCCTCCCGCTAAACAAGATTGGATGTAAACCCAACGAAAACCCAGCCACCCATCTCAACTCAAGCTTCAAATAAGGTTTTACCCTTTCCAGATGCAACCCAGTCCAGGGCAGGATGACAATGTGTCGTTGTCACCTGGGGTGGTTGGCCATATTGTGAATAACCAATAAGTACTTAGTAAACATGTCACCTCAGACGTCCCAGAAGTGCCGAGGTGCGTATCCCCAAAAAGAAAACCTTAAATCTCTTTGCCCCGCGAATCAGTATGGGACGTGCTCCTACTCTACGTAGGGGGGAAAAGAGACCGGAATTACCCATCTTGATCTCTATTAGAATCGTTCAATCAATTGACTTATAATTCAACTACAAATAAAACAAATGAATCTGAAAATACTGAGATAATTTTGACATTCTAATTATCTTATGTCCTCCCAAAGGATTTATTTTACTTCAACCGTAAAGGGAAAAAATTGGGTTATCGCAAGATTAAAAACGTGATCAAACCCTGCCGCTTTTTTATTTTTAGTACAGTCGTTCAAAGACACTTCGCTGAGGACGTGCCCAAGATCTACCCGAGATCCACAATATTAGCAACCTTTTCTCTCCTGAATGGTCAAAACGCCGTCTCGTGCCTTGATGACCCGTGTGGCGACTATGCCTATATGAGTGGCTGCAATTGTACTTCACACAGAGGACAATGCCATTCAGGGTTTCCATCCCATTTCCAGGGGCTGTTGATCGAATTCAATCTTCAATATCGTCGGAGGTTCCTCCTATTGCGTCAACTACCGGTCCTGCGCGCATTCCAATGACGCCAGTGGCATTCTCGTAATACGCCACATAATATCCCATCTCAGCTTGCTATGACCGTTTCGGTGCCACTAAGGTTATGGGCTGGGTTAATGCTAAGCTGAGAATTCTATTATCAACATTCTTGATACTTTTCAATGGCTCGGATGTCACTACGCTGTTCTTTTGCGGTGAATCAGCTTGAAGATTTAAGGCCGCCAGCATCTTAGATGCTTGCTTTTAAAATGGCGGTCTAATGATTGGGTAGGAAAAATGCCTCCTTGTTGTGGGTAGCTTTGACCCTTAGGAGTCGGGACCACCGAGACAGAAATTCCGAACTTTACCACCTGCATTGCCCAAGTCCCGGGTTATGGGATGAGGAAGGTGAGTGTGGGCAAAAGGAACCACATCACGCGCGGTTGGCAATGACTGGTAGCGAAGTTGCGGCGAGCCTGCCAAGAAGTAAAAGAAATCTCCGAATGCATCTCAGAAAAGCTTACTCCAGATCTTAATACTCTGGGCGATATAAGTATGGACCATAACCATGAGTGATCTCCCCAGAATTCTCTACCATTCGCAACTCTTATCCACTCCAACTTTCTCCTCTTCCCTCCATTGTTCAGAAGATTTTCAAGATGAAGTACAGTTTTGCAATAACAGGCCTCGCCCTATGCTTTACAAAGACCCTCGCCTTCCCTTCCCGCATGTTTGACAATGTTCAATCCATGAGCGCAGAAGAGAAGCGATCTCTTGAAAAGATCACTGCCCAGATTGAAGCTGGAATTGAGAAACGTGTATCGAGTTCTCGCTCTGTTGCATTCTCTGCACCCGACCAATATGTATCCAACACGGGCAATCATGCATTTGTTGCTCCAGGACCCAACGATTTACGTGGTCCCTGTCCTGGTAAGGAACCCCTCGAATCGATCGTTTGGTCTGAAATGAATGGTTCGAAAAATGACTTCATAGGTCAATGCTAATGCTCGTCTATAGGGTTAAATGCTATGGCCAACCACAACTACATTCCTCACAATGGAGTAGCGACAATTTCGCAATTTGTTCAAGGAACCTATGACGGTGAGTTATATATCGTCGTGATTCTAAATGTCTCGTACTGACGTAAGAGATAGTATTTGGCATGGGTGCTGATCTTGGAGCATTCCTCTCTATATATGGTGCTATCTTCGACGGGGATTTGACAAGTTGGTCTATTGGAGGACCTCCATCTGGAGGCCTGCTGAGCACAATTGGACTTCTTGGTAAACCTCAAGGATTAATCGGATCACACAACAAATATGAGTCTGATGTATCACCTGCACGTCCGGATCTTTATGAATAGTAAGTTATACCATATCTCAGGGTCGGGGGAATAAAGATATTAACGGTGACTAGTGGCAATAATTACAAAGTGATCTTGCCTCAATTTGAAGAGATGTACGCTTTGCCGCTGGGTCCGAATGGTTACGATTTATCAGTTCTGACTCCCTTCCGAGCAACTCGTTTCCAACAATCTATTGACAATAATCCATATTTCTTCAACGGACCTTTTTCAGGAATCGCTGTACAACCTGCAGCATACACTTTCATTTATCGATATATGGCAAACAAATCCTCTGAATATCCCGAGGGCTACTTGAATGGCGATGTCTTGAAATCATTCTATTCTGTTACTGGAGAGCCAGGTAGCTTTGTGTGGACAGAAGGACATGAGAAAATCCCTGACAACTGGTATAAACGCGCTCTTGGTGACGAATACGGTCTTGTTCCTTTCGCACTCGATCTCAACATTGCAGCTCTTGAACACCCCGAGTTCCTTTCCGTTGGAGGAAACACCGGCACGGTGAACTCATTCACAGGCGTAGACCTTAAGAATTTGACGGGCGGTGTATTTGATGTTACCACGTTGGCCGAGGGAAATAACGCTATTTGTTTTGCATTCCAAGTTGCTCAGCAGGCTGCTCCTGATATTCTCAAGGGTATATTGTCTAATACTGCCTCTGCTTTGAGTCAGCTGAATGCAGCAGTTTCTGCAGCGTTGAGTGGGTTGAGTTGTCCTCAGTTGAAGAGTATTGATACTTCGCAATTTGCCCAATTTCCTGGTGCGAAGGGGGCTTATTAGCTACGATGGATGATTGATAATGTCATTTGGCAATGAATTTATGTGGATTTGATATGGGAATGGGAACGGTTCAGCTGTTGGCTTTCTTTGTATATAGTTTTTATATTGTCTATGAGCGAATCTCGAATGGTCTTCAACATTATTATAAATGTCGTATTTGCGGTTGCTATGTGAATCTGACCAACCATTGGTTTGAGATAGGCACCAATGTGGATAAGTATGCTGACAATTCATGGCAGCCTAACGATATTGTTCTTCAGAAACTCGTCCAAAGTCTCTGTGATTTCTCTCCTCGACCACCATTATTCGTCAAACTGTCATGTTATTCTCTAGCAAAGAATTATGTAGGGGAAACTTTGGAGTTTCCGATATGTGCAGATTGTGAGGATATCATCAATGTCGCAATACCAAAGTCAAAGAATTTTCCCAAGTTTCGACGATTTGTTTCTTCCGAGTCGTGTACCGTCAAGTACTCTGCTGAGCAAGGTTGCGCAGTGTGTAAGCTCGTACCTACAATATTTCAAAGTCCACCTGTGGTGACAAAGTCGATATTTTTAACAAAAAGAAATTCGATATAAATCCTTATACAAGTTTCTATTACATACATTACAATATTAAAGTTTTATTTGTTAGTTATAAATAATCTGATTTGTTATTAACGAATAAAATCAATACTTTTTGTAATCTGTTTATTATTAGATCTTAATAAAAAGGTTTGAAAATGTGTTAATAAAATTATAAGTTTAGAAATTCAATTATAAATAAATATAAAAATAATATCAACTCAAGTTAAATTATGATCTATTTGTTATTCAATACAAAGCTTTATCTATAGAATCAAAGTTATAAACCTATTCTAATACTTTTATTTAATCTTCTCTATTTTGATAATATATGGCCTAAAATATTTATATAAAGTCCTTCAATTTCTATTTAAAATTATTTAAGAAAAAAATAATAATAACAATTTTGATAGTACAAAAAATATATATTCTTTAACAAATTAATTTTTTTCTGAATAGAACTAACAAATAGATTCATTTGTCTCTATTAATAAAATAAGCAATAGGTTGGTACACAACCACATCTAACCTTAAGCGAATCAGCCTTCTAATCTAATATTTTTAATTGTGTGCGACCTAGTGACTCACAGCGCATTATACAGCACCTAATCAAAATATCCATAATATAATCTATTAAACACCTCTTTATCAAGCTTCATAACCAACTCCCTGGATCCAGCTCTCTTTATCCGTCCATTACAATGGCCGATCCCATATTCCACCTTACCACCCCCCACCTCTTTATAGGCTACTTCGACGCCAATAATCCCATCCACTGCACCTTCCTCGTCACTCTCTACAACACCCCCGAATTCATTGCCGCTGAAGGCAAGACCGCTATCATCTCTCCCGAGGCTGCACGCGAAAGAATCGCCACCCGCTTCGTCGAGGAACATGCCCGCAACGGCTATGGTCAATTCCTCGTATACCTGAGAAGTGACTCAGACCCCTCATTCTCGGCTGCGATACCCATTGGCTCCGTGTGCTTGACGAAGGGCAACAATCCGGATTCGTTTGATTTGCCAGATGTGGGATTCGCGCTTGTCTCTGAGGTGCATGGGAGGGGTTATGCGACGGAAGCTGCGCGTGCGCTGTTGGAGTATGTCAAGAAGGAGCAAGGACTAGAGAACTATTTTGGATTTACGAGTTCGGGAAATGCGGCTAGTATGAGGGTAATGAAGAAGTTGGGCATGGTAGATTTAGGAGTTCAGCCATTTCAAGGAGAGGAGACGCATGTGTTTGCATCGCCAGGCATTGAGGATCTGGAGAAGTATGGGTTTAAGAAGTAACCTTTTCTAATAATGTTATGGAATTTATGATTATAGTTAATATTTGAAATCTCTATAATATAATTTGAATCTTGAAAGGAATTACTTGTTATTGGTTCAAATCAATTTTATGAAGAAAAGTGATAGAACTCAAGATTGTTATTAGGTAGGTGCAAAACAACTTTTTGTCATTTTTTGGCGAGCTGTTGCATGTGAGGGAAGTGCAAAAGATATTGAGAGAAGCAGCATACAAGAGGGTTGTCCAGAACCGGTGCAAACTTTTTTGTTCGGAAGGAAGTTCACGTTATCATTGTCTTGACTTTGACTTATATTTAGGAAGCTGACGTCCGTGGTTCAAATTTACCCATTCAAGCTCATTAGATTACTATGTGATTCGGGTTTATCGTAAGTATAGTGTGGTAAATAAATGGATTTAAAATTGCATCAAGAAGCGTGGAACTTTTAAGAATATTTTTTAAGCCCTCGCACTCTGCATTTTGGAAACCTCCAGATCTTGGATATCTTGCAGGAATACGGAAGGAGCATTCGCCTTACCCCTAGTATTCTTAGTAGATGATAAAAATCAAACAGGGCTACTTCTACTTCGGGGACCAATTTGGTCTTGGGCGAGTAGAAACGGATCTATTAATATGATAATGTATGCTCTTTTGTCACAACACCTTATGATGACCTCCTGAGCCCTTGGGAGATGAATGATGCTAAGGTTCTGGATATTCAGTTTCGAACGACTACACATGATTGGTACAGTCATTTCCTTGATAGAACGATGCGTATCGAATATATCAATCTACTGGATGGTACCAAGAATTCTGGTGGATTATATCCATATAGATTCAGCAAAACCGTGCATATCGGAGAGGAATCGTTCAGCATCAATTATTATTTCGAGGACAGGAGGCCATCACAAGATGTATTTACTAAAAATATTCTCAAGGAAGATCCGAAACTTTCCCATCGAAGCAGCCCATACGTTCAATGGGGCCCTCCACCTCTTGTACCTCAAATTTCTGGAGCCTACGACTGTGAAGAGGGGCTTACAATGGCTCCTGACTCCAGCAAGAAGGGTTCTTCACATGCGTTAGGACATATTAAACTCCAGTCTATGGTGTAATCTTGCGAGACTTCGAGAACGTGAAAGATAAGGGCGAGCTTTCATTTGAGAACGAGCTACCATTATGTCAAGGAGTATCAGGGGTCAACAAAGCAGGAAATCAAATGTATATTATCGCTCTTATCTAAAAAGAGCGAATTGACTTCACTGCACATCACAAATTCCTTTTGCCAGATGTGTCTAAAAGTTCCTGACTTTATGACAAAAACTGCGGCCATCTCTATCTTCAGATAGAAGACCGTCGGTCTAACAGCCAAGTCTTCAGCTGGAAGCCAAGCGCCAATGCCTTGTAATCCATATAGATGAGGCGAGAATGTTCTCTCAGTTCTAGATCACATTGTGCTGGAACATCGGCGCCAAGCTCCGGGCACAACTTCAAAACTTCAAGATCAGATAAAACACTTCAAACCAAAATCATGATTCTCGAGATGATTGATGTTATTCCAATCCAAGTCCTAAGCACTCGCTCGCAACTCCAGGACGGGATACACGAGAACAATTAGGAACATGATATCATAAACTTAACACAAATGCTGACAATAAGCACCCTTCCCTCCTCACCTAGAACTCGAAAGAAAAAGACATAAGCGCCAAGTTCCAAGAACTCACTCGAAACGACACGACCAGACGACTTTTCAAAGCAATAAAGTAAAAGATATATCTTCGGTCACAATTCATCTCATCAACGCAAATACCATCTTGGCAACCCCTAACACCAAACATCCGTGCATACCCCTTCATTTCCCATCTCAACCGAATTTGGAAATTTTGTTCTTTGTGATCCACTTGTGTGTACTCTTTATGCTTAAACAATTTGAAGAACCGATTTTTTTGGAGCCTTTTGATTGGATCAGCAGGAGATATGTTCTTATTATGGAAATAGGTAACAGGAAGGGAGAGGAAAACAGTTGGGTTTGGCGATTTGCCATGCTTTTGTGGGGCGGACGTTTGCTGGGTTTGGGAGATTGTTTTTCTTGGTGGTGATTTTTTGGGGTTCAGGTTATTAATGGAATGGAGTATATAGAGTCGATGATGAGATATATATCTTGCGATCCCGCTCGCTACTAATCTTTGCACTGCCGGCGCTACTTGTTTCCTGATACCCCGACTTCATTGCTCATTATCAGACGTTCTCCCAGATATTTATCCCCATCTACACGATATCAATAATTACTCCATCGTCTTCACCCAAACAAAACCAAAAAAGCAACACCATCACTCAAAATGCAACTCACAATCCCTCTCACATTCCTATCTCTCCTCAGCCCAATCCTCGCCCTCGACTACATATCAACATACAACCGCGGCGCTGCCCGTTGGGACGCAACCCTGACCGACACGCCCAACAACATTACCTGCACCGTCACTTACGACGATACCTCTTCCCTCCTCATCGCAGATTCAGATGGATATCTCAGTAGCGCGGTTGCGATTGTGATGCCATGTAGTGATTTGAATGCAGTTGCTACAACTGTTGTTGGGAAGGAGAGTTCGAGTGTTAGCTATACAGTGCCCGGTGGCGTGACAAAAGATTTTGTGGTAGGAAGTAGGACTGTGTTGGAAGACGGAGAGGTGATTATGATGTCTTATGGAGTATGAAAAGGGAGTGATGGAAATCTGGTGGAGGCGAGAAGGAGATGAGGAAAGGAGAAGTAGAGAGGTGAAAGAGCATAATGGAGTTGCGAAAAGAAGATACGAATGATAATATAGGATCAGATGGAGAAACTATAGAGGGAGTGGTAATGGCAGACAGAACGAAGGATATGTACGAAATCACGATCGAGAAGTACTTAATATGGCTCTGTAAAACAGTTGCGAGAGACAGTGGACGGCGAACGAGCAAATAGCCAGATACCCAGATTTGATAAGCTATGGATATTCGACGGTTGTACGAATAACCTCTCACACGTACACCTTTGTGCATTTCCGTGTACTTGGTACTCCGAGCTCATTTTTTTCATTAACAATATTTGTCTCAATGTGTCAAATACCCCTGTTCCGTTCAACCACATGATAATCACAAGGATATCCTGTCCATTCCCTGCCTCTTTTTCAATATTTTCCAATATGATTTTGACCGAAAACATCTTTTGCCAATAAAGAATCTTATGCGATATGAAATTGTTTCAAGTTTCGAGAGTCTGGCGCATATAGTGAACTGTGCAGTCCTCGCCGCACCATGCAGGCGGTTAGCTTATCCAGCGGGATCCACCTCTGTATGGGCCCTGTTCTGGAAAAGATATTCATTTCCGCTGGGAAGACTTGGCGTCGTGAAGCTTACGAGTTCGGGGACATGGCTGTGGTTTATTAATTTTTCATTTGGTAGAATTTTTGAATGTTTGTTGTTTAATCTGAAGTGAAGTAGTACAGAATCGTCGCAAATCATGTGATAATGATCCAAGTAGTGTATTCTTCAGTATTATCTTCTTAATTAAGGAATTATTGTTAAACTCGATACTAGACGGTGATGTCCCCTTTCAATCTCTTTCCATGCAGATCTTAGAAATCTCAAGCCAGCTTATATATGCAGCCATAGATATTTTCTACACTACCTCAAACAAGACATCTACTTCACTAGCACGCTCTTACATACTTCAGTGCTGGCAACTCTCTACTTTGCCATCCCTCTCCTCTCCTAATCCTTCCATCACCCCTTCCCGAACCATCGCCACAAATCCACGCACCACTTATACCACCTTCTTGCCATCCAAAACAACTTAACAGCTGATGTTTACGCATATTCCCCTTGTCCGCCGATAACAATGTGTATCCCGGTACAATATCTCGGCGCCCAGAAGCCTCTTCGAGTTTTTCGCGAGTATATGAAGCTATTAGGTGATGAGGTAGTGAAGGCGGCGCATCTTTGTGACCTGGCGTAAGCCTCATGAGTTCTTGATACCAACGTGTACTATGCTCTTCTAGTTCTGCATGACTTGGCAATCCTATATATAACGTCTCTAAGTTCCCGAAATATCTCAACTCAAAGATTGGGCAGCTGAAGGAATCACTTGCCCTGAGGGTCATGTATGTTTGTGTGATCATTATATGCCGTATGAGATGAGTTGGAAGATCTGGGTCCAATGCAGTCGTATCAAGTGAGTCATTGTCATAGTGGTGTTCGCATTGTGGATGGTAGTGCAGGATGTCAACGGCGCGATGGAAATATATAGCGCCCCGTTTGTTTAGCATGGAGGGGTTGAGGACCGAGTAACTCTTCAGAGCAACTTCACGAGAAGCTCGACATGTTTGGGTAAGTGGTGGTGGCTGAGATTGATATCTGTATGTATGCAATTCTGGAGCGAAGTCGACTTTGATGATCCGGGGTACAATGCTGTCTGGTTGAAGAGAAAAATAAAAGATTTTGAGTTGAAGTTCGACTGGGAGTCTCCTGAATTGTGGGAATGATGACATTTTGGCGTGTTTCACGTGAGTCAGAACAAGAGTGTGGTACGAATCTGGGGGTATTGCTGGGTATATATGTTCGTCCGAAAGGGCCGAAATTGGCTGTCCACTGTGATTATTTTCAAATTTGTGAACCGTTTGGCAAGTATCACGTTGGAATAACAACAGATCCACGCCAAAAATATGCAATTCCAGGTTTTGCAAGGATTTTCAGCCACAGGCGAATGTATCGAGCTTTCAAAGAACGAATTTTCTATGGATGGAGAAGCGGTGAATTCGTGGAAACGATCCGGTCTATTGCTAGTTCGCGCGTTGGCAAAAGTGAGACAGAAACTGATTGACAGCACTGGGTTTGGATGTCTAAAAATTCGCAATTTAGTAAAAGCTTTGTATCGTCAAAGAATACGAATAACTGCTTGCGTGTATGAAGCGAGAGACTGAATGCTCATAATCAGGTTATACGGTCAAAAGCCAGCCCCAAGATTGAACAGAACATACTGCAATGTGGAACAAGAATTATTTTGTCCAACAATCCCTATATCTTTAGGCTTCAGGATTAGTCACGAGACATGAAGAATATTGATGATATCGAACCTCGAAGGATTTGAATTTGGGGCCGAGGAGAGATGAGATGATATTCATGGTTTCTTATTTTCCTCATAGTCACTGACTCGATGGAATGCGACTGATGTTGAACAGATCAAGCAAGAACGACCACCCGATAACGCGCTGGCTGATGATCCCTCCTGACGATCCCTCTAGCTTCACTCGGTCTTTAACAGGCACGTAACTTTACGTGGGCGCGATTTTATTATTGTTGATGGTGTACGACCTCATATATGGGCTCAGAGTGCGTATATAACCCGAAGCTTCAGCCGCAGGTAGTGTAGCACAGAGGCTACGTGTATGTACCCAAAACCAAGGAGCGGGGCAAGATAGGATTTTAACCTTAAGCATGCATTCAGAGGCTCCTAGCAAGGTAATTTTGTTGCAGAGAAATAAATGGCAACTCACCATGAAGCTGATTTTGTCGTGAGAATTGATGAATGTTGTTATTATTGTTGTTGTTGTTGTTGGAAACAAAGAAGATGGAAAAGCAAGAAGAATTGAGGTATCAAATAGCTAAAACCTAAAAGGAGACCAACTAAAATCCTCCTACGGTACAGCATAGACCAACTATCATGGCTTAAGACAAACATTAGTGGAATAACAGTGGGGAATCACTAGAATATCAACCATTGACGCCAGTAACTAGAGATAGCATAGCGATGGCAATGTTATAGAATAGCTCCTGCCACGGCTGTGCAGGACAAGAATAAGGTTCGATGGCCATGGCTGGCGCGAATGGCCATAATATGTCATCTGATTGTCGTTATCGAATCCTAATCATCCGTAATCCTTTACGTGAAGAACACATGGCATAACGCAGATGCTATCGTGTGTTCAATAGTGTTTGACTGCAGCAGTAATACCGGTACGCAGACTCGATTGGTTCTCGCCAAGAAGCAAAATCGACGGATGAAGGGGCGTAACGATGAAAAGACGGAGTTTGATCTGATATACCGATACAGCAGTCTTTACTCACAGACTTTTCTCGAGGAACTTTATGATGAAAGATAAATACTGCGACAACTTCTCGGTGGGCGCTTAAAGATGGGCTACATCGACCTTTATGCCTATTGTTGTGCTTGGCCCTAACTGCTGATTGCGGATCACAGAGCTTGGCTATCCACCATTGAAATAAACGACAAGCGCTTTTTACAGGCCGTCGTCTGTTTCAATTGCCATCACTGGCCCTTGGACTTTGTAATCGGCATAGAGGTCAATTCAATTTTACGTGAAGACCCACCTACTTTTAGTATTGGCTCGTATTCAGACCTACACAATGGATGTGTACAAAGGTAGAAATAACTGAAGGAATTCCATTCATATGTTCTATCACATACTTTTTTCTCTCTGATATTTTTAACTGGAAAAGTTTACTGATAACACCCATCGATTCAATATGGGCTTTAACATTTGGTCAGAAAAGCCAAGCGAAAGCTTACCACAGTACTCACGGTTGCCACAACAAGAGCAAGCTGATACCCGCCCTCATTCAGCATCCAGAGGAACATCAACTCGATCAGATGTTTTCTCATACGTTCGTTTCATTCTCTACTCGATGACGGGCATCGCATTCATTACATCTTTTCTTTGGGCCGGTCCCACCGCCCTTCGTGAATACCTTAATGCCCCATCCTCCTCTTCCTCTGCTCTACCAATAATCACAAATTCCTCTGCTCCAACAATTAACCTCATAATCGCCTCCTTCACATCAAAAATTGATTCATCAGAATGGACAAAGAGCTTGAAGAAAGATAACTTGGCAATCATTCAATACGATTCTCCAGCGTCCACACACAGAGGCTCTGAGGCCCTCATCTATTTAAACTACCTCTACCAATTTTACGATAATCTACCTTCTGTTTCCATCTTCATCAACAAATGGGAAGAGACAGAGCTTAGCTGCCCAGTCTCCGAAACGAATCTAATAAATCGTCTGGACCTTGCCACTGTTCAGTCTCGGGGCTTCCTTCCCTTCTGCTTCCAGGATGCATCAAGCATCGAAACCAATGATTCCATCATCTCATTATTTCATAAGAGCTTTCCAGAAAAAGAAGTGCCGAACAAGTTTTCAGCTCCGTGTAATGAATTTGCGGTTTCGAGGGACGCAATCCGTTCAGTACCGAGGGAACAATACCTGCATCTTGCTAATCTGCTCAGACCAACATGTGCGGAATCTGACGCGGGGAAAGAGTGGGACGTCATGTGGCCGTACCTCTTCCTACAAGATGATACAGATGAATTTGCTCCTTCAGAAGCCTTATGTCAAGGCTGGGGGATTTGCTTGGGTGCGGAGGATTAGGAAAGCTTCAATGAACTGTGCCATAACATGGAAATGGAGTAAGGCAAAATCTGGAATTATTTATTTGTTCATATAAGGCCTTCCTCCGGCATGAAAAAAATCTATCATTTGATTATTAATTAAGAATTCATAAGTATACATAAAATTTTCAGCTGTTATTATTCCCCCCATCATTACTATTGTGAGAAGATCGTATTCATCACTTCAGACTCTTCCTCTTTCCAACTTTGAGAAGTATTCGAGATCAATTCGGACCGACTGACAGTTGCTTACAGTGGACGCACAAGAGAAATCTATCTGTAGTGTCGTTGATAAATTCTTGACACAAGCGACAGCACTCGCGTACAAATATAGGTACAAGCCCAGAGCGCCAGATCTGCATAGATAGTTACAGCTAGGCTGTACTATGAGCTGTATAGCTCGGAGAATTCTCTTTAATGCCGCTGCTACGCATTATAGCAGTATCCCTAAAGATCTCCGGGGTCGCGTTCTGAGACTAGCAGTGGTTGTACCGCTATCTTCGAGCTAAGACGTCACTGTCTCCAGATACTTATCTCTCTTTTGGTTCAACCCCCTCTTCGTATCCAAAGTCTACAGTCCTAACTATTCCTCCATACTCTGAATCGTCTCGTGAGTTGCTTTTTTGTCCAATGATGAATTCCTCGCTTTCGTTCTCGCCCGTAACTGTACTACCACCCGGGATTACTAGTCGCGATTTGTTATCTTTTGTTGCCGGAGTTGACTTGTCATGAATTTTAAGAGGGTATGAATGGCCTTTTCCGTGATGCGCATCTCCACTACCGTACATGCGCCCCGAACTTCCCAATACTTTGGGACAATATTTCCGCATAAATGGTCTTAGGGTCGGGGCGCATCCACCGACGATACTGAGGTTAAGCTCAATAACACACCAGAGCAGGGCATCGACTGTGTCGACTATGATACGTATTAGCAGGTTCAAATCAAGACTTCAAAGCTGAAGAGGAACTTACGGGTGAGGTCAGTGCCCTTGAGCAGTACGTATAAAGACTTTAGGCGGATGATGCTAACGACACAGACACTGGTGAAGAAGTCAGCATAGAACCATATTTATTGGGAAGTTCAGAGATGTACAAGCTTCCCATTATCAAGATACCCGCAACCCCAATTTTTTGCCTGATAGGGATCTGTAGGTTCCACATCATTGGAAGAGGTGCAATGACAGTTGCAAAGTCCGTTGCAATGCCCAAACCTGCCTGCGCAAAATAAAACACAGGCCTATTAATACATTTTGCTGTTCCTGCATATTGGATATCCCAAGATGCAGATATTGGACGGCAGCTAAATAGGTTTGCCAGAACACTTGCAGACGAATAGCAAAATGTGAATGCAACCAGACACCAGATTACACCGTGAAACTTCCGAGAGGGAAATATGCGTCGGTAGAAGAGAAGAACGGACGTCTTTGCCATGCCAGTGGCAGCACAGAAAAGCATAGCAGCAATGACGTTAATCTAGACGCTCTACTGGTCAGCTCCCAAAGAGAGCAACATTTATGGAGTGCTTGCCATACCTTTAAAAAATTGGGATATAAATCGTCAAGTGGCACATCATACAGATGCTTTCCTAGTCCATAGTCGAGTACTGGGTACATTAGTAAGACATAGATGGGCAGTTGGAAAGAGATCTCACAATTCAGAATACATCCCGTTAAGGCAATTGAGGTCAACTTCATGGGGGGAAAACATCGTCAGTTTCAACTTCTATCTCCAGGGGATGCATTGCAAATACCAGAGCAAGTATCATAACATCTACTCATAAACACTAGGTTAGAACTATTGTTATACGGTAATGCGGTCGTGAGAACTTACAATCATCAGCGGCAAAGATTCGAACAATTCTAGATCTAGTGAAAGTCCGAACGGAAACCGCTATTATAGCCAGAGGAACGAAGACGCATATAACCACCACGAGTCCGGCTGCATGATATGGGGCCTGCGAATTTGGGGTAATTCCTGGAGGTGGGGGAATGGAGTAGACGATACCATCGTATGAAGACATAACGGGAAAAGATGAGTTTGTGAATTGGATTGAAAGACTGGTTCTCCGTATGCTTGCTGTTATTCATACTCATATTAAGCAGATTTCGCGATCGGTACCAAGAGTTTTTTTACGCCATGATCTTCGTAAAGCAGTTTCACTCCATCAATACTTGCGAGGTGTCATAGTAGCCGTTTACTCAATTCAAGCTGGATGTGCGGATTAAGAAACGATATTACCTTCCAGCATGCATGTGCAAATTTATTGGGGAGCATGTTCCCCAGCAAACAAGCATAGGATCTACGTGATTTACCTGATGCAAGGATGATCTTATTTCTTCATGTAAAACATCCCCTGGAGTGACAAGGGGTTAACATACGTTTGGAATCTCATACGAAAGATTCAGAAGCCAAGATGCAACTCCATATGCAACTCCATCTCCCTTGCTAGACTGTTGTCATAGACTTTGTGAGAACCACTGCTATATCGAAATCAACTTCTAGGGACAGGAGAGTATCAAGAGATCGGCTTAAAGTAATTTGTTGAGATGACGAAGGTTGCCAGGGCTCCTCAGTTTGCCTTCAAGATATGGCCACTACCGTATCTATACATCTAGAAGGAACACAGCTGAATGGCTCGAATCATCTCTTACACGAGTGCTTCATACCTTTGCTATATTGTTCAACTCACACTTTAATATTCTGGATACGTATCATCCCCAACCCAGCGTCAAGCTTCTGTCCCGGGTCTGATAGCTCGTGAAATATCTAGAATCACATGTCATGTGGGACTTTCAAGAAAACGCCTTGTTAAATCACGTTGAAGAATTTCTTTAAACTTAAAAGCAAGTATGGACTTCAGTCATTTTTTTCTTCTCTTCTCAAATTTGATGTAGGAGAATAGGGCGGTCATTTCGGATGTTGTAAGACCAAGACCCCTGGTGCATCACTAGTCTCCAACACTGATGACGGCTTAAAGTCCTAGGATATGCTGGTAAATCGTGGCATGGAACGTAGCATTTTATGTTGGGGTTTACGAACGGATTCGAACGGGAAAGTACCGCCAAGGAACATTAACTACTATATTGACGTTGAATCGCACTACGAGTAAACGTGGTGATGTCTCCGCAGGAACTCCTGAAAAAGCCCGAAGTAACAAGGGCATTGGTGTGCTGGACTACTTATCATCTTTGCTCTGCGTTGGAGGGGTAGCCGGTAGAAGAGGTGCAGCAGTTTCCATTACTGTACTTGATTAATATCTATTGCTAATTTAATATCTAGAATATCTCCTATACTTCTTTTTCCAAGTACTTTTTGGTCTTTCTGGCTCGCGGTTGTCAGACAAAAAACGAACACATAAACCACACTAATTAGAGAAACTTTGAAAGCAATTCTTTGCCAAAATTGAATTCAAAAATTATTCTATACTGTAAATTCTCTCAAATGGAACAATGAGATTAATTCACTGAATATTATTACTGAAACTTCTCAGAATAGGCATTGCTTTACTGTTTTGATGTCATATTCCAATTCAGAACAGATAATTTTGATGTTTGATTGTTTCAGACGATCGCGAAACTGGTCTTTTCTTCTTACTCATGATAGTCGTGTAGCTGGGTCATATTGCATCGGCATTGCTGAATGGAACGATAAGATATCGGAAGGCTCTTCCATGATTACAGTAAGTCAAAGTACAAATTGTCTGTTTTAGGAGTAAGTGTAATTGACTTTATGATGATATTCGCGATTTCTTCCAAGATCAATAGGCTCCCCTCCTTTCTAGGCGCATCTTCGGTAAAATGAGCTACCGCAACCTTAGATTTGGCTGTATCACAACATTTTAACCCAATTCTTTGATCGACTATGGAATTAGGATTGCGATACTCTAGCATCCTTCTTCACTGTACCATGTACAATCGACACCCTAGACGGTCATGAGGAGTGTTCGAGTCAGTACCAATAGTTTAGCGGGCGTCTTTCCTAGCACACAGTACGTAATACCGGGGCAAGGCGAGCCAGAAACCGGTAGCCTAGAGAATATGGAGAAGGAAATAGGCCGAGACCTAGTGGCTGAATGTCAGAAATTAGAACTTTCGTAATAGTTTGCGATATTATCAGAATTGAAGCATTTGCCGTCTACAAAAAGAAGGTGAATTATCTGTGTAACAACACACATCTGTAATGATCCTCAGAGACCATCTCGGGACATAACTATGGTGGAACACAATATGAAGATCACTCCTCAAAAGAGGATGTCTGTCCACTATAATACAGGGGTTTTATAGTGGACGCACATGGGGGCTGTCCCACTTGAAAATCATTCCCATTTTTTTATACTGAATATCTAAAGTTGTGCTACAGAGTTGCTTCTATTCGAGGACAGGGCCCAATAAATTATGCGTATTAATGATGTATTCGAAAGATATTCTGCTGAAGGGCTCAATAGCCTCGGTCATTGGATAACACCCCGCCGTCAGATAGCTCTCCGCTACTTCTTTGGGTTTGTGTCGGCGGCTGGACCTGACTAAATGAATAAATGGACCCTTCACTTGAGGGCAGGCTATAGCACTCAGATAATATCTCTAGTCAGGAATTATCCATTCACAAGCATAATCCTGCAGCAGCAGTCAGCCTCCTTTGCAGATTGACAATTGACGGCCAATGCCGGTGTACAGCAGAAATCGAATTCAGGGCGCAATAGGAAAAGTTCGGGGCTCTTGATATGCACAAAGTAAAGAGAACAGAACAGGTCCGGTATGTGCTAGCCCAAACTTACCATCTGCGACTGGTAACCCGTACACCACGTTTTCGGTAGCGTGGTGGGTTTTCGTAGCTTGAAAAGCGGAAGACGCGATGTGGAGCTTATCAATAGTTCAGTGGCAAAAGTAGTGAACGGCAATCTGCACCGAGATTGTCTTCACCGCAATTAATCCCCGCGTTTCCTCACGTACCGATAGGCAAATCCGAAATACAATGTTACAATAAAGTAGGGGTGTACATGTTAATCTGGAATGGCGGCAGTAAGCCATTAGATGGAGGAGGGCCTCTCACGCACCTAGATGATTTCGGTAACAACGTGCGTAGAACAGTTTCGATAATTTAATTTACCGCTAAGGTTAGTTTTCTTCCAGAAGGTATGTAAATACACCTTTCCGTGCAATCATCATTGTTGGTCGATTGTCGATTGCTTGCCATTCTGGTAATTAAGTAAAAATTATGGCGGGAGCTATTCTTGGTCTCATTCTTAGTCCGCTATTTTTCGGCAACTGGGTTTCAGCCGACAACTTCAACCGCGATATTGCGAGCGATGTAGTTGGGTGCGCTACAGTTGAAGCCATCTTCCCGGACAAAGTCTTTTACTCCAATAGTACCACTTACCAGTACGAAAACAAGAATTTTTGGTCTCAGACGGAATATTTGAGCCCTGAATGTGTCTTCCGACCTACGACTGCTAGAGATGTTGCTGCCGCAGTTGCACTGTTGGGGACGGCAGAAGGAAAGTTTGCTGTAAGAGGCGGTGGCCATATGGCAATCAAGGGGTCGAACAATATTGACAACGGCGTATTGATGGTCATGTCAAACCTGACGACATTGTCGATATCTGATGATCATAGCACACTCTTTGTCGGGCCGTCTTATCGGTGGGTGGATGTGTATAATTATCTTCAGACCTACAATCGCGCTGTTCTTGGAGGTCGCATAGCTTCAGTCGGTGTACCAGGGCTCCTTCTTGCTGGTGGCGTAAACTTCTATGGAAACCAGCATGGATTCGCTGCTGATATGGTCATTGGGTATGAGGTGGTCCTGGCAAACGGCACGATTGTATACGCCACCTCCAGCTCGTACGCCGATCTCTTCTGGGCGTTGAAGGGAGGTAGCAGCAATTTTGGTATTGTTACAAGATTTGATTTGAGAACAGTCCCATCGGAAGGAATTTGGGCTGGTATATACACCGTTGCACAGGAGTATATCCCGGAATTTTATGCGGTAAGCATTTTCTTTCCCACCGTTTGATAGAGATATGCTAAGAAACAAAGGCCATTGCAAACTACTCCACGAACATCGTCGATCCACTTTCTCACATTGTTCCTGCAGTCATCGCTGTTGACTCAACCACCTCTGTTGGTGCCGTCATCGTCTTCTATGATAGCACTAATATCAGCTACCCTGCCTGTTTTGAGCCTTTTACTTCCATCCCGAGTATTAGTAACACTTTGGACTTTAAGACCCTCACAGAGTTCTCCCTCGAGACAAATGCCGCTGCAATATCCAATATTAATGACGTGTTCGTTGCGGGAACTATCGTGGGCAAAACATATGCCGAGCTTCTTCAAGGAATAAGAATCATCAACGACACATTTTATTCAGCGCTTCCAGAGCTGTATGATCAGCTACCGGCAGAGAACATTTCCATCATTGAGATTGACTGGCAACCAATAGGTTCGCTTTGGTTGAGTGCCTCAGAGGCAAATGGTGGTAATGCACTAGGCCTTGATTCTTCGAAAGGCACATATCTTTGTTACGCGGAAGTTGTAGAGTGGATCGGATCGTCTTATGATGAAATTGTTGCCGCTTGGGTCGAGAAAACAACTTATGCGATCAACAATGCTACGGAGGCGGCCGGACTATACGATCCTTTCAACTACATAGGCGATGCAACTGGATTTCAGAGCATTTTCCCTGGGTATGGAGCAACGAATGAGGCCAAGCTTTTGTCTATTTCGAGAAAATATGACCCAACCAGACTTTTCCAGACATTGATGCCAGGAGGTTATAAAATTGGAGTTTAGGGTTGGCCATTATGCTCAGGTGAACTTGTATATAGTGTTGCACAGAAGATGGCACAAAACGAAGGTATTTTTGATGCACGATGAGTCGTGTTTGTGTGAGTTGTCTCAGGTGCCACACTGGATGTTGAAAAACGGTGTAAAATATTCAGTAGTGCCTCAGGCATCAAAGCGAGCTCTTTTGCCGGATGACCACTAGCAAAGCCCTACAACAATCCAATTGTTCCATTTCAACGCAAAGAATTAAATATTTGAGATAATATTATAATTGAAATTTGTTCATGAATTTATTCAATATTGTTAACTGTTATAATTTTATTATCAATCGATTTATCGTATAATTTATTAGGGCAATTCGTTTTGGGCTCTTTTTTTTTCCTACATAGAGCTGATCCCGGATATTAGTCAGCCATAATACTACCACTCTGCGTTTATCTTTTCAGCTTCTATCCAACTACTCAGTAGTTATAAGTACAGCTATCGGAAGATGCAGTTATACTATTCTGAAATACCATTCTCAACACTCATCTGCCATCTCTCTCTCTTGATGAAAGCACCCTTCCTACATAAACATGCAAAGAGGTGTTCGGATTGTGAGTTCGGAGGCGTCATTAGAATCGATTGATATTTCCACTCTTACCTTCTCCGAGGTTGGTATCTAAATGCGTCTAGCAAGTCAATATCTTTGATATCATGAGTCTCTTCAAATTTGCATGGAACATCCTTTGCATGTATGGTGATGTGTGGTCTAGGACCCAAATCCATGGCAACTCTCATCTGTACTCTCGATTCCAGCTTCCTTTTCCATCACATACGATTTATCACAGAACATATAAACCATGAAACCCAAAGTATGGGTACGAGTTGGTATTGGGTAAGCCCAAGTTGGGTGTTCAAAACTTCATCGTCTAATTATAGCTATGGATAAAAGAAATCTATCACTGGCATTCTACGCCGCTTCAATGTCACCCTTACTCAAGAAATTGCATTGAGTTTATCCCACCTGCCCCCTCCAGATATCTTCAACTATGTGATGTATGCAGTCAGTATGTAATGGGGGCCAAGATTACCACCACTCAATCGCGTTATCAATAATATTTGCCGGCGAAATCTCGCATCATACCTGTATGCAGTCAAACTTCCGCGTTTGATGCAGAAAATTGATATAACCGTCGGCAGGTACATCTTCCGATCTGACGCACACATTGATATAAATGCATACATCTATATTCAGCCCCCACCCTCACCATGTCATTTCTACAACTCGATAAAAATTGAAATGCAACTTCATTGCATGCAAGTAAGGTATCGAAGTATTTTTGGTATCAATTCATTATCCATATAGCCATGAAGGCTCTACGGCGTAGAATCGACGATGTGCTAATGGAGGGCTGTGTCTGATTTAATGATACTTCAAGCCCCTTCCATTGTTATACTCTTCGTGAAACAATAATTATCAATCATATGCATCATGGATTTCAAGGACTCGCATACCATACTTTCAAGCAGTGTATTTGATGGATCAAGTAAACTCTCATCTGAGTCGACAGAAACTTTCCTAGGTCTAATTGAATCACCACCTTCTGTGATTACTTTTCCAAGACCGAACTCTATATTTCCATTGGAAAAGTATGTACCAGATGAGAAAGGCTCGAGAGAACAGCTGCTGCAACATGAAAGACGATTCAGCGGTTTACAGGTACCGTTGGTGCCAGGAAGTAAGACCATCTCGACTTGGAAATGGATCATAGTCTTCTGCGGATTATCTACAGGGGCGTTTCTAGCAGGTAAGATTCGCATATGTCGCTGTTGAAGTTCAAGGACCCTCATTGTTTGTTCCTAATTGACACAACTTAGGGCTCGATGCCACCATAGTCGCCGACGCACAGGGACCTATTCTTCAAAGTCTAGGAGAAATTGAAAAGGTTGCTTGGATTGGTGTGGCTGATCCACTTGGATCTGGTGCCACTATTCTACTTATCGGTTCTTGCTATGGTATTTTCCAGATCAAATACATGTACATGTTTAGTATGTTACTTTTTGAGGTAGGAAGTGCGATTTGTGGAGCTTCGAGTTCGATGAACGTTATGATAGTTGGACGGATTATGGTGGGTATTGGAGGTGCGGGAATTGACCTAGGGTAAGTTGTCTCTTCCATCTCTTTGGCTTTTTTGCTTGTTGTATGAAAAGTTCCTTTAATCGCTAAGAAAAATTGAGGATTGAAACACACTAAGGAGCTGGAGTGATTGACAGTCATGCTATATGTACTAACCATGTTGTTAGAGCTCTTAACTATCTATCTAAGTTCACACCTCCACGCACCAGACCCATCTACAACGCAATTCTTGGAATCTCCTTTGGACTCGGCAACATTCTTGGTCCAGTAATTGGCGGCGCTTTTGCGAACACTCCGGCTCTCGGGTGGCGTTGGTCTTTCTATATCAATCTTCCTCTCGCCGCAATCATGGCTCCCCTATTCCTCCTTCTTTTGCCGAAGCACAACCCTATGCCTTCCATCTCAATCTCACAAAAACTTAAAATCATTGATTTCCTCGGTTTCATCTTACATGTTATCGTATGGGCTTCTTTTCTCGTTGGGGTCACAATGGGCGGCTCAACTTGGTCCTGGTCATCCATTTCTTCCATCGCAGTCTGGACGCTCTTCGGCGTTTCTCTTTTCTGCTATATCATCCAACAATCTCTTTGCCTTCTTACTACTTCCTCCCATCGCATTTTCCCAGTTCATTTCCTCCGTTCTCGAACACTCATTCTTCTCTTTATCGCTACTGCTGCGACAATGACATCACTCGTCACACCTATCTTCTATATCCCCCTTCTTTATCAATTTGCGCATGGCTCTTCTCCTATGGTATCAGCACTCAATTTGATTCCTGCAATCGCAGCCTTCTTCATCGTCATTTTATGCACAGGTGTATTACTCCCGCGAATCGGCTACTACAAAGCAATTTACATTCTAGCCTCAGTCTTCATGATTGTCGGTGGAATATTCATGAGTCGAGTCACTATCAATACGTCCAACAGAACAGTATATCTTTATTCTATCCTGATAGGAATAGGAGTAGGAATGATCTTCCAAATAGCCTACGATATTGGCATGAGTAAAGTATCATCGATGGGTGCAGAGGATACCACAGCCACCGAAGAATTAGGCGGCGATGAACAAAAACTTATTGCGTATATAAATGTCGCACAAGTGGGCTGTGCGGGTATTGCACTTAGTATCGCGGGGTGCATATACCAAAACTTGGGAGTGAAGAAGCTTCAAGAAGTTTTTGGAGATGGGGTTCCGGTGGAGATTATCAGGGAAGCCCTGGGAGGGTTGAAGGGTGAGGGGTTGGGAGATATGGGAACTATCGATGAGGATAGCATGAAGAGCGCACTAGACGCAGTAGTGGCGACTGTAGGGAATGTTTATTGGCTGGTTGTTGCAGCGGGTGTGGTGTGTGCAATTTGTGGTCTGGGTATGAAGTGGGAAAGAGTAATTTTGGAGCCGGAATTGGAGGGAAATAGGAGATTTAGCGTCAATTATGAAGCTATCGTTTGAGATTATGGAGGACAATGTTCACTGTGGAATGTGGTCGATTCGGGTGGAAAGGGCTTGAATCTCATCTTCAACAATCTACTTTCAACGATGAACATGATTCGATAAGATGGCTTTATAATCTCAATGGGCTTTCCCATCTATGTAATCATAGCATTTAGTACTTCAATAGCACTGCTCAGTAGTCTCCATCCTTCTCAACACCCTCCGGCCACCAAATCATATGCCCGCCTCCATCTGCATGCTGCCTCCCAACTCTCGTATAAAAATCTCCTAGCATTTGGAACCCCAATTTTCTATACAACTTCTCGCCTTCAATACTAGCAGTCAATCCCGCGGGCACATTCTCTTTCCCCGCTCTCTCCAAAATATACTCCATTAACAATCTTCCGATGCCTTTTCCTTGGTACTCGGGAAGCACAACGATACTATTTACATGCCAGAGATTTTGTCTCCTTGGGAAAGCGTCCGGAGACCAATAACGCTCTTGATCCATCTTGATTGAGTGATTGAAAACGGCCCTGTTGGGTTTTGATGTAGCACGATCTGGTCGGAGGTAATTGTATATTCCGAACAGAACTGTCAAGATAGAGCTCAACATCCATCTCCCCGTTCTCTCTACGCCACTCCTCTCGTTTATAAACTTCTGGACCCCTGAATCTACACCTTTACGATTGTACATCCCATAGGCCAAGATAACATCAGGTGACTCCGGAGAACAGACTACTAGGGTCAGAGCCTGAGGGTTCAGATAGGATTTTGTGACGCCTTGCCCAACGGATATCTGTTGATCTCGTGGATATTGTTTCGCGTGCGGATCTAAAAATTCGCTTACGGGACTGGGACCATAGGCTGCGATGACGATGTGTGTCATCTGGGGGATATCGAAAAGGGTTGCGGGGCGGAGAATGAAGGGTTGAGAAGGCATTTTGGATGTGCGATTCTGGATTTCGACGGATGGATTATAAAATGCATAGAAATGATGGAAGAGGATTGATGGTAGTTTTGATGTTCACTCAAGCACTCGAAAACTCTTATTAGGCAACTATATATATATATATAGTGCAATCAATATATCACGCCGGATGACTGACACATTCAAAGTTAGTTACACCGAACTCCGATCTCCGAAAACTTGGATATACCGGAAAATACCTAAGTTCCAACGACTCTTATATTTGGAGATTGGATATTGATGTAAGCTTACTGCTTTACTCTCTAGGAACAAGTATCTTGCCGATGGTGTCGTGGGTGTTGCTCGTCTCACGATTGGACATGAAGTCGGAGTTTGGGACTCATCATGTGATTGCTGGATATGTAAGCACTAGTGGGATTTATAGGGAATGTCGACGACATTTTTAGGCAGATACTTGGCTGAAGGGAGATCTCAGTATTGTGGGATATATAGGAGATGCGTTTGGCTCATGGACTTCTTTCGAGGTCATAGCCTTACCAGGAGAGTACATCTTGTCGGTGGGCAGACCATGAACGTTAACTTTGACAAGACTGCTCAAACTGCAAGTAACACACCATCGACTCCGGCATAATCCTAGCTGTTTAAGTCGTAAATCGAGATAAGCCACTATCCTCTAGTCAAGGAGAGATACTTGTGTCGTTAGTCATACGACTCCTTATCAATATCTTCAACTCGTAGTCGCATTGGGAGTAGCTAGATACAGATAGTCAAAAGAGAGATTCCAGATTGATATTCTTGAGAATTTTTATGCTATTTCAATAGATACTACTGGAAAAATGTCATCGAGCAGAGAGAAAATCTCTGATGGAACTCTTCACCATTTAATCGAATACCGGGGGTTCGAAACTTCAGTTGAAACTTATCAGCCCTGGCGATGATCCTCCAAATTAGAGTGCAAAAGTGACTTCAATGCCGATATTGACATTTATTCTAGTGTAGAGCATTGTGGTAATATTATAAAGGCGTGCTACAAAAGTTGTCGAACGCTCACCTCTTAGCTTCCAGGTACGCGCTCGAATAACGTAGAGCCAAATTACTTTCTCACCCACAACCTCTTCGCTCTCGAATCTCCGACAACTCCAAATCCATGTTCTTTTACTTTCAATTCTTCTATGGTTCTTGATTTTAAAAGATTCTGGCCGCCTTTCTCTGAGCGACCAGGTGTCATCACTCGCGAGATCGGATAACAAGAGTCGGTGGCCATTCTTTCTTCGCCACTTTACCTCATTTTGATACAGCAGAGCAAAGATATCCGTTGGAGGGGTACTGTGTGAAGCAGACCTTTCTGCCTACGATATGTTTGTAACGTATGATATATCCTGGTATGACGAGGTTGACGAATCTGAGCCCGTTGGTTCCAAAATATACCCATTTAGCCCAGAATACACACGCGGAGCCTTCAAAATCGAGTATGAGAGATGCAAAGACTTTTATAAGTCCAGTGGTGTATCATTAAATTCTATTGAGTGGTTAGCACAATATGCGTTCTGGTATAAACACGGTAAGAGTCCATTCATTCCTTAGTTAGGTGTTGCTTGCTCTAACATTATGTAGAAAAATTTCATCGTGTGCCGTGAAGTGGTGGTATCCCACCATATAAAGGCGAAGAACCACATGCCGAGGGATTTGGCCCAGCAATTTGCATGTGGAAACCTGATGATTGGGCCTTTGACCCATCCTTTACTGATTATGAGGTGCAAGACTTAGGTTTCAGGAGATTCGACAGCCATGATATTGAGATACTCGAAGAGCTAGCAGTAGGGCTGGATGAAGATGGCGAGATAGTAAGAGTGAGTATTTGGGGCAACGATGAGATGCAAAAACGGCTCGGACAGAAAGACCTCTAAGTTGGAACATGTGCTCATGTGGACCAGATTAGCTAGTGGACGAAATGGCTGGGAGAATTTCGAAGTATACTTCACACACCTTGATGGCTTCGACCTGCGTTACAGAACATCCGTGGGTTTTCATTCAGTGAGAAATGATAACGACCTCCCGGATATTTTCCTCGAAGACTGGATCTTTATTAGGAATTGTTCTCCTATCAATACTGGTCTCTCGGCTGCTTGTGAGTTGGAACATAGCCAGCTCTCAGATCAAGGTCTTCGACTGCTATCTTCCGAAGTAAAATCTCACAGAATTCTCGAATGTCGATCACACACTTCTCTGGCTAAAGCAACAATCGACGAATTCAACGACAGAGATGAAACGCCACTTGAGTATGAAGGGCCAAGAGCAAAATCCTGCAGATGAAATTGATACTGGCACTTGGGATGCACCAGAGAACTTCCCTGAGCACTTGCAGAGTGCTTCAAAGTCCTCCCAGTCAGACCTCATCTCATACACACCTCCCAATCCAAGATCGCCGTGGAATACCGGACTAGGAACTGTACTTCTGGCGCCCGCTCCCGACACCCAACTTCTCGGCTTCGAAACCACCAAACTCCGAATATCTTCGCACACCCAACAACCCCTCAAAAGCAACCGCTGCCACGAGCTCTCCAACCTCGAACAGCTATCCCAAGCTCGCATTCTCATTTTCGGTCCCTGCCGTGCTCAAGACGGAAGAGTCTCAGATATCGCATTAGTCTTCATTCAAGGGTCGCCATATGCTCGTCATCAAGCGGTTAAAGTTCTTACTGCTTTTCAAGCCAATTCGGAGAAGGGATCGATGGAGTCGAATGTCAATTTTATGTTTCTGGTACCGAGTCACTCGAGGAGGAGGAAGGTCAAGTGAGGATGGTGAGTTTTGAGGAAGTCTTGTTGGGGTATTTAAGAGGGGTAAATCTGCGGGAACGCATCAATTGTCGTTCTTGGTAATATAAATTGATTTTTGTACGAGTAATTTCTGCCGCGATGGTACGATGTATTGATGAGAGGGGCTAAGTTTATTGGGAGGACAAGTAAAGAGTGTACGAGTATGACAATTTCTCATGAACCCATCCGTTGCTACCAGTTGACACATCTGGAGTAAAGAGCATAAGGAGATGGTCTTTTGAACGATTTATATGAATAAAATGAGACTGTATGATTGGAGAAAAGAGGGTATAAGTCTCGACTCTTACTTACTTGCTGAGCTCATCCACGATTAGATAAAATAAAAACACTTACAATTGTCTTCACCAAGTCAACAAGAAACTTGCTCACGCACGCGCCTCGATTTCAAAATATTTCCGTTGACTACACAAATCTTTAAGCGAATGTGCCAATCTCTACCGCCAAAAATAAAAGTTGATCCCGAATTCCCATTTCATTTTCGAAAAACAACACACCCCAATCTCACTCCCACCCCACCACTTCACTATGCTCTCAAGGCTCAAAATCCAATCAACACATACCCATCCCCGCCCTCGCCCTCGCCATCCCTATGGGCATAGCACCGCCCATCCCAATCGGACTAGGAACCTTCTCCCCTCCCATGAGTTCATCCGTGTTATCCATTTCCTCTACCAGCATCTTCGCTTGAAACATAAGCGCTTTGAGAAAAATGTTATCTGTGAGATGCTCAGGAATATCCACACTTGGGAGAGTCTTCTGAGGCTTGGTCTGCTCAGCTGTGTGCTCGGTGTCATTAGAAGGTTGAGGATCGCGAAGAACATCTTCCATGCTATCGTCTTTCTCGACTACTACACCATCATCCGTATGCGTGGATGTAGAAGCAGTCGTATAACTCTCACCCTGATCTTTGTCCTCAGCACCATCATCATGCGCTTCCGTAGCACTCCTCGCAATACTCAACAGCGTAACAATAAACAGCTCTTTCAAATAAGCAAAACTGAATCCCTCCGTCATCTTCGCAACAAGCGAACACAGTTCCTCTCCAAACTCCACCATATCCCCTCCATCCTTTCCCAACTTTCCCCTCCAAAATTCCACATACGCTCTCCGCTCTTCTTCATTCGGAACCCTAAAACAGTACTTACGATCAAATCTGCTCGGTCTCTTACTAATACTCGAATCCAGTTTTCCCAAATGATTCGTACTGCCGATCATGAGGATGCCATCATTGGATTCTAGTCCATCTACTTCATTTAAGAAATAAGATCTTGTTTTCTCGGTGACGAGAGAATCGAGATCTTCGAAGATGAGGAGGCAGGGTGCCATTTTGCGGGCTTTTTGAAAGATGGTTGAGATGGCCCATTTTGGGCCGTGACATTCACCGTCGAAGGATTTGACGTAGAGGGATGGAATAGGGGAAGGACGAGAGGAGAGAGTTGACATGAGGGCTTTGATAGAGATGGTTTTGCCATTTCCTGGAGGTGGGTGTTAGCGAGGAGGAAAATGGGAGAAATAATTTAAGGGATATAAGAGAGAAAAGACTCAAAGGAAGATACATAGAGAAAATATATGTATTTGGATCGGGGAAATATAAATGGACACCGTTTCCAATGAAGTGCGTGTCCATGATTTAGTAGAGGATCCTGAAAATTCTTACCTGGTACACCATGCAAAATGATTCCACGTTTCCAAGGCACAGCAAGCTTCTTATACAAAGCCTGATTATCGAAGAAGCCCTCCACATCAGCAATAAGATTGATTTTCATTCTTTTATTGAGAATAACTTCGTCCCACGAGGAGCCCTGAACAGATTCGTAAAGGTTCTTGTCTTTAACCCATTCTTGACTATCGAAGACGTAGATTTCTTCGTGGAGTTCAACGGTCCAGGCACTGGCGGCTAGAATCAAAGCATTTATGCTCTCAGCGGAGGGGTCTTCTTCTTTATCTGTAAGGATAAACTGTAACTTCAAAGTGCCGAACCCCGCTGGATGATCATACTGTGCTTGATAAACAATGTATTCCATTTTCTCCCAGACATAAGCCCACCTGCCGAATTTAACATGTTCAACGACCGTCTTCGGTTTATTAGCAAGACGAGATCCTGGTGCGTGGTATGTTTGGACGGTGCAATTAGCAATTTCATCACTGCGTTCATTTTTTGCGAAACCGGCATCAGCGTAACCCATGAGGTCACATTTATCGGGATTGGTCTGCATAACATGGTAATCTGGATAGTTTTTCTTGAGATTTTCAATGAATGTCAATGGAACGGATGTAGCCTGAGCACCATGCTGGACCTTCCAGCCCTCGAAGACTTCTGCGTGGTTACCGGCGAACCTATTGCTTGTTAGCTCATCAATCGTCTCCAATTTGAACTCTGTAGAGGAAGCACTTTGACTAACATGATTAATTGGGATGCTACGAAATGACTTGCAGCTTTTTGAGAATAGTAAAAGTAAAGAAACTCGGAGGGTGAAAGAAGCATGTAGGATTATATACCCCCACCAAACTTCCCCTCACAAGGCTGCGCCGCCGAGCACGTTACTTTTTGATTCACTCAAGGCAGCACTTCTACATATTTCCACGAAACCAGTAAGCAATCCTCACAGCCTATCAACTTGCCAGACACCCGCACTTCGCCGCGACTACGCAGATAAACAATGCGAGTTACCTCACCGTGTTTGAGAAACTGCACGAAAATACGTAAAAACATGCGTCCTGGGCGTGAGGATAATGACAAACAAGACAACTTCAAACGAGCGCGTCATTTAATATACATTTAGCTTGCAGCTTTCATATGGCATAGGGATATTGAGACCCCAAGGATTCACTTATTTCCTCAACAATATGCTGTTTCAATAAACTGTGGCTGACGTATATCAATTGGACCATCCTTCAATGCTCGTCGTATCCAGTGAGCAGTAGATTGTGTGTATCATTTCCTGAGCTGCGGACAGTGTAACATCGAATGCAATATGTGAGTAGGAGCCACGCAATCTTGAATGCAAAATCCTTAATCTGATATTAGTACCATTTCTAGGAACTAGTCGCCCGCAAGAATTGACATGTTTGGATCCAGTATCTTTCTCTCATCAGGCACTGTGATCCTAAATGACTACCCTCTCTGTGTTTTTTTCGTCCAAATGATATTGAAGGCGGCGATTGTTTTTGGATTACTCTTTGAAGTTCTGTAGGAACTCAGAAATTGAAGAGGAAACCGGCTTCATAACGTATTGTTTGCCTTCTCAGCTATAATCATTGCACTGATCCAGTCGCGATCCCGATGAAAATTGGAGAAATAAGTAAGTATTATTGAACCTACCCAGCAAGATGAATATCAAGACCCAATTTCCTAAATAGGTGTTCATAAATAGTCTTAGAACCGGTTAGCGCACATAATCACGCCCGAAGCGACTAACGTCGGTTAAAAACATTCTCGCAGCTTCGAGTACACGAAAGTGCTGTCATATTAGAACCCATGGTTATAATCAAGTGAGCGGAAGTAATTGCGAGTAATAAGGATTTGAGGAATAAAATCTGATCGATAGCAACCCAATAAGCTTCAACAAGTTTTCAAGAGACGGTGTTGCACAATAATTGAGGTTGAAGATCTGGAGACAACTATGTCTGGCGATGATAGTGCATCGATATTTTAGTGCATACTGAGCTTCATATTGAAGAATAATAGAAAGTAAATTGCAAGTCCAAGAAGCGATTGTTATTTGGAATTATAATATTCAACGTTGAAAACCACCACCATCATTTATCATTAAAATCATTAATCGTGTTTTTTTTTATCAAACCATCAACCGGGTATCTCTCGTATGACAAACCCTCCCAACATATCCCATTTTCGACATTTCTCCTCTGACTTTGAAGAGAAAGAGGTTCCTATCGCAGTACAGCTGCTTATATCGTAGGTGCAATGCTAACCGTCTTCACTCTTTGGAACATTCCAACATGCTTGATTCCTTCTTCATCCCACGTCCCCATCTTCTCATCAATCTTAAATCCCCATTTAGCCCAAGCTGGCGCAACCTGTTCCTGTGCGTGAACACACATCAAACCTTTCCACACCGGTATTTCTTCTGTGCTTGAAGCTCCAACATTTTCCATTCCCATTGTGGCAACAGATGGATTGAAGAATGTAGGGTTCTGTTGCGCCCACGACATAGCTGCGCCTGCTAGTAATTTGGAGATGCCAGCACCCCTGCAATCTTTGATGACTGCAATTCTACCCAGTTTTATATATGGTTCGACTCCGTCGTGATATGTAGTTGCTCGATCGACAATGTAAGGAGGTGGAATTGTGCCATCAGGAATCGGAGCCGTTTCAAGCGCATCAGCATGATAGCTTGAACCTGGTTCAGGATGTGGGGGATGTGGAAATGGTACCAGGCGAATTGTGCCAATGGGTTGAGATGTAGTCCTACTTTTCTTTCTCTGTAATATATTTCCATCATCATCCGTGACTTCAGGATCGGTTGTTTCGTTCACTGACGCATAAATGACCCAGTGGCAAGCTCGAGGGTCATCGGAATCGAACTCGTTTTCGAGGGGAACCCCTTGCTCTTGGACGAAGACAGCTTCTCGAACTTCCATGGCGTCCAGGAAGGTTTTGGGAATGTGATCGGGTTGCTCTGATGCGGGAAGTTTGCGATCATAGCCATCAAGGTTTGTTGGGCCTAAGAACTGGATGAAAGGAGTTGCAGACATTGTGATGCGGGAAGAGTAATAGTTCTCGTTGGTAGTTGTGTGAATGTGTAGTTTTGTGGGTGTTAAAGATTTGTGGCCGAGTAGCAAATGACAATTTGAAGAAGATCAAGAGGACTGATTATCGAGCAAATCTATTTCCGTGCTTGTAATGCACCGTTTATATCAGAGCCTAAAAATATGCACAATGATGTCTAGTGTGACTTGTGGCTTCATATGACTGTCATAGGATTATGGAAGGACAGGAGATAGACATTTGGATGATTGACTTGTAGACCGGTCCGGTGGTTGAGAGGTTGAGAGACAGTACAGGTCGCAGAGAAAGAACAAGATTTCTTCGTCATCAAGTTGTAGTTGTGGTTGTAAATGTAGACTTTTTGCTTTGTCTTGAAATTGTGGATTAGCTGAAGGATTGACAATATTTCCGCGTGCCAACGTGTGAACAAATGGCAAGACTGTATGTTAATAGATTGAGGACATGTAATAGCAATAATTCTTTCATGAGATAGTAATTAATTGCAGTGATGTGATGTGATGTGATGCGATGTGTGGTGTTGTGTTGTGTTGTGTTGTGTTGTGTTGTGTTGTGTTCCAAATACCTCAGAATTTCTTTGCCACACGAACAGATGAAGATGAGATCATTTACCGGCATTTGTATCAACGTCAAGGAATAATAATGGAGGGGCAGACAGAGGAATGGAGGGGAAAAGTTGGAAACCTTGCTTCACTCAGATGTTGGTCGGAATGTCGGAGGTTCGGGCATCCTTCGCTCCGTGGTCTCCACCTTTACCTTATCGGACCTCAGATAAGACATCTTATCGATCAGAATCCTCAGCCTTAACGGACTGATAATTGTAAAGCTGTCCTCTTTGGTCCTTGCAAGGATTATCAACGTCAATCTTGGAGAACAACTTGAAGAAGTATCTAGAAAAGAATACTTGTCCATAAGTGAATCATATTAAAAATCAATTAAAAGAGGTCTTGTTGTTATATTGACAATTGTATTGTTGTCCTTAAAAATATCTGACTTGCAATTCTTGTGGACAGATTCGATGTCGAATATTTGAGGCAGCGCATCCTTTTATACTCGAGTAGTTGAAACTCGTTACAGTATTTCTTTGATCTTATCCTCCATCTCCCCCCCCCTTGAATATTATTTCACTTCATTCATTTATTCAGCAATTAAGCTTGCTACACCACAACATATAATGGCTCTTTCGAGGAGTCCCTCTGGGAAGATCTTTTCTTCTCCAATCTTGTCCATATTATGTTTATTTTATATCTTCACTTCCACAGCACTGGCTGCATCGGCAGTTTTGGGTGTTGATCTTGGGACAGAATATATCAAGGCAGCTTTAGTGAAACCCGGTATTCCACTCGAAATCGTTCTCACGAAAGACTCTCGTCGAAAAGAAACATCCGCCGTAGCTTTCAAGCCCTCGAAAAACCCAGTCAGCGGTTCGTTCCCAGAACGAGTTTACGGTTCAGATGCGGTAGCTTTGGCTGCACGATTTCCTGGAGATGTCTATCCTAACCTCAAGCCCCTCTTGGGATTGAAGACGGAGAATGATCTGATTAAAGAATATGGAATTAGACACCCGGCTTTACAATTGGAGGCGGACAAGATACGAGGTACAGCAGCTTTCCGAAGCGGTGCATTTGCTGCAGATGAGCAGCCATGGTCTGTCGAGGAAATCTTAGCAATGGAATTGCAGAGCATTCAAAAGAACGCCGAGGCTCTAGCAGGTAGCAAAGTCAATAATTTAGTCATTACCGTCCCAGTCTTTTATACCACGGAGGAGAAGAGAGCTGTTCTTTTGGCGGCAGATTTGGCCGGTCTTCGAGTTTTGGAATTGATCAGTGATGGATTGGCTGTCGGTCTCAATTACGCTACCTCCCGAACTTTCCCAAGCATCAACGAAGGAGGAAAGGCCGAATACCACATGATTTTTGATATGGGCGCCGGATCTACAAAGGCTTCAATCTTGCAGTTCCAAGGACGAACCGTAAAGGATGTCGGAAAGTTCAACAAGACAATTCAAGAAGTAAAGGTCATTGGCAGTGGATGGGATAGAACGCTCGGAGGTGATGCTCTCAACGCTGTCATCGTCGATGATATGATTGCACAATTTGTCGAATCTCCCAAGGCACAAAAGGTATCAGCAACTGCCGAGAAGGTCCAGGCTCATGGAAGAGCTGCTGCAAAGTTGTGGAAGGAAGCCGAACGTTTACGACAAATTCTCAGTGCCAATGCCAATACTCAAGCTAGTTTCGAAGGACTTTACGAAGATGTTGATTTCAAATACAAGATTAGCCGAGCTGACTTCGAAAAACTCGCCGAGGATCATGCTGCTCGAGTTGGTACAGTCATTGAGAAGGCTTTAGATCTTGCCAATCTTGAGATCAAGGATCTTGATTCTATCATTCTTCATGGAGGTGCGATCAGAACTCCATTCGTTCAGAAAGAGCTTGAGAAGATTGTTGGAGGTTCCGACAAGATCCGCACCAATGTCAATGCCGATGAAGCCGCCGTTTTTGGTGCTGGATTTAGAGGTGCCGGACTCAGTCCTTCGTTCAGGGTCAAGGAAATTCGAAGTTACGATGGTGCTTCTTATGCCGCTGGTATTAAATACACTGATATTCACAAGAAGCCAAGGCACATGAGATTATACGAACCGACAACTAATGTCAACGCGGAGAAGCAATTTACTTTCGAAAATCATGAAGAATTTACTGTTGATTTCTATCAACATGTTGCATCATCCGAGAAAGTATCGCCGGGATCCGCAGAAAAGAAATTGAAAGCCATCACTACACAAAATTTGACAGAGTCTGTAGCTCTTTTGAAAGAGAAACACAATTGCGAGAACAAGGATATCAGAGTCCATTTAAGCACTCGTGTTAGTCCTGTCAACGGTGAAATGGATATCATGAAATTCGTCGTTGACTGTGAGGTTGAAGAGATAGAGAAGGAGAGTATGGTCGATAGTGTCAAGGGACTTTTCGGATTTGGAAAGAAAGATCAAGCACCATTAGAGGATGGTAAGGAATCTACCGACAGCTCTAGCACCACCGAAAGTTCGACTACATCTAAAAAAGCCACCTCATCTTCCAGCTCTAAATCTTCCTCAAAATCCGCCTCCGCATCAGCCAAGGACAAGGAAGCCGCCAAGAGCAAGAAAACTTTAATTGTCATTCCATTGAAATATGAAACAGAACTCAAAGGTCTTCCAGAAGTTCCAGCTTCCGAAATCACCAGAATGAAAGATCGTATCGCTGCGTTTGATGATTCCGACCGATCCCGTCGTTTACGCGAAGAAGCTTTGAACCAATTGGAAGGATTCACATACAAGGCAAGAGACTTCCTTGACAATGAAGAATTCGTCGCCGCATCTACCGAAGCCGAACGATCAGATCTAGAGAGCAAATCTAAGGCGGCAAGTGAATGGATTTATTCTGGTGGTGCCGATGCATCTCGTGATGAACTTAAAGCCAAACTCAAGGAAATGAAAGACATCGTTACACCAATTCAAAAGCGAAGAGAAGAAGCCGCTGGCCGACCTGAACATTTGAAATCTCTCAAGGACGCACTAGAGCAAACTAAATCGTTCATTGCCGGTGTAAGAGAGCAAATCAAAAATGAAACAGAGGCCCATTCTTCCTTCAGCGCATCTAAATCCAGCGCTTCAGCCAGTTCCGAAACAGCATCCACAGCCACTGTTGATGATTTCGCCGATCTCGAAGATGAAGAGAATGCTGGTTCCGCTTCATCAACAGTAACTGCTCCTCCCGAAGAAGAAACTATGGAGCCACCAGTCTACAACGAAGCTGATCTCGCAGCTCCTCAAGCACTTTACGATGATATCTCTCAATGGCTCTCGGAACTTGTCGCTCAACAAGAAAAACTCGCTGCTACAGCTGACCCTGTTCTTCTTATCAAGGATCTCGCCGAAAAGACCAAACAACTTCAAGATATTGGTGTAGAACTCATCATGAAGAGTATGAAACAACCATACAAGACTGCTCGCAAGCCAACTAGCAAACCCGAGAAGAAGAAGTCCACAAAATCGAAGTCAAAGACGAAGAAGAGTAAGAAGACTGGAACTGCAACTGCTGATGGAGCAGATGCGACAATTGATCTGGGCTTTGGAGGACCAGATGGAAAGGCTGGAAAGGGTGATGAAGGAACCGAAGGAAAGCCTATTTTCAAGGTGGGGGAGAATGATGAGATGCCTAGTGAAGAACAAATTTTGGAAGCAATTAGAAAGGCAAAGGATGATAAGAAGGAAGAAGGGGTTAAGCATGAAGAACTGTAGATTAGTCAGATAGATTTGTATAGATGCTTTGAAGTGATTTGCATCTGCGATGGTATCTAGTTGTTTGTTTGTATGAGAGATGAGACGAGGCTATACGAATACTTACTAAAATTTACCCAAATTGTTACTGTGATTATTTGATTTGATTGTATTTAAGCTTTTGCGTTGGGTTTGTATTTGCGTTCTTGTTCTTGTTTAGAATTGAAAGTTGAAAAAATTAGATGAAGATGTTTTCCGAATTGTTTATTTTTACATTCATCTTTCTAGAGAGAGAGAGAGAGAGAGAGTGTGTGTGTGTGTGTGTGTATGTGAAGATAGAGTTATGAGAAGTTAAATTAAGTTTATGACTTATTTATTGGTTCCTTGTGAGATTGGCAGGGTCTGACTCTGATTCTATACGGAGATGTATTGGGGGTTGGGGGGAGATTTTTGATTAAGAGATGAAAATGGGAAATGAGAACTGAGAATTGAAAACTGGAAATCTATGAGCAGAGCAGTGTTTGGTTGTTGTCTATTTGTATTTGTATTTATATTTGTATTCGCGCTTGCATCCTCGTTTATTGTAATCTCACTAGGTAGGTAGGTAGGTAGGTAGGTATGGGTAATCTAATCATTTGTATCTGTCTAGATGTACCAACTCAAAGCTATACTGACTACAACTAGAGCCCTTGATTATCCCTTCCACCGAAGCACTCAAAAATCCTCAGATATCCCACCCCAAAGTCAAAATCTCAGACTCCAGACTCCATTCAGCTTCTCAACCCCAAACCCGATATCAGTAGAAGCGTCGATTATCGATTCATCCATCCATTCATCCATGCTACGCAATCTTATACATAACTTTTCAAGGTTGTGAGGTCTTTGCTTTGCTTTATAGTGGGTATGTGTGTGTATTTCTCGCTTCACCTCACCTGCATGGCTTTCCTAGAAGTTCTTCGCGTAGGTATCTTTGTTTTTTTGAGACTTTGAATATCGTATAGTTATTTGTAGAATTCGATGTAATGCCATTCACTCTTCTTCTGCTCCCACTGGCACTCTCCCCATCCCCATCCTCATCTGATCCCATCCCTATCCATACCTCACCCTCACACCCCCCCTCCCCACCTCGGGAAACGGCAGAAACAAATCCCTCTTCACCTCCACATCTCTCCTCTCTGTCTCCACCAACTCCTGTGCTTCATATCTCCTAAAAATCGTCGCGAGCGTGAGTAATATTTCGGCTTTGGCCAGATTGATACCTGCGCAGGAGCGCGATCCTTTGCCGAAAGCGACGAGGTATTTTTCAAGAGTTTTGTCGGGGGTGAGGAGTGGGGCACTGGAGGGAGAATTGAGGTGGGCGGGAGTAGAGGTTAGCCAGCGGTAGGGATTGAAAGTTAGTGGATCGGGAAAGATATCGGGGTTTTGGTGCATGTGGACTGAGGTCATGGAGACGGGTGTCTGTGGGAGGTTAGCTTTCTATTTTGTTTCGTTCAATGCTGGATTAAAATTCAAGTATGATGATATAATCTAGAAGTTTTCCCTTCGAAACTAAAGGGGTGGGAGGGGAGGAATTGCGAGAATACGTACACCAGCAGGAATTTCCCAATCTTTATACATCATAACTTCATAAGGAGATATACGAGGAAGACGAGTTGATATACCATAAGAAAGTCTATTTGAGTATGTTAATTAGAGTGAGTCCCCAAAGTATAGATGATGCGCCTAGAGAAGAAGAAGAGGAAATGAACAAGGAAGTGAATATATACCTCAAACCTTCATTAGCAACAGCATTTAAAAACGGAAGGCCTTCAAGATCTTTCAAACAGGCTCTTGCGTATCGATCCTGCATAACTGATTTCAATTCTTCTCTCAAAGTTTTCAGATGTTGTGGATTATCGAGGAGATGGAAATGTGTGTTCTGAAATTCGTCACGTTAGTAAATTGATCATGTATATTCTTCCCCGTAGATCTTTCCTTCCTTTTCCTACTCCCCTTCCTTTCTCGAAATCTAGAAGAATGAGAAATCGCTTACAGTCAACATATTCGACACCGTATCGCTTCCAGCTCCAATTAGTACAAAAGCCTCTTCAAACAATCTTTGAAACTCTTTTTCCGAAGGAGGGATTTCATCTGATTCAAGAATTGCATGGACGATTGTTCCTTCAATTCCATTACCTTTATCAGGATCAAATTTGTAGTTACCATCGAGGATATTCTTGGTGTCTACTTCAATTGCCTGGATGAACATGATGCGTTAGATATGTATTTCATCTTGATTCTCGGTTGTGAAAGAAAAGTGGAAGCGGAAAAAGGGGGGGGGGGGGTGAGAATGAGGAACAATAACCTTGCGAAAATCCATAAGCAGAGCAAAACCAGGCTTGGTGACCTTTAAAAACCATCTAGGAAGTCCTAGAGAAATGGGTAAGAGGATAGGAAATTGTGTGAGGAGATGACCTAATTTGACGGTCTCGGCTATTGTTTCGACCCAGAGGGGTGAGAAATTGGGAGAATCAAGATGATTCCAGGAACGATTTAGTGCGTACTGTGTGTGAGAGTTAGTTTCATGAGGTTGTTTGAGTTTTGTGACGACGTAAGTGTATAATCAGAACCAAAAGAAGAATTTGTGGTAGCATAGCAATAGAAAGCAAGCAAACAAACCAAAGTAATAACATCAGTAATAAAACACTGATAAACAACTCTCATATCCAACTTCTCACCCTTCTCCTTAAACTCTTCAATTCTTCCACACAGCTTATCAAGCATGTCAAGTAACATAGGTTCCAATTTCTTGATCGTTTGCTTTGAGAGATATTTATTGAGAGCAGCGCGTCGTTCTCGATGAAGTTTATGATCTACACTTCCGAAGGCTGAACCGGGAAGTTGGAAACGATCGAGGAAGTAGGCATACTTGTGACGGACTTTGTGTTGGGAGTACAATTCTTCATAGAAAGCAGGGTCGTAGACGTGGAGTTGATGCGGAGAGATGCGGATGATGGGACCTGAGGGTGTGAGTTTGTTGTATGAGAAAGTGGTTTAAAAAGGAGAGACAGTGAGTAATGCGAGGAGTCAAAGATACAAAAGCGTATTGGAAGACTGCGGAAGTGGAATTGGAAGCATAAGAGGAGCAACATGAAGATATGAATGAAGGAAAGGTGCCATAACGTCAAAAAGTGGAAGAAACCAATGCACAACATCTAGAAGACATCAAAAGCAACAATCTGCTCATCATACACAGAATATACCACATACAAAACAATACATACCGTAAACTTGGTGTAACTCTCTGATTTTAAAAGTAAACTGTCCATCACACCAAACATCATAATAGAATTCATACCTATGTCAACCCGTGCATTAGTAAAATTCAAAGACCTAAACCCTCACGCCTCATCTTTTGAAAAGATACCTCATCGAGGTAACCTTTCTCTTTCTTGAGGAACTTCCTCTTGCCACTCCCATTTCCATTCTAGGAACCTTCAGCCTCGAGATATCAAAAACACTAACATACCAAAGACTTGCCGCCGCCAATTTAGGACCTGGAAACCTAGCCAAAGGACTAAAATAAAGTCGATAAACCACCAATATAACCTGATATACTATGAACGTCGTGACGAGAATCAAGAGCGAATGCTCCATTAATAGATGTAGAAGTCCCATTGTTTGAAGATATAAGGTCCCCTTCAATTCTGTGTCTCTTGTTTGTATTGAAGATGTTGATGATCTTAATATACTTAAAGAAGAAGGACTTCCTATTGTTGTTGCCGTAGTAGTAAGATCCTTCAACCGTAAGAGAAAATTGAGGCATCCCCAATATAAAATTGAAGTCATCTTAATAGGACGAAGCCTCACAACCGAGAAGAGTGAATCCATGATTTGAAATTGAGCGAGGAAGACGTATATTCGAGGCACATGAGTTGGCAAGGTCGAATCTTTTTGAAGTATTCCTTTCTTCACTCTGGCTGCTGGTCAACCGACAACTCTACCTGACCACCAAGATATTGTCAATAAACAAAATACATTCCTCCAGTCAAATCCACCTAGATATATCTCATCTCAAAGAACACCACTTCAATCAACTTCGGCTTCTATATATCTTTATCATTATTCCCAGAGAAAGTGATGACAATGAAATAAAGTAATATGATACCATTAATATTGAAAAATCACCCACATCATTTTCACAAAAAAAGGTAAGAGCGAAGCAAACACAACTAACAACCATCAAATCAAAAGTCCTCTGAAACAACACATATCAGAATCAGGAATCAGCAATATATATACATACCAATATAAATCAGAACATTCAACCCACACCTCAAACTACCATCTCACAACCACATCTGAACCCCGCAATCCCAATCAAGTTATCGACTTGGGTGTCTTCTCCCATCATATTTGTGTCACCAATATCCCATCCCAGGTACCATGAGACTCGAATGCCATACACAACCCAGATCTTCACTTCTTCAAGCATCTCAGCCACAACATTCAAACACGGATTCTCAACCAACCACCCATTCCGGTAAAGTGAAGGAATGCAATTAGAAATTTCCCGTCGCATTGGTGCTACATTGGCTTGTCTTGGCATTTGTCCCAAAGGAAATGAAATTTCTTCCTCAACAGATCAAATGGTCGTGTGCAGCATGTATGCATATTTACGCATGTGCATACACATACATATATGCAGATTTGAGGTCTTGGGAAGAATTCTATTTGGGATTTCTCTTATTGATGCTCTCATTCGTCACTCATTCTTCTCAAGTAGATTGTCACTTCCCCATCCGAACATTACTGCTCGGCTAATTGGAGTTTTCGTCCCATCGGTAGTACAATGACTAGGAATGGTCTTGGCGATGTCCCGAAGAACTTTTTGGATATTGGTTGGAGGGGTGAAAGATGTGGTATGTTTAGGGATAACATAACCTTAATTTATATTCCTAAGCCACGATAATGTATCTTTTTCCTTCTTCACGGGTAGAACTTGTGAAGGGTGCAGGAGAAAGAGTAGAGAAGTTATACCGTGGATGACTTTATTTTCAAACTGACGAAATAGGGGAGATGGTATCTAAACCCAGATGAAAGAAAAACGACACCATAAAATATCACTCATCATTTTCTCACTCACTTCTCAAGACCTCTACTTCTCAAATACGTGTCAATAAATCAATATACAATTTCAAAATGTATACAAACAGATCTCGATCCACCCTTTGTTTCTTTGCTTCTACATACATTCAAGCATTCACACGTGGTGAATCCGGTCCGATGCCGTGCAACACAACTTACGCCATTTGTGCATCTCATTTCAACTCAGCTGTATACATACCTACAGATCTACATATGTACAAACCTATATATACGTAGATATACACACCTAAGTCGATTACGAACCCAAAATTCTACTAATCAATACAACAAAATCATCCTATCTTCCGTGGTAGTATTGAAAAAGTAACTATGTTTCAGAAATTTCCCAGTTCCTTTCTTCTCATACTTTCGATAATGGATGGGTGAATAGACCGACAAACCGAAAGAAAGAAAGAAAGGAAGAAAGGAAGAAAGGAAGAAACAGAAGAACCGGGAGGAAGTAAAAAAGTGAGCGAGTAATGCAAAGATACACACACCGGCATTTTTAACTTCCAGTCGCACGAGAATACTGTGTTGCATGGTAATCTCTTACTGATACCATTACCCAATTGCATGGTATATATACAAGATCATGACATATACCAAACCAACGAACGTCAAATCCCAACACACCAAGCACTACCACACACACTCGAGAAAGAAATCCCATATCTCGAGTCTCAGCTCGATAAACATCTACCGGCTCATAACATATACCCTCTCTCAAGATTGAAAGGGGAGATACTCACGCGCCTAGTAATGAGGTACACAATACTCTAGCGTATTGCAAGTCGAGCAAGGAAGATCTATCCACTCGTAGACTGTAGACTACATACAGCACAGCACAGCACAGCACGGAAAAGCTCACCCACAGAGTAAATATCATTGCGCGAGCAAGCTCGAGAACAAGAGTTAGATAACAGGACAAAGATAACTCTCCACACCAAACCGACCTACCCATCCACCACACACAGAAATTCTCCGACCCATACATAGACTAGTTTAATCTCCTTTCATTTCCTTTCCTTTCCTCCCCTTCCCTCCCTCTTCCTCCTCTAAGCCAAGGAGAAAAACAAACCCCGCAAATACACAAAGAGATAGATCGACAAACACAAAAGAATTCTCCTATCCCCAAGACAACCATCTACTTTCAACCCCAACAAAAAGGCATTTCATTCTCCCTCTTCCCTCCCTGTTTCTTTCCTTTCCTTTCCTCTCTATTGCTATCAACAATTACAATTGTATGTACAGTTACAGCTCGATCTTCAAGTATTTATCTCCTCTCTCCCATCTTCTCTCTCCCATCTACCCATCTACCCATCTACCCATCTACCCATCTACCCATCTACCCATCTACCCATCTACCCATCTACCCATCTACCCATCTACCCATCTTCTATTCATTTGACCCCTTTCCCCTTTCCTCTTTTTAGTTAATCGTAATCAATCAATCAATGAATCAATCATCCATGCATGTATACCTACATGCCACCCATACTCACTCCCCTCTTAATCTACAAGTACGGAGAAAAGAACCCTCAAAAATCAAGTCATGTCTCAAAGGTAAAATGAACCTCAAATTTATTCACAGCACATTTCGCCAAGGCATTTCACTAAGAAAAGCAACAGATATAAAAAACAAATAGAGAAAGAGTAAGACTTTTGTAAACTCTCAAAGAATACTTCAACTACACAACAAGATAATAATAACTCCGTGTAATATATACATTATGTATAGCATGATAATCGTTTCCGCGTAGGCTTGCCGATATACCCTCCGCATCTACCCCTTGAAGCCTTTTCAACGATTGCCGCCCCGCCCCAGTAATATCTCGTTAGACCTAGGATGTGATAACCTAGGATAGGACAGGATGATGTCAAAATATGTACCACAACATTTTGCTCATCCCTTTCACTTCCGTACTCACACCCATCCACCCTTTCTGTCTTTGCCAATCACCAGCCCATCATTCCATACATTATGTGAAGACCTGAAATTCGTATCCGCTACATATATACTGCTGATACACCTTCTACTGCTCCTGCTCTTTCGAGCAATAAAACCCTCCCAAAATATCCCCAAAGCCTTACTTAAGGATTGTAATTATTCATAACTGCCCAAAAACTATCCTGACCCAAATCTCCTTCAAATTGCCATGGTTCAGGTTGCGCATACAAACTTGCGTCTTGGAAATTTTGATATGGCAAATCATAATTTGTTCCTCCCAGGTTCGTACTCAAATCATTGAATATAAGATCATGCATCGGTTGCAAAGGAGCAATTGAAGACAGATCGAAATTGTGTGGCATAATGTTATTAGCTCCTTGAAATTCCCAAGCAGCTGATATATTGGGATTTGGCGAGGTTAAGTTTTGTATTGTGGGAAGATTGTAATGACTTCCATTGACAGAATTTGCCGAAGATATGGTTGAAGGATCGGTGGACGATGCAGGAGAATTGTAAGATTGTGCGGATGTAGAAGTACCAGATCTTACAGCTTGTGAGCTAGCGACTGTTGATGATGGATTGGATCCAACATCTGATGGAGTTGATGGTTGAGGTTTATTTGTTCCTAATGCTTTCTTCAAACGAATATTGATTGCTTTCAGTACGCCAGCTGCAGTATTTGCAATAGCATTGCGACCAATCATAGTCTGGAATCTTTCCATTGCCCAATCAAAATGTTGTAGAGTATTGTCAAGAAGATCCCTATTCTCGAATGGATGTAGGATATAGATGGCGGCCGAGAGGATAATAGCGTCAAATGTATTAAGGACAAGGTTGAACATTTTGTAATGTTTTGTCTGTAGTAAACTGAAATATTCACGTTGCACTCGTAAAATATCCAAACCAGCTTCAAGAGCAGAACGACGACTTGAAACCGAAAGACAAATATATGGTCTATGAAGAGCCATTGTTGTGAATGCACCACCGTTCTGGAAGATTAATCTGCAAGGTGGAAGCCAATAACAATCAGGATGATTATCCCAAGTTGTGTCGGGGTTTTCGGCTCTGAAGTAGGGTGGACATAACTCATGAATTTGTTTGATATTAATGTGCATCTTTTGAACCTTGAGTGCATCACTGGGTTGTGGTCCATCTTTCTCAAGGTAATATATGTCCCAAAGTGGAGCCATAACTTCAACATACCATAACAGCATTGTCAAAGGTGTAGGCATATCTGTAGGTTTTCGTTCTATAGGAGGGGTCTTGCGTCGATCTTCAAGAGTCGCGGGTATAGGAGCGTCGATAGGAAAAGGTGGTCTTGGATCACGCATATCAATGGTGGTAGGTCGGCCAAGGACCAATGCCATGTGTACATCCCACAGAGCGAGTACAAGCCAGGTTCTCCTTCGAAGTTGTTGATGCCAAATATGTTCATATCCATCTTCGGGCTTGTGACGTTGAGGTTGATAGTTATCTTTGTGTAATTCAATCTCTTGGGCGTCTTTGATTGTTTGAGATAGAGAATGCCAACTCTCAGGCACCATTCCACTATATTTCAAGTACGACGCCCTTACAAACCCTGCCTGAACAGTCACAAGAGTAGTATTTCGTTTGCCTAATAAGGTCAAGATACTGACTCCCGAATCACTGTAATCAGCCGCAAGATCATCAAATGACATTCCAGCTGCATATTTGAGTGACTCTAAACTTGGGTCATGATCTGGGGGCTGAAATAGTAAGGCCATAGCGATACATTGAAACAGGAGAGCGGGGAAGAATTGTAAGTCTGCAGGTAATTCCTGTGGTCCTTTATTCAACGTTGCAAAAGAGAGATTGTTCCAATTTCTGAGATGATCGCGAAAGGTTCCTTCATCTAAAGCATAATATTGAAAGTTGACTTCGCGGAAGAATGTCTTTAAAAGCATATCAATGTATGGTCGGGAAGGTAATTGTCGTATCAAGCTCTTGTATTTCTCCCGAAGTCCAGCATTCTCTGACGTTGTTATGGAATGCGATGTCACAGCGGCCCCATCGTTGACCTCTGCCTCTATCTTCTTGAAGATCCCCAGTGTTGTATTTGAATGGGTCCCATTTGACTTTGCATATCCTAAAGCACTAACTTTTGCTACGGAATCCGATTCGACTTGTGCATTCTTTCCATATTCCGCATTATCGGACGACCTTAAGTCATCTAGTAATTGTTGTTTCCTCGCAGATTCATTCTCATATTGACAAACATCTTGCTTATTGCGATTAACACAATTCGAACATGGAAATTGACGATCACACTAGAATTGGTATTAGACAACTCATCTTATGAGAATACAATAAGAAAGCGAAAACAACCTTTTGCTTGCGCCTATGACACTCAGTACATGAGATTACCACTCTCTTCCTCTTCTTTGGAGCTTTCTGTGGGACCTCTGTTTTTATCGTCTCTGGGCCCGATGTAACATTGTTCTTATTTCCAGCAGCTTGTAGATTATGGTTGGGAGGGAGGTTATCGAGGTTGAGGCTGTTGTAAAATTCGTCGCATGCGACTTGATTGGGATCAGGCTTCATGTTGATCGCAGTCTCATTCATTTGCATGATGAGCGATGGTAGAAGTATAGAGATGAAGTATGGAAGATGGTCTTTGAACGAGAGAATGTCCTTCACGCCACTCGCAAATGCCAAACGAATTGATATGCGATCGATATGCGACTATCGCAAGTCGAGTAAACTTTGAATTGAGGAGGTACTCGAATACCCCCACTTGTCAATACTCGTGGGGTGGAGATGTTTGTGTAAGGGGGAGATAGGTAGGTGTTGAAATGGGTACGAGTGTTGATTTTGTATCGTAGAAAAGCGGCTCTTTTGAAATCTCGGGATTTAATGCTGATGTTAGTCGATCCTGCGATCTTGGTAGTACATATAAGGCTTTTTGGTCGTCGCAATGTATGTAAGAATAGTCGATGATGCCAATCAAATCCTGGTAGATCGTGTGAGGTACAGAATCTTTCGGATGTAAGGAATCTATTCTTGTTGACGCAAACGCCGAAAGGATGAAGAAAATATGTGTAGAGTGGCGCCGTGGCGGGCAAATGGGCAAATGGGCAAGTGAAGGGGGAAAAAAGATAGAGAATTTCAAATGCCTCAGGCCAAGATTGATGAGAATGAATGGATGGAATTGGATGTCAGACTCATCAAACTAGATGGTAGATGGTAGATGGTAGATGGTAAATAGTGGATGGTAGGTAGTCAATAATATATAATATGTAGTACATAATAGATGATATATAATAAACAGTAAATAATAGACAGTAAATAGTAAATAACAAATAGTATATAATATATAGAGTATACAGTAGATGGTATATAATACATATAATAGGCGGATTGAATCTTTATTTTTAGCTGCAATACCTAGATAGGGAGGTGTCTAGGTAGGCAGATGGAGTATGAGGTACACATGAAGAATGACTAGCAAACATAATTAAAGATTCATCACAAATTGGATTCGAGTGTATGCGTATATAGAGATGGTAACAAGTAGATGACAGATAGATAGTACTTGGAATCAATCTATCTATCTGTTGAATCCATCCGAGTGAGTTACTTGTCTGCTTGTCTGTTTACCTGCTTGTCTGCTTACCTGCTTACTTACCAAGAATAAAGGTACTTATCTAGATCTAAATGACGCTCCGCTGGCTCTCCGAGGGCCATTGCCATGGAGGCAGACTAGATATTGGTTAGATGCTCAAGAACCTATATTTTCATCTCGAAGCACAATACTAAAAATACATCAAAGACAGAGAACGCAGATAGTATGGACTGAGAATAGCAGAGGATATAGAGTAAACACAAGGAAGAAAACCAAAAAAAAATCTAATTTTACTCGAGTACCTGTGTGACATCAATTTCATGCTTCCAATTGATCTGGGAAAAGTCTAAATGCTTGCTAAATTCCTTGATTATTAAGGTTATTTATGATATTAAATGTCTTCATATATTAAACTTTTTCTCAACCTTACAATTTAGATTCTATCTTCGTACCTAGTAATCACGACGACATCATATACATCATATACATCATATACATCATATACATCATGTACCGATAAATTCCTTCCAGAATATTCTTCTTGGTCTACTTGCCGTCTTTTCCCTGAAAATGGGAGTATCCGTTCCATGTGCAAAACCACGTGTATCCTCATCTTCCCCCTCCCCCAAGATAGACCGAGCTCCTTAACCTTACCTTGGATCCAGATCAAACTCTCGTGAGCAAAATTCAAAAACCCTTACCATGCTGTGCCATGCTATCCCATGAAAGAGTAGACATAACGGAACCCCAAGTTTCCGAGTCGAAGATTTCCCGTGCAGTAGTACGTGACTATTGAAATCCACGAAACTGAAGTACAGCTAGTAGTCAGTAGCTAGGTGAAGAATGGTAAGCAACAATCGTTATACATTCGGCCCAACCAGCTTCAGATTATTTTCAAACACGCCACCCCCCACCCTCCGAAGAAATAGCATTCGAGAATGCCATGGCCATACAGAATGGAACATAGGATTTCGAATCTTGATACACATGAGTTGGCGAGCATTACGCGAAAGAGGAATAGCTGGGGAGATAGCGCAGCCACACATGTTTTTGAGGAATTTCGGTTCGATGTTTACCAGATGTTAGTGCTTCCTGTGGTGAAGAGAGTCCTGGTCTAGATCGGAAGCTTAATCTTGACACTAAGGAAAAGTATCCAGGACGGTGTACTAGGGGTGTGCCAGGGGTGTACTAGGGTGGTCCACGGGCGGACTATACCCAAGAGTCAACATCTAATGTTCATCGATTACGGTACGAAGGAGACTTGGGAAACCATTCGGAACTCTTTTATGGAGAATCCAGGGGGTGGTGGGAGGTGAAGGACGGGTAACGTGATACATCCAAATGCAGATGCAAGGATGATTCCTGATGGTCCCCTTAGCATGTTGAAGATAAAGCACGCTCTAACCACCCAAGAAGCGTCAAGATAATTTAATATGGAGAAGAGGAACGAGAATTGAGCGAGAAGAAAAAAAGTAAAACAAAGGGTCCATTAGTGTCACGTTTTAGTTCTAGTCTATGCAGTCCTTGGACAGTAGTCTGAAATGTCTCCCAAGGGTTCTTTTCCGGTTCTGGTTCTAGTTCTAGTGCTTGTTCTGGCAACTTGCAGCAAATGATGTGAAAAATTGAGATCTCTTGTGGAGGGTGGAGGGTGGAGGGAGGAGGTTGACTGAGGGTAAGAATAACAACACGGAGAGTACGGAGAGTCAGAGTAAGAGGGAGAGTGAAGAAAGCAATGGAACCTCTCCACCACCACCTCCATCCCTCCCAAATCTCCCGGGGTACTCCAGAGACCCTGACAGTATTTTTACATTCACGCCTCTCTCGCTTGCGATACCCATATTAATCAGGAATCAATGCATAATGACGCAAGATGTCGATCGATTTTTCTGCATCCCATCCAGACCTTGTGCCTTTCACACACACCAGAGTCCAGAGAGTCCCAGATAGCAGAACATTCTTTTCTTTCTGACTTCTCTATTTTCTGGTCCGTGTCCGTGTTCAGTCACCGTATGCTCTCACGAATGCTCTCACGAATGCGCTCATGCTAATAAACACCAGCTCAAACTAGGACCCCTAGTATGTATTAGGTAATCTCAGCCAGTAGCATCCAAAGTCAAACTCGAACGCAATAATTTATTATACACTGACCACCACCAACCTTATCTACCTACCAATCTACCCATCTACCCATCTACCAACCTACCAACCACTCTTCCCACCACCACGCTTTTTTTTTTACTTCCATGGTGTATTTAAGAAAAAAGATAAGATTATGATTAAGAAAAATTAAAATACACATTAATACCATTCAGGCTTAGACTCCCTTCAGTGTCTAAGACTTCCATACCTTATTTCATTTGGTCCATCTGCGAAAAGGGTACCTACCTATAAGGCATTGCCATTTATCTATCACATTGAAAAGGTGGAGGGGTTGCCTTTTAACCCAATCCAATGCATACAAACAATTAGAAACTAGGTGAGTAAATCTCTACTACCTCCTGGTCTTTTCCCACTCACTCTTCCATTCAATATACCGATCATCAATAAAGTCAGAAACGTTAATCACTCCATTTCTGATCATCGCATTCATTAGACAGATCTTCCTGCCTCGACCATTCCCACCCATAGACGGATCATAGACGGATCATCACCTTGACTACCTCCTCTCGATCCTGTCGAACTTTCGGAAAGCTGGCCAGCCATCCAATTAAACCCAAGCGCAGATGGCGCCGGTAGCAGCAACAGTTGCGCTTTCGCACGTTGAGGGGATTTCCGATTCCGCCAGAGCCAGAGAATTATACAAGTAGGTCCATGGTTTAATTTGAATCGGTTGCACCAGTGTAACGAGAATGATGGAAGGTGACACAAGAAGATCCACGCATGTTGAGTCAAAGAGAGGGAAATCAAAGATGTCTATCTCATGAAGTGGTCTGGAATGGCTCACTACGGATTCATTTGCCACCACAAGTTCAAATGTGAAAAGAGTTATCATACTGATATCTATCTCCTTCAGGTACTATCAACCTACTGCGCCCATAAATACCGAGACATGTTTTCCAGCACCTCCATCATCCACGGAGCCTGGCAATCAGAACTTGGAAGTACAATCTGATATTACTTCAACCAAAATTTCCTCTCCAGATACATCGTTGACAGCATTCTGCCAACTAGTATCATGGAGATTAGAGGTGCAAAGAGCAATGATCAGGTATTTTTTCAAGCATTCGTATCCATTCTGTTGATTCATAGGCTGACAAACCCCTCAAGTCTTATCGATGATGGCACACAGTATTTCATTGCAGAAAGCACAAAATCATTAAACCTAGTGGATGCAACAAAGCACAAACCAGGTGATGAGTTGTGGCTCGGCTGTACTTCCGTGTCAAAGGCTGGTAGGTTGTGTGAGAGGTATGACAAAAGCGAATTTGAATTTAAAATCAAGTCGTCAATTGTATTTAATCTCTGCTACAGGACCATCGAAACTGCCCCAACCGCATCGGGTGATGAATATCCTTCATTCATTGTCAATGATTTGACATTAGATGATCGATTCAATCAACTTTCTTTTGTTACGGACCCCCCACACCTCAAATTTTATGCAGGAGTTCCACTTATCACCAAGCGAGGCATACCGATTGGAAGTTTATTTGTGGTCGATAGTCAAGCCAGGCCCGGGCTCTCCAAAGATGACATCTCTTTCTTGGGTACAATGGCATGCACTGTTATGAAGCATCTAGAGTTGAACCGAGAAGTAGAGGAACATCGACGCGGTATGAAGATGAGCAGAGGTCTTGCATCATTTGTCGAAGGTCGTGCAGAACTCGAAGAGGCAGACATGGAAGCAGAAGATGGAGAAGGTACAAAGATTGTTGGCCAGTTTGAAACAGACACAGGGATCAGACGACAAAAATCAAAGTCTTCATCATCAACAAAAGATTCGAGAATGTCAAGTGCTACTTCACTTTCTCTTAGCAATGGTAAAGAAAAGGGGCATGTAACCTCAACTTCAACGATTCCTACAAGGATAGAAGGTACCGTTTTGACATCTGAACGATCGGATTCATTCACCAATGAACGACCAGGGATGGAGTCCACACCCTATTCCTCTTATGGAGAGACTAGTACAACTGAGCAGTCACCTTCCGATATGTGCAAGACTGATACCCCTGACGAGGAGTTTACTGAAGCTTCTGCTCTAAAGTTGCTCTTCTCACGCGCTTCCAATCTCATTAGGGAAGCATTTGAGGTGGATGGTGGAGCTGTATTTTACGATGCACAAAAGGGTTTCAGCAGTGATGCGCAAACTTCTAACTTGGAACTGTCTGTTACTGATAGCCAGACGAGTGGTGACGATGAAATGAGAAACGGATTTAATCCTCAATCCTCCATTTCACGACCTTTTACTCGAGCGTCGACAATGTCACAAACACGAGAAATCGAGATTTTGGGATTCTCCACCCCCGAGGCATCATCGATTAATGGTGATCTATACCCGGGAACTCATTCATTCTTACCATTCGAGGAAAAGTCTTTACATCAATTTTTGCGCCGGTATCCACGCGGAAAGCTATGGACTTTTGATTCGGATGGATCCATGTCCTCCGCGTCAGATGATGAACTTCTTAAGAGTTACAAATCTTCTGTAAGACCAGGCAGAAACCAACAACGTGGAAAGAACAAAGTGGCTAGGGCTGCAGCAGATGGAAGATTTTTGTCGAATCATTTTCCTGGTGTTCGCCAATTGTTGTTTGTCCCGCTTTGGGATGCTGGTCGTTCTCGTTGGCTCAGTGCATGTTGTGTTTGGTCAACAGAGCCTACACGCATTCTATCCAAACAAAACGAGTTGTCGTTTCTCACTGCATTTGGAAACAGTGTCATGGCTGAATGTTCTCGTATAAGTACCGAAGTTGCGGATCAGAAAAAGAGTGACTTCATTGGAAGTATTTCTCGTAAGTATTGAGCGATGATTGCCAGCATTTTATCAAAGGGGGCTAACGATATGCAAAGATGAATTGAGAAGCCCGCTGCACGGAATACTTGCGTCTGCTGAGATATTGGACGATCTTTCATTGCCAAATCTAGCTCAAGAACTTGTCGAAACAATTGATAGTTGTGGCCGTACCCTCTTGGACACTATTGTGAGTCCCTTTTTGATTGCTCTTGGGTGCAGTTTACTCTTATTTTCCTTTCCTCGTACCCCGGACCTCGTTCATCTTTGCTGACTGCTTCTTTAGAATCATATCCTGGACTTTTCTAAAATTAGTAGCCTTGAGAAGAATTGGCGTAGAAATCGACGGGGCTCCACGAAACGAAGATCGCAATCGAGTAGTGCTGGCCCCCTGGCTTTACAACAATCCGATTTGCCCATGATTAATCTGTTCGCTCCTGTGGATGTTGCAGTCCTTTGTGAAGAGGTGGTTGAAAGTGTTTTTGCTGGCTACGTTTTTCAAAATGTCACGGCAAAAACTTTCGATATGGTCCATGATATACATGACAAAAGCTCGGATTCGAAAAGACAAACAGGATTGCTTGCCATGTCATCTTCAGCAAACCAAACCCCACAAGTTTCCGTCATCCTGGATATTGCTCTAGATAACTACAACTTTACTACACAGCCCGGTGCTTTCCGGAGAATCATCATGAACTTGCTCGGGAACGCTTTGAAATATACGTCACACGGCTATGTACGTGTCAAGTTAGAGACCGCCAAACTAGATGATCTTAACGTCCCTGGTGATGGGAGAACTCCGAGATCAATGATCATATTGACAGTGACTGACACAGGAAAGGGTATATCTAGCGAGTTCCTTAGATCGAAGCTATTCACTCCATTTGCTCAGGAAAATACTCTCTCAAGTGGGACTGGATTGGGGCTGTCCATTGTGAGGAGTATTATCAACCTACTTGAAGGAGACATTACGATTGATAGCGAATTGGGACGTGGTACGGGTGAGTAACCTTGAGCTTTCCGGCTGCGTAGATATGACATGTTGATACAGTACTAACCTATCTCTCTAGAGGTCAGAGTTACCTTGCCACTTCTTCGCGAAATGCCAAAAGATACATCAACACCAGCAACACCAAAAGCTGTAACCTCGTTGTTGCGTGAAACAGATGAATCAGTATCATTATTACGAAGTGAAATAAGCGGTCGTGAAGTAGGCCTCTTTAATTTCAATCCTCCTACTATAGACCCTATACTTGCAAGAAAGGGAAAGTTTCTCGAAGGGTCCGTCAGAAACTTCCTCACAAATTGGTATGGCTCGAAGATTGTGCCATTATCGAAGAATCCAGCTATTATCCTAGCGAACGCTCCAGACTTGTCTGTTCTCGCTAATCTCCGTAAAATGCTTCCTCGCCAAAGTAAACCGTCAGTTTTGGTTCTATGTCCGCATTCTTCACGGTTTAACCACTCATTCGCAGAAGCTGGCATCGAAGGCAATGTCACCGTAGTAGCGAAACCAGTGGGTCCACTCAAACTTGCAAGAGCACTCCGATCTTGTCTTGAAGGTGTAACAGCTGCAAGTGGTACAGCCGTCACGCCCGATGCGTCTGGCATGGCCCAAGGTAGCACTAATGATCTTAGTAACATCTTTGAGGATTTGCTCATTTCTCCGAATGGTGGCGAAGTACTGGACAATAGTCGTATGGCGGTTGATAGCGAGAATGCTCGGAAAGCTATTGAATCACCGACTCCAAACGCACTTGTTGAGAAGGGCAAAGAATTCCCATTTCCTTTACCTTTAGGTGGTAAAAACTCTAGTTCAAATGGGGAACTTTCTTTGGATAAGAACCTTCTCACCCCCATAGCTTCAAGCTTTGGTCTCTCATCTCCACCTAATTCATCGGTTGGGTGTGTGACTAGTCACCCATCTGGTTCTTCAACTGCAACTGCAACTACACGTCAACCTTCAATCACGATCGCAGATTCTGACCCATTCGCACCAAATCTACTTCTAGTAGATGACAACATGATAAACCTTAAGCTTCTGCGTCACTTTATAACGAGGTTAGGATACACAACAGTTCACGAGGCAGAAAATGGACTTGAAGCAGTAAAGAAAGTTGAAGAACGACCAGAAGGATATGATATTATTTTCATGGATATCAGTATGCCAATTCTAGATGGATTCGATGCTACAAAGGAAATTCGAAAATTAGAAAAGTCAAGACGAGAGCGAGCGACAACCGACGATGAAACAGACAAGAGTAAGAAGAAAAATGAAGCACTAGTGGTGGCACTTACGGGTTTAGCGGGTAAAGATGATGTGGAGAAGGCGAGAGCTTGTGGCATTGATCTTTTTATGACGAAGCCGGTGGCAATGAAGGAGGTGAGGAAGATGTTGGAGAATTGGAGGGCTAATCAGAAGGACTGAGTGGGGAAGTGGATGACTCTGATGAGTGGAGACATTTGAGCGGAATGATGGAACGATGGATATGAATATGAATCGTATCAGGGGCTTGCATTTTGAGGCGTTATGGAAGCATCAAGGCAGAATCAAAATCGGGACATGAATATCTAGGAATTGTAACAATATGACGGGACGGAGCGATAAAAATTTGGCGTGGCGTTTGGCTTTAGGCTTTGAGCTTTTGAGAGGGAGGGGCTCTTATATACCCGGGTGTAATGCATGGAATTTGTGCTTGAGATGGGTGTGGCTTTTTGGTTTTCAGGAATGTTTGGGGGATTCTTCAAGTTGGATGGAAGGAAACGAATTGGGGTGGAATGGATGTGATGTTCAATAATATACCCTGGGTGGGGCGATGGTTTGATGGAAGGATCGAGGTGATGATTGATGGGATGGATGAATAGATATGTATTATATGAGATGATGAAGAAATCAATAGATACCAGGTACAACTATATCAAGTGTCTCACACTTAGGTGGTGTGATATATTGCAGACTTATTATAGCATATGAGCCTAGATCATTATGGATTAGGGAGTGTGTTTAGACATAGAATTTGAAGTCTATATAGATGGGTATGTAACAATCTTTGTGCCAAGATGAATATATATAGGGTAGGTAGGTGGATAATCAATTTTTATTTGATAGGTGAATATGAAATAGTATGTATGGTATAGTAGTGGATACTAGATAGAAATGAATCGAAAAGTTGGTGTTTTGTTGGTGGAGGGAGGAGATTGGTATTGTATTGTATTGTATTGTGTTGTATTATATTGTATTATATTGTATTATATTATATTATATTGTATTGTATTGTATTATATTGTATTGTATTGTATTGTATTGTATTGTATTGTATTATATTGTATTGTATTGTATTATATTATATTATATTGTATTAAATAAAGGAAGTAAAGTAGTATATGTAGATGTAAGTGTAAGTGTAGTTGAGTTATTTTTATCTTTTGGTTTATTTGTATGGGATGATTTGGGTGGCGGGGGCTATCTTCTATGAGATGTATGAAGATATAGGCTTGTAAGAAAAGGGGATATTAAGGAGAGGAGATTGTAAGAAGAAGAGATTGTAAAGAAAAGAAATTACAAGGAAAAAAGATTGTAAAAAGAAGGGATTGTAAGGAAAGGAGATTGTAAGAAAAGGGGAGAGAATAGTATAGTATCTATGTATCTGGATTATAAGGGGAAGTACCCGGTGTGTGAATATATTGGTATACATGATTTTATCTTTCGTTTATTTTTTGTTTATTTAAGGAAGTGAAAGAGCCAAGTCTGTAATTTATGTAGCTAGGGGAATTGGAAAGATGTGGGAAGTGCGAAGATGGGAGAGGATGGGGTAGGACATATGTAAAGGTTGTGAGAGGAGAGGGTGGGACTTAAAGAGGAATTGTAGGTGGTTATATATTTATATGGGCATCGTGTGAATATATATGTAGTCACATGGGTATTGAGTTTTAGGTACGTAATTTGAAGTGCAATTGGAACTGAGAGAAGAAAGACATGGAATGAATGTTTCTTTCTCTGGGAGATAAAATTAAGTACGGCAAATCACTCTCATGTCCTTGGAATCTATAGCAGATTCTATATAGAAGCTACTCTAGACTAGATTCTATAGTGGAAGGAAGAGTAGAATTCATGGTGGAAGGGTAGATTCTATAAGTGGAGGGTAAAACCCAGAGGGAAAAGGTAGAATCTATAGAGGAGGGATGGAATCTATAAGTGGAGAGTAGAATCTGTAGGGAGAAGCTAAGTTCTATAGGTGGAGTGGAGATTCTACAGGTTGAGATTGAATCTGATTCTATAGGTTGAGAATAGAATCTATAACTACTATACCATCAATTTTCCCTTGATCTTTTCTATAGATTCCATTTACTACAGACTGAATTCTACGCTTCTATGTAGATTTCATTCTAGAATTTATGATAGGACCTGAGGGGCATGAGAGTAGAACAAATTTGATTTTTAGAGTGTGAAAGTAATCAATTGACTTCTAGGGGGCATAAGAGTAATTTACCGAGTCAAATGTAATATATACTAGGAGCTGAAGGTTGGGTTGGAAGCTGGAAGTTACGAGTCATGCCAATTGGAGTGAATAAGAAAGGAAGAACATGGGAAAGATACTGATGGGATTGTTTGTGATTTAATAGGAAGGACTTGTTTTTGACTGGCAGAATTTTGAAAGGTGATGAAGTCTTCTCTCCTCTTTCCTTTTCTTCTCTCTGATTAGAGACTTGAGGTAATTAGGTATCTATCGAGGTCTTGTGAAATGTGTTGTCATAAGGTGTTGTTTGGAGTAGAATGAATGGTTAGGTCTCGTGTATATGATTTGACATGAGGGAATTATCTAGATCATCGTCTTAGTCCGTGGGATTTCGATCGTGAGAGTGGGTAATATGTGAATGAGTGATGGGGATGAAGATGGAGATGGGCTAGAATTTACGTATGGCTGGTGGGTAGTCGGGTCTATTAGGTAGATAGAAAGGCAGGCAGGCACATACCGCCACTCATACAAACTCAATTGCCGAGTCGATAGAGAAATCATGTCTTGATCGTGAGTGAGTTATTAGTCAGAATTAAAGCATCAGCGTCATATTCTTTGAACATGAATGGTTCATCGAGGAAGTGCTGTTTGGATTTGATGTCCAAGATTCTTGGACCCGTAACTGACATACTATAATTTAAGCTTACTCCGTAAAAATGGCTCTGGTGCTGGCTCTAGTTCTAGTTCTATCTCTATACCGGCGATCTCATACTCTCGTAATATATTTAAAGTTACCCGGAGCATCAAATTTGTAACCATCAATGGCTAATTGCTATAGAGTACAATAGTATTGATGATGGGTATATATCCAGATACACTAGTATCTTATCCGCATTTAGCCGGATGTCGGTACTTTTTAAAGGTGGTACCGAAGACCCCCTTTGTGAAACAACCTGGGAGTGGAGGCGCTCGTTCGCACCTTTAAACCAATGTAATGCTTTTTTTTTTGAACCAAGTGTGTGATGTATCAACCAAGACGCTTTTACTTGATTTACACAGAATAATCAATTAACACCAGGCAAAGATTCTTAATATCCAAGGGGGCGGATGACCTGTCTACTGTATTTTACTTCGTACTATCATGAATGATGTGGATTCTGTATGTGTTGACAGAAGCTCACTAGGCCATTATTAGAACACCCGTACATCAAGCTTTTCCATGGTTAACACTATCACATCACAACTTACTCGATTTGCAATTTAAGTTTTCCATCCAAAGTCTTATTTCATCCCCGTTCATCCCATCCGCCAATCCTTATCTCCAAAGCATCACCAACGCATTCGACAACTACCGTTTCGATCGCATGACGTCCATCCATCCCCCTTATCCCAATTGGCAAGTCTGGATCTTGAACCCATAACTCTGATTGAGAAAGTCGTCCGAAATTACAGTTGGTTTCGGACTCGTGAAGCCTCCATGCGGGGTAGTACCTTGCTCTATTTTTGCATATAGCCGATGTACTTTTATGGGTCGAGGCAGGGATTTAAATTAAACGTTTGGAAACGGAAAATAAAGACGTTTGATGTAGAAATATTGTGGATGCAATTATTGCATATCCAATACTTTTGCGGGATATATTGAAGAATGCCACTTTAAGGTCCAGTGGTTCAAGGCCAGATTGAATATAGTGGAGACCAGATATGTTTTGAAGTTTCCTTTGGGAGGAACGATGGATGAAGGGGTACTCCGAATGGAGTAAGCGATCTTGAATCTTATATATAGGTTGTATCTGCTCTCGAGTTTAAAGAAAATCACCACATTCACATACTCTCATTCCACAACCAACTTCACTCTTTCAAACAAACTTCACAATGGTTTCTGCATCTTCCCTCCTCCTTGCTGCATCAGCTATCGCTGGTGTCTTCTCCGCTCCAGCCGCAGCACCTGTCAGTGAGAACTTGAACGTTTTGCAACAAAGAGCATTGACTTCTTCTGCTACCGGTACTAGTGGTGGGTACTACTACTCCTTCTGGACCGATGGAAGTGGTGGTGTTACATACGCCAATGGAGCCGCTGGCCAATATGCCGTAAGCTGGACTGGTAACAAGGGAAACTTTGTCGGTGGAAAGGGATGGTCGGTTGGTTCCGAGCGGTAAGTTCTCATCCCTTCCTTTTGTCGTCCTTAAGAAAACATCAAACTAATCCCTCCCAAAGATCCATCTCCTACTCCGGATCCTACAACCCCGTTGGAAACTCCTACCTCTCCGTCTACGGTTGGACCACCTCTCCCCTCATTGAATACTACATCGTCGAAGACTTCGGTACCTACGATCCTTCCTCGGCCGCCACCGAAATCGGCAGCGTCACCTCGGACGGTTCCACCTACAAGATCCTCGAGACCACCCGTGTAAACCAACCTTCCGTGCAAGGAACTGCTACCTTCAAGCAATACTGGTCTGTTCGTACCAGCAAGCGTACCAGCGGTACCGTCACCACTGCAAACCATTTTGCTGCCTGGAAGAATTTGGGATTGACTCTCGGCTCCACTTACAACTACCAAATTGTTGCTGTTGAGGGTTACCAAAGCAGTGGTTCCGCTTCCATCACTGTTTCTTAAATTTGCGATATACAAGAGAAGAGGAGATTGGAGGATGGATGAGTAAACGAGGAGTGAATGGAGATTGTTGGGAATCTTGTTTCTTGTATATATTCCTTACGACGTTGTTTCTGGCAGTACCGGATGTTGTCGTTTTTGTAGGCCCATATATTCTTTCCTACATAATCAAGTTTCCATGGGAGTTATGTGCCATTGTGATTTTTGAGTTCGGGAGTAGCGTGCAAAGTATGTATATGATGACGAATTGAATAGGATATGTCTACGCCCTTGGAGATGTCTACAGCTATTCCAACATCACATGTTTCACGTGTGGACCAACGAATGAAAGAACGAATCCATTATTTGAAGAGTAAAGTGTGAAATCTGAGAATGTAAATATTATAACAAATATTTTGACTATTAGGTTTCCATTGGATATGCTCTCATATCATTATCGTTCGTCGTATCCTTCATCGAATCATATCATCATATCGCATCACACCTTCCCCCTGCCATCACCTCGAGAGAGACCCCGATTTCTCTCTCTCCCACCTTCGGAACGAAAATAAAACTGCCATAGACACCCAAATCCTTCAAATTAAACAAAACTTCAACAAAAAACTAACAAATACTTACACATTAATAAAACCCGTCCATTCCATATATTCATCACCCATTTCTCAAAACTCTACAGACAATATCTTCACCATCATATCCCCCATCACACCACCGCATAAGATAAACACACTCTCTCACCCCTTCTCAAATCTCCGCACATTCTCAAGCGAAAGCTTAGTAGCTTTCTCTATCTGCTGCAACTCCCATATCTCCGCTCTTCGCTGTATTCGCTGTGCGCGCAAATCTTCTCGTTCCCGCATCTCAGCTTCTGTCTCTGCTCGGTGTCTAGCTCGCTTGGATCGTCGAATGGAGTATTCGGGTTGGTGTTGGTTTGGCAATTCTGGAGGTTCTTCTGCGCGTCGTTTGAGGGGCTGGGCGGTTTGGTTTGGTTGGGCTGATTCGCGGATGGAAAGGGAATAGAAGTTCGGGAGAGATTGGAAGGTTTGTCTTTGTATTCTTGCTTGGTATTCTGCTTTCTGAGCTCTGATTTCTTCTTGATCTTGCAGAGTGAGCTGGGTTTGCTGAGATAGTTGGGAGAGTTGATCGTGAGCGTGATAAATGTGTTCCACTAGTACATTCTTTTGATCTCGTATCTCGTAAGCTAGTTCGTCGTAGACGTCTCTTGCATCTCTTGCCTTTTGGGCTAGTTGGTGTTCAGCTAATTGGTCCAAGTCCATTTGGTCTTGATCCAGTTGGTCGTGTGCTACATTCGTCCTGGGAGTCAGCTCGTTTTGTCGAGCTCGTATCTCGGAAGCTTGTTTGTCGTATACGTCTCTTGTCCTTTCAGCACGTTGCTTTTGGATCAATTGATCCTGAGCGAGTCGGCCACAAGCTTGCTTCGCTAGTTGGAAAAGTCCAGTCGTTTGTGCTGGTTGTTCTTGAGCTGACTGCTCTTGGGCTGCTTGGTCGTGAGCTACACTCGCCTTCCGCGTGGTTTCATTCTGTTGAGCTTGTTGGTCGTAAATTCCTTTCTCGTAAGTATGTTGCTCGTAAAAGTTTCTTGCATTTTGAGCTGGTTGATCTTCGGTCAATTGATCTTGAGCCAGTTCATCGTGAGCTTCTTGTGACTCTCGAGTCTCTTGAGCCGGCTTCACCTGTTGAGCTATTTGATCGTAATTATTTTTTGCCTTTTGTGCCGACTGACCGACTTTCGTTGTTGCATATTGTTGAAGTTGTTGTCCTTGCTGTTGTTGCACTTGTTGAGCAGTTTCTCGTGTTTGCTGTGAGGCTAAACTCTGATATCCCCTAATACCTTCCTCTATCTTGGCATCATAATGCCCGGAATCTCCCAGAGTAGACTGTCCAAACCGAAAAACTGCGGTAGGATTGGGATTTTTGAAGTGGTTTGGTTTTGAGTCGGGGGTGTGTACGGTTAACGATGAACGTTGTGCGGCAGTATTCGTAGCTTTCTGGGATTGTGAATAACTCGGATTGTGACCTGAAGCTTGGTATGGCCAATGAAGATCGGGGTCTCTAGATGTCGATGGTGTGCGAGTATGGAGTTGAAATCGTTGGCGAGGAGAAGTCTGACGAGATTGAGCTTGGTAAGATTGAGCATGTCGATCTTGGACCTCTTTGGAGACTGACAGCGCTCGGAATCGATTAAGGTCGACTTCCTCTTGAGGTTGAGGACTCTTTGTTTGGAAGTTTGAAAGCTGTTGAAAGTGTGCATCAATGGTGTCTTGATCTTGAGAAGGTATGGAGGAATCAGCACGGGGAACATCAGCGCTTACCCCAGCCAGGGTTTGAAATGGCGAGTTCATATCGACATCTCTCGTTCCGTCTCCAGAATCTTCTTCGACCGTATCGTCTGATCCGCTAGCGACTTTAGGATCTTGCTCAAATGGATCATTATTGCTGAGTACATGACCATCTTCATCAAGTGGAAGATAGCCATGCGGCGTTGGTGAGAAGCGGAATACATCGTTGGTCTGACCCGCAAATTCAACGCCTGCTTCGCTTGTGTTATCAAAGTTCTCATGGGTATTGGATGGTGCGATATTCCATTCCTCCTCGATACTGGGAAGAACCGTGTCTTCATTGTTGTTTTGGTAGCCAATATCGTCTTTGTTCATTTCGGTTATAAGATCAATCGCGAGATTGACATCTTCCAGCTCACTTCGGGTTTCATTGAGGATGTTATCCTCTTTGGATATGCGGTCTTGGAGCCTCGCTGCCTCGGCCAATCTCTTGCCTCTGTTGTCCTCACTCTCTTCACTGACACGATCCTTTGCCACCGTCAATTTCTCTAGATTCCCTTCGTATAGCTTCTTGACTCTCTCATGACCAAAATGACGGGATTGAAGCCTCTCTGCCTCGAACTGCATTTCTTTGAGTTGCTTAAGCCTTGATATGGTCTCCTCAGACGGGCCTAGAGCCGTTGTAGCGACTACTGATGCGGGCATAGGATATTTCGGTACAGGCTTGGCAGTGTATGATTTAGCCTTCGGCATCAGAGGCAAATTGGCGACACTGTATTTTCGCTTGTCTGTATCGACTATGGGCATACTTGGCCGCGAATACTGCGCTTCCGCATTCTGATTTGGCTGTATTCCTTGGGATATGTCTTCGTTCCTGTTCTCCAGTGGTTCTCCCCGTCGTTTAGCTGCCTTTCTAAAATCGGATCCTCTACAATGAGAGCATGTAGATAGAATCCTGCCATTGCTTATGGGAAAATAGTACCTGGGCTTCCAAACTCTTTCCTTGCTGCAATAGCGATACCGGGGACCCTCTTCACCAGTTACCGTGTACAGGTTACTTTGAGGATAACCTGGCAGGTTTCGCTCATCTTCAGGAAGAGGAACATCTGAACCAAAAATTTGCAGCCATTGTTGATAAACATTCAATGTTGTGAAGTGCTGTGGAGTAACACCAGCAGGGGCGCTTCCAGGATAGAAGACCTCATTGGAGAAACTTGGTACGATACATCGCGGAACAGGCGTCTTTCCTACATGAACATATGTCATGTTGTCACTGAAGGTTATGTTTATGCTAGAGAGTGTCGATAAATAAATGTTGCGTAATGTGTTGATGATTAATGAAAAGATTCGGAATTTGTCTGGAAGGGTATTATTGACAGTGTCGGACAAAAGTCGAAAGCTATCAGAAGAACAGAAAAATGTTCGAGTGTGTCCAATGAGATATGCAATGAATCGAGAAGTAGTCAATAGAAACACATAAAGTGCCAGGAATATTTCGTGGAGAAAAGGCGACCAAGTGCGAATTCGTCGCCTAGGAGACACTTAAGTAGACACGAGGCGGAGTCGAATTCACTTTGTTTACATCTTCTTATCTTTCTTTATGATCAGCAATGCCGAGGATAAGTAGATAAATGAGGGGCTGGAGGAGAGATGCATGGAGTGAATGTTGAATTGTCAATGAGGATATCGTAGATCTTGAGATGCCATCTCATCGTTATATTGTGGTTTTCTCTAAGCGAGAAGCGTTGAGAGGTAATTATCGTCTGAAGGGCAAAAAACTTTAGTGGGTGAATTGTTGAAGCTCGCAATCACCTTACCTAGTGACAAGACATATTTTTTGGATGTAGGAGTTCCATCTTCTTCAGTGAAGTGTGTCTATTGAATATAGATCCGTAATGTTTTGCGGCTCATAATGCAAGTACCAACTCGCTTAACAATACGCCATTCATCAGCCTATGATTCAATACGTCTGATTGTATCCATATGTCATAATTAGGTCGTAATAGCTTGAATATTTTTTGTTAGTTGATGGCATGGAAGTCTTCCGGAAATGGGATATTATAAAGGGAAGAAAAATGAGAAGCGTGATGGAAAGGCCTTGTGTGTTATAAGACGCTGGCTGAGCAACTCATGAGACCTCCTTACTTTGTTGCTGACTGCTTACTGGGAGAAATTTACGGAAGTCGAATGAATGTTTTTTTCCTACAAGATATAGGAGATGCAATTGTGTGTGTAGTAACATAGTATAGAGATATTATAAATATAAAATGGATAATCTTAAAGATGACTGACTACTCGTGCATGGAATTTGTGCGATTCTGTTCCTGTCAGAAACTATGCAACGGAAACCTGCATATTTATACTGGATATCTAGTGATATTCTAGTAGGATTGTAGGTGCTCTAAGTTAAATTTTCATGTGCGCACCCTGATGTTAATTCATATGTATCAGTTCCCATATCAGAATTATGTATGAAAATAGCATGTCTGACTCGTCCTTGTGTTGAGATCAGAAACAATAACAATGTAGACTTCACCGAATATTTACTTTGAAGCAACTTCCAAAGACAACAAGAATTGCTTACGGAGCACCACCTATCCTGAGTTGAGTTGCTTCCATCACAGAAGTTTTCTTTGAATGGCCAAGAGAGGCATCCATTTTCTGGCAAGAAGTTCACAAATTAAAGAAAGCCCAGAAAATCTACTATACACTCAGAGATTGAATTTTAATCCAAGTAATTGAACTCACAAATTATGAGGAACAAAAAGAATAAGTATTTGTTGCCTTGACAGTGACTCCTCCACTGTAGTTCATCCATACCTATGATAGCAGCCTGCTGTTTGTGCGTAGTCCATACTACAAACACAATTTAATATTCATTGAAGACCATGGAGACAACAAATTTGTCAATAAACAAACAACAAGTCCTGTTAGAAGTGAGTCTAGGTTCAACAAATATCAAAGCCCTCGCTTCGACAAGAGGTGCTCACACAACTGCTCGAGAATTGTGATATTGAAAATTCAAATATTGAAAATATAAATCCGAAGTAAGGCCTTCAAAGAACTCTTGTCTTGTTTCAGGTTCGGGATAGCCATTTGAATTCCTAGAGCTTCTCCATTTCCCAAACTTCCCGCAATCTTGACAACAACATTATAACTTCCATATTCTTTGATGTAATCTTATACTCGGCTTTTATTTTCGCTGTTCGATAGGACCATTAAGTTATATATTGGTACGATCAAGGAACAACTTGTCGAATCTGCAAAGATTGGGATCCCGAGTTACTTTCGCTTTGACTTCAACAATTGAAGATCGAGTCAAGTCCCTGGACTTCATATTATTATACAGCATACAATTCACAGTAAGTCCACAACTACTTATGGCTTTCTTGAGATCCCAGAGTCCATGATAGCTTGCTCATGGCCTCGATCTTTCTCTTATTTCCAGAAACTGATCTGTTATATAGCAGAAAGTCTCTTCCAACAAATTCAAGTTCGACACTATCAACGCCAGAGAAAATCATGAAGGGCAGCTTGATTTTCTTGTTATAGCGTCGGATAGAAGCAAGCCCGTCGATAATATACTATCCAAGAAGTACTCAAAAACTCGTTGATCACTGGTCGCGACAGATCTCAGCACTCTCGGACTTCCAAAGCAAAATGAGGTTTTGCAGTCGGAAGTCCCAGGGGGTATTAAGCCATGTAAGTCACCTCATTACAACGGTTAGTATGCAACTAGCATGCCAAAACCTGATATGCTTCTTAAGATCATGAAGATCTACAATCAAGACCTCAAACATCTCTTTAAGCGTATCACAACTGACACACATGACTCGTAGCGGTCCATTACTTTACAAAACGACTCGTGGCTTCCGGCGCGCGCCGATCTTCTTCCTAAGATCATGAACATATATATTCATCGCCTCGAACATCTCTTCAGGCGTATGGTCGTTGATGTGCATAGCGCACAACGAGCAAAGAGAGTTCCAAGACGCCAACTCCAACCCCACCACCATGGTGGTGGTGTCTTAATTCGATGACAATTTTCCAGCGAGCTTTTCAAGCTACCTCTACGACACATAGAGGGCTGGTCTCGGTGTCAGAACACTGTAAGTCCATCACAATTCCCAAATTTCTCATCCTACAAACATATAAGCCCTAGCAATTCTAACGTTATACCCAAGTGATGACGATCTTGGCCCCGAGGTCAACGAATATGTCCTCGTGTCATTATTTCAGGACTGCTTTTCTCCTGCGAGTACGAAGCACCCTTCGTGGGCGATCTCGGCCCTGAAGTCAACGAGTAAGTCCTGGTCTCACTCTTCCAAGCCAGATTCCCATCATGCAAGGGGAGTGAGACCAAGACTTATTCATTGACATCTGGACTTGCCGGATCATGAGATATGTTACATCAGATTTGATATAAATGCCAACATCAGATCTGCTCCCGAGCAGATCTTCAAAAATATTAAGTTGTCTGCCTGCGCAGGCAGGCTCTTCTTTACTTGAAGTGCCTGTGTGGCTGTGGGGGTTTGAATGGTGGTCGTCGTTCAGATACAATGATGGGGTTTCTATCTGGTGTCCTTGGATACTTGAAGAGCACAATATGGCAGGTGTGTGGATGATGTGGAGATTTTGTTGTTAAAGATGTTACTTTGCAGATATTTCTGGGGATGCGAGATGGGAGATGGGAGATGGGGTCATGTTCTTGATAGTGTATATGTAGGAGGGGGAGAAGTAGTAGCAATAAAACGTAGTTAACTATAGCCGCTTCCGCGTGCGCTTCCTTTCCCTCATCGTGTTGAACTGCTTGAGATCCCGCCGGTAGAGAGTCGTGGATAATTGTGGTTAGTCCTATATATGAGCTTCTCATTAAATGATAGCTAATAAGCAAATCAGGCTTCGTGTGAAGAGCAAGATTTGGAGCTCATAATCTGACCAGCTTGTATACTGGTCGCCGACAGGCCGTACAGGAAGGGAAAATAAAATTGTTTCCAGTAGCTACCTGGTAAGTCTTCAGATTTCAGTGCCATTGTCCATAATGTCAAGTATTGATTTTCTTTCTACTTTAGACAATTGATACCGGTCTATGCCCTTACCCAAGGGTCCCAACGCCTTCAAATGCCCTTTGAAAAGGGTATGCAATGGCTTTGCTGCTTTGCACTTGATCCCGGATTACTCACTTCCGATGAAGATGAGCAAAGCGAAGATTGTGAAGCGGAGGCAGAGGGCTTCTACCAGAAACCACAAGCATCGAAAAGAGCGTCGACAAACCTGCCCCTCATTAATCCCTCATTCAAGCTCATTTCGGAGAACCAGTCATCATCAAATGCCGTTGAAACAATCCAGAAGCCCCATCACAGGGTGGATGATGTTAGTATGATTCTTCTCCCTCACGACTGCTTTAATAACGCTTGTTTGATAGGTCTCAATGGAGCTTGAACGACTTTCCAGATATTTTCTGCTCCAAAAAGATAAGATAGCGAAAGTTTTATGCAGCCAAGGTGAAGAAAGCCAATGGGGCTCAAGGGAATTCAAAGTTGCCGTTGACTTGTGTTAAGCCAGGCAACTTTGCGTCCACACCATCAAATTCGTCTGCCGATTACTATCCATCGAGCCCTTTCCTACCCTCAACCACGACGTTAATTTCTTTACTGATTTCCTCTCGGGCATTTCAAATGCCGTGGCGCTTGCCAGTTGTTGCTTCCCCCCCTGCATTACTACCACCAAGGCAATATGCCTAGACAAGAGGCACTCCAGCCGAGATATACCACTCGAGAAATCACTTCCTTCGTTTTGAAGCGATTTCCAGAGCTATGCCGCAACGTAAGTTCAAAACACCCAATATACCATCACAATTCTTGTGTTTGACTGACTTTACATAGCGCATTAAAGAGTCGATCATTGAGTTCCGTTGGGAATTTCTTGATTATTCTTTGGATAAGACGGAGTATATTGAGTGGTATTGTGGGTGGTGGGCAATGTAGTTGCATCAGCGAGATGTATTACAAGTCATATTTGATGACAAAATGGCGAAGCCACACGCTTGCCGAGGACAGCGAGATTTACCACGGCATGCTAGCAGACAGCTCGATGGAATCCAGAGATCAGACCCAGCCAGAGCAACCCCGAAACCTTGTTCAACGGAGCTGGTTGGGCTGTCGGAGAAGGTATTTGATAGTCTTGTGCAGAATTGTAATTCAAAGTTAATTTCATTGAAGTGTTGCCATATCTTCTTACACTAATATAGTGCCACAAAATGTGTTCGCTGTCACATACGACCATAGACTGAAGAGAATTGGGCATCCCGTCCGCTCTGCCATACACAAGCTTCAGATCGGTGGATTAGTAGTTGGGTGGGTGACCACCAGCGAATCCCCACTGTTGTATGTTTCTTTTTGCATTTTTGGCATCTGAGGGAGGAGGACGAGAAGGGTATCTATCCTTTTTACGGTTCTTGATTGCTTTAGATGACTATTTCGAAACATACAAAGCCGGTGAACCAATAATTTGCCTCGGCATTGAGAGAGTCTTCCAGCGTTTGTGTTTTTATTTTATTTATGCTCGACATCGATATCCCGAGGTCCAAGATGGCGTCGAGAAGTTTCTAAAATTGGTCTTCGACGGACATTTGCTTCATCTCAAAGACCCGCTCTTTTGTGACCGGCAATCAAGATCTATTCATCCTGCAGCCCATATCTAATCGAGTATTCTTGCTTCTTGATACAAATCTTATCAGCGGTTTCCCATACCGTGGATCTCATCATCTATCTTTCTCCTTGCTAGAGTTACTGTAAATGGTTCTCAAAGGCAGACTAGGAATATATCGATCTCGAACATCTTTGCCTAGCCTCTGTTTCAGTTCAGTGTCCTGTGGATCCGGAAATTTAGTACAAGGGCAGGTTATGCTTGTTGATACCGAGACTGCGGCGATGAGTAGGAAGTATTGGAGTATTGAAGAAGCTTGCAGAAAATAGATGGTGTACTTGTTATGGCCTTACATGTTGTTAGACTTCCAGCATCGATTGTATTTGATGATTGTTGTTGTGACTGGGATCTCCATGCAAATAATGTGAACAGTTTGTGAATTTGTTTGTGAAGAGCTGGCTCCTCTCTGAATCAATGTCCGACATTGCCGGAATCCACTGTGGTGAATTGTGCTTTGTCATCTGTTCACGTCTTCAAGAATGTGTGAATACACAACTCTGCTGACAACAGTACACATATGAGTGATCAGGGCTGATATAGAAAACCAAGGTTACTCTCTAGGAAAGCTTTCACCATCGAATAGTGACATCGTAAAATTTGGCGGAGGAAGAGGAAGTGAACGTTTGCATCAAAAGCAAATAATGAAGTTCTAGTACAAGCATTTGTGCACTGGTCACTAGGCACCCCCTATTTTGAACCAAGACGACCTTAAAGTATCGACAGGAGCAAACGTTGAAGGGAAGAGAATTTGCAAAGACAGCCCGTGAGAAAAGAGCTAGCCCATCACTGAGACCTCACGTTCTGACAGTTGAATCTTTTAACTCGACTAAGATTTCCGAAGTTATTCCAATGCCAAACATTAACTTTGATGTCGCCGACAGGAATGATACTTCCGTATCTTCTTGCTTCCACATTTGGTGTTGTTGTCGAACAAACAAAAATTGCGGGGAAGTTCCCAGCCACCAAAACCAAAGCCACTCGTGCCACTTCACTTCACTGACTCCCGAGGTCCCCATCCACCACCACTTCATCTGACAACTCACTCACACCACTCCTCACACAACACAACACGACACAACACAACACTCTCACCACATAAAATCATTCGGCATCGCAAAAGGCGGAACTTGTTATTCTCCAACGTTGAGTATGCAAGGCAAGTAAGCTTGGCAAGCATTGGCACACACAGAAATCTATGGAACAAATCGTTGGAATACGAGGAGATCGGCATCTGTACGGTACTCATTATCTATTTATAGATTCACACGCATCTGACGTAGCCAACCGTATGGATACATCCTTCACTGCCTCCACTATCTCGTACTCGCCTTAACAATGAATGAGACTTGGTTTATGTAAATTTATTACTCCAAAGTGATAGAAATGCGGAGGAATAAGCATAAGATCGAGGCGTCCGGAAGATGCACACGATACCGCTTCGATGCCAAGATCTTCGTACCCGCACAGCCTTGCATACAGCGTGCATATACCGCTGTTCTTCTCGTATTGCTGAGAGGAGACTCTGCTGATGGGGTTATGAATAGTGTTGATAGACATCATCTGATTCAGGTGCAATGGAATGTTTCTCGTAATTGACGATGCAGACAATGCGGTCCTGGTAGGTACCCCGCTATCACGAGTTTCGATGGGTGAGAGGAGGCGACATATACGGAAAATTATCTGGTGAATTACTGAGGCGGAGATGAGGCTGGGGTGAGGGGCTTTTGAGGGGTAGAAGGTATATAAGACATGATGTGCGCCGTGGTGGAAGATCATCATCAACATCAACATCTACATCTACATACACTACTTCAAAGGTATCTACAAGAACTTCTACCTCACAAACAAACAAACAAACAAACTTCCTCGCCTCAACCACACAAATTCAAAATGCAATTCCCAACTCTCGCTACTCTCCTCACCTTTGCCGTTAGCGCAACAGCCATCACCGTCTCCTACGACGTCGGCTACGATGATGCCAGCCGTTCTCTCGCCGTAGTTTCCTGCTCCGATGGAACCAACGGACTCCTCACCAAGGGCTACACTACCCAAGGTTCCCTCAAAAACTTCCCAAACATTGGCGGTGCATCCACCATCGCCGGCTGGAACGATGCAAACTGTGGCAACTGCTATCAATTGAGCTATGGAGGAAGAAGCATCAATGTCCTTGCCATCGATCACGCTGCTACGGGTTTCAACATTGGACAAGAAGCACTTGACACTTTGACCAATGGACAGGCAGTTGCCCTCGGAAGAATCGATGCTACCTACACCCAAGTCGATAGAAGTGTTTGTGGATTGTAGATGGTTGAAGAAGTCCAGAATGCAAGCATGGGTATTGGAAATGGAAGATTCGAAGAAGGGATGGTGAAGACGGAGATGGATATTGCATTGGAGATGGGAGTAATGGTGTTACTGACGATTAACGAGTATGGTTACGAATATTTTAAAGCGAAGTAATAATGATAATGCAATTTTTGCTACCTAATCTTTTGCTCCATCCGTGCATTTTGAATGTGATGTACTTCTAAGAATATTATCCAATCTTTGGTGCAAACTATAGAAGCTCGGATTGTCTGGAAAAATACAGCTTTTATCTCATGTTGACCATAGTTTGATTATATCTTACCAATTGTTGATGTTTCACACGTGTGGAATGATGGGAATTCCCATAGATGCTCCAAGGTTCGCCATTGACAGATCAGTTTTAAAACATAGATGCGGGTATCGTCAAAATGTAAATATAAATGTATTTATTTATGGAATGGAGTCTGTACAAATTATTCTATAATCTAAATGTTATATCTAATGGTATGATTGATATCTATGTTCCCAAATTCCAATCCGAAACGCCGTACTATATCCATATTCACGTGCCAAATTTAGTATCCCTCCAGTAAATCAAATCATACATCATCAAATCTCAATTCAACTTATCTGCTCATCACTCATCCAATCCCTTCAAGGAACCCTTTTCACAACCGGAACCCTCCCACCCCAAACCTCTCCATGAAACCCCAAGAACGTCCTCAACTGATCCTCGAAATTGCCCATGTACTCCTTATGAGCATACCTACACCTAATTTCCTGCAATCCCTCCAATCTCAACAAACCCCCATAATTCAATTCCTCCCAACTCTCCGCTCCTCCCTGTCCCTCATACTCCTCCACCATTTCCTTACATCTCAGCCCTTCCTGAAACTTGAGATGTACATACATCGTATTATCCCAATCCAGACCCTCCAGCTCCACCGCAGTGACTCGCCCCAAAATCCTCCTATCCACCGAGTTCAGAAATGCCATCCACTCGACGAAGCGTTTGCGGCCTTTGAGATTCTCTCCGCATAAATCCCCTGCGAAAAAGGAAATGGTGTCTGCGAGGGGATTTATACAAATAGGCTGTCTCATGCATTTACTGAGGAGAATCCCGCAATTGCCACCGGATTTCCCACGGGATCCGGGAAATTCCGAACGGTAAAGGAGAGTGTAGTATAAGAGTGTCTCGGAACGTGATTCAGAACAGATAGAGAGGGTGATGGGGGGTGGGGAGGAGTGAGCTTGGAGGGGAGAGATGTTGTAGGAGAGGGAGACGGTTCGGGAGGAGGGGAACAGGGAACGCCAGATTTTGCGTTGAAGTTCCAAGGGGAGGAGAGAGAATTGATGAAATTTCCAGGTAGGTGACGTTGGCTTTTCTGATGTTTTTGAACGTCTTGATGGGAACCATGATTTTGGTGACATGATTGACTTCGTGATTGACATCGTGACTGGTTTTCTCCTTTTCTTGGTGAATATATTTCGAAATAGTTATATTCCTCCCAATATCCAGATTCTGTTCTAGTAAATCGAAATAGAATCAAAAGAATGTTCAAGTGAGTATGATGAAAACAACAAAATTCCAAACAAGAAAATACGCCCCTGAAAAATTTCCTCCGCAAAATTATCTGAAGTCTCGTATCTGAACTCGAGTCATGGAGGATTTTTCTGACGTCTTTGCGCAATGAATCGGATCGAGAAGCTAGAAAATTCTAGATTTTCCAGTGTTTCCAGCCTTATATGATGAAACCGAAGTTAAATTTTTCTCTCCGAGCATCGGAAAATTTACCGATATACTTTGACGATAAAGAAACATAAAAAGGATATATAATCCGGGAGGAGATCAGGTGATATGAATGATTAAAGCAAAGCGAAAGAGATACCTACGTATGAGAGAGATACATGTGGAATGATATCTTCACCGCCGTCGTGCGTCTTATACAAACAAGCATATACCTACTCACCGCGCATTCCCACTTGAGAATTAAAGTTTTGAAAGCGGATAATTATCTCGACGTGTGATTTTCAATCTTTCTTCTGTGCTGAAAGAGAATAGAAATCCACGGTGTTTCTTCTGGCGACAGCGAGGTGTTGATCCTACATTGTGTCAACGAATATTGAATTCAGATGTTTCATCCCATTTTTTTCGACCGACACTAGAGATGCATTGTGTGTATGCGAATCCGAGTCAATCACATGATATGATTGACTCGGACTGATTGACTTCCTTCTAAGAGATTTCAAAGATCTTGGCTCATCATCATCAAGTCAGATATGTAAACAAGGATGAAGATAACGGGAATTATGTGAGATTCATGTGACAGTCATGTGCCAGGCTCAACGGTGCAGGGTTATGGTATGCAGTCTCTTATCACCAAGATTCTTATCAGTCCAATGACCCATCCTCAACCCATTCAACATCACGGCACGGCAACAGACAGAAAAGGGAATATTTTCGACCTTTACATGTTTCAACGAGATGAAATGGATAAAATGGGAAGGGGAAGCATCCGAAATCTCGACTCCTCGTCAATATGTCACCTTACATATAACCATCGAACCAAACGGGAATACCTTTCTTAACACGACCCACCACGGCATAAAAATTGAATGAAGGAAACAAGGAAAACCCAGACCTAAGCTCTCCTCGTTCGCTGTAGCCGCCCGAACCCTTAGTCACGGCATAGTCTACTTTTACTTTTGTTTGAGTCCTTTCACTTCACATGTTCTGAACGACGGGAACGAACTTTCAATATAAAATCGTTCGAGAATGACGAGTTCAATAGATCATTCGTTGCCTTTGACTTCCAGCCAGAATTAAAAGAGTTTCAAATGTTTGGTTCCAGGTTAACGGTTTATCTAAATCTGGTTAGGATTGCGAATAAGATTGGATCTCCTAGGATGGTCAATCTACACGATCGATTCATCAAGCCCTATGAAAGTAGTTCTTCGTTACGTGATAGGTTAGGCCATCAAAGGATCATGGGTTTTAAGCTATCAAAGGCTTCAAAGCTCAAAGCTCACGATGGTACCTGGAGATCCACCATAATATATGACAGTTGCACGGAGTTGGTATCTTTCAAGGGCAGTTACTGGGTACATCGGACGGGAAGATAGTGATTACTATTCACGAACAGGTGCCCTCATTTAAATGTTCCGTCCCCTGTTCTTCATACATCGCTGGAACCATTGGTTCTATTTAGCTGTAGTCATGAGAAGATGGGTGTTCTCCCACGGCTCTGACCTTAATATGTCTTTTCGAACTTCTCTTGTGTTCTCTCATTGGTTGATTGCAACCTTTCATGGCTCAACATGCAGGACCCAATCATTCATCTGATCTCCAAGAAGAGACTAGTTCCGGAGAATCGCCTCGGTTTCGGAAGATGACAAGTGGGTCTGTCGTCGAGTTCATCTGAAGCTATTCCCATTTCATGGGTACATGTCAAAATCTAAGTGGATTTTCACAGACGACAGCTCTCCACAAACTATGTCCCTTGATCTTTGGTATGGTATATCCAATATACCTCAACAGCACGAGCCACAATACATACACACCACACCCAGTCATACTCAAATAACATTATCAAATCTTCCTTCGGACCCATTTTCAAAAGGTTCTAGAGGGAAAATAAGGCGATATTTGCTGGCAGCCACGAGTATCGTGCCCCAATGATTTTATACGATCCATTTTAAGAGTAGATCCTCGCCAAATCTATCGATTCGTGGAGGTACAAGGTTAAACAACTTTCCGATTGACCAGCAATGTCCATGTCTAATGGTGGCAATTTTCAACAAAAATGATTGAATGAAACGAGGCTTCATCGATCATATACCATTGATATTGTTGTAAGGATGGAAAACTGAAATTAGCATCTACATGAAATTTGCATTTCACTTCAACGAACCCCAGAACTTACACTCCGCCTGTTCATGACTTTCTTTAATTGTACTCTTTGACTTTTAAATATACATAACTTTCGGTCTTTACACGTTACCCCATTCTGCTTGGGTTAGCTCAAGGCTTGGTTGGCAGTGACATGTATTGGTGTTACGAAGTCAACGACTTGCAAGAACCTGGCCATTGGATTTGAGACTGCCCGGATGATATGAGCTGTACAAATCTCGTCGTGGAGGCATGGACATCTTGGGCCATAGCCGTCGTATTTATTGCAGTGAGAATTTCTGCACGAGTCTCGAACCTGGGTTGGAGACAATTAAAATTGGATGATGGTTTAATGTTTGCCGTTTTGGTTTGTAGCACTTTGATGCAACTTGTTTGGGATATGATTCTGATGTGCAATGATAGTTCGTATATACAGCTGAAGCAACCTCATCATACTACCTCGTGGCTCGCTGGTTAGGTTATTCGAATGGTGGAATGACTGAATCGGAGCGTCAGACTCTCGATCCAAATTCTCTAGAATGGTTGTATCGAGTTAACGGGGCTAAAACGCATATTTGGAATTGGGTAACCTACATTTCGTTGATGTGGTTACTGAAAGCTTGTTGGATTACCTACTATGCTCGTTTAATGTAAGGGTACATCTTGGTCTCGGGATTGTATAATGACTAACATTGAATTATAGCTCAGCTGCTGAAAAAAGGTCATTGAAACGTATCACTGTAGGATATGTGGTGTTGGGTGTTACATATCTATCAGCTATTCTGGTAGTATTTTGTAAATGTATGCCATTGAAGAAGCAATGGCAAATTTATCCAGATCCAGGAAGTGAGTAACTGGCAGAAAGCCTGTTTGGAGACCTTTCTAATGACAAACCACAGATTCCTGTTATTCTGGCAATTCTGTATTTCAAATGGCTTTCATCATGTCTGTTAACACAGCAACACATATGTATATTATGGCCATACCTCTTCCTGTACGACCAAACAGTCTAGCCTCACGTTCTCTTAAACTATAACTGACACATTATAGACTATTCTTGGCACGAAGGGAATGTTACCATATCAAAAGCTCTTTCTTCTCGTCCTTTACAGTGGAGGATTTCTCGTCACCGTCTTCGGAATCCTACGTTGTGTTTCCATCTTGACCGTAAGTTCTGGTTCCGACGTAACTTTCCCATTCTCATTCCACCAACCTTCTTCCCTCTCCCACATCCATCCCAAGACTAACCCATCTCAAGACTTTAGGCACAGCCACATCAAGCGGACAATGGTCCCTTCGCGAATCATTTCTCGCAGTCCTAGTAACCAATCTTCCAATAGTCGCTCCGATTATCAAACGCTTTTCTCAACAAGTCCGTGATCAATCCACGAAAATCTCATCGCATACTGGAAGTTCGCCTTTTCGAGAAGAGGAAGTCGAACTGGGCGAATTGAAATTGAACCACGAAAGATCCCGATCAAGAGGGAGAAAACAATCTTTAATCCCTAGGATTAAAGAGATGGGACCCGGGGAATGGGATGATGATGAGGTTGTTATGGTTCCGAAAGCTGCGCTGCGGAGATCTTACATGGGTTGTAAAAGTCCAGCGCCGGGTGAGGATGAGAGAGGAAACTATTTTCAGTCTCGTTCGCACACGTCTACACCTAACGGCAATGCGAGCTCGAAAGAAGAATTACAAATATCGGAATTACAACAGCGATTAGACTTAGTACCGAAGAAGGAAAAGAGTAATATGAGAACGACGATTCAGGCAGGCTATGGAAATCATAATCGCTGGAATTGGAGTAAAGATGAGAGGAAAGATGGAGAAGGGGAGGAGGTGGAAGAGGGTCAGATTAGAGTGGTGCAGGAATTTAGATTTACGAATAGTGCTAGTAGTGTTTATGGGGGACCTGTTGCTGGACGATAGGTTGATAGAGGATACGAGAGGAGAAAATGAGGAAAGACGAAATTATATGATACCCAATGTTAGCATTTTTCAATTTCACCTCGCATCACATCCACCACATTGCATTGCATCTCATCTTCGTATGTTCAAACACATCTCTCTCACCCTAACCTAGTAGTTTTGGTAGATTGGCTTGCCGGCGACCCGAATTCTTGCATTGAAAATGGGTTGCTCTCGACAAGTAACGAAGATAAAGTATAGTACAAGCGAGGAGAAACTTTCTCTACTCCACCCCGAAACTGTTAAACTTAACTTATCTGGGTAAGAGGGGTCTTCTTCATATTTTTTACTATACTGCATTTCTGTCGATTGATTGTTTGAGCCAAAGATAAAAGCTTTATTCCACATTTTGGTGGGGTTTCGCCTGGACGAATTTTGTACGGAGGACCTCGGATAAATAGTTTCTTTCAAGTGAATGAATATAAGGCAGATGTGTTTAAAAGGGGGGTTTGTTTACCGTTTGTTCCATGGAAAGATGTACGTTGATCTTGTGAGGGTCGAAAGATTTCTATATGGGAAACTTCTTGAAGATCTCGAATATTCATGATGTTTTCGAGAATAACACCTGTCAAATCCGTCGAAGACGCTCCCACTAGGTGGTTCCAGACACTATATCTGGAATATAATGTTTCTACCGATGGTGGTGGAAAGCTGAATAAGTCAACTCCATTTATCGTTTATGCAAAGATCCTGATAACGTGTAGTCGAAGGATACGAGCACGCACTTCTCCCAGACTCTTGACTTATTTCTTTTCCAATCCCCATTCATTCACCTTTATTCAGAGAAACCTTGCTTTTTTTTCGTTTTCGAGAATGGCCACATGGCTCAAGCTCTTTCAAATTCTTGAGCCTTTGATGGTCCTCGGGCATATTAGCACGAGGTACATCAGATCGTCTCATATCAAATCCTACACACACATCGTATCACCAAGGATACTTCCTTTTTGGCGCCGTCCTAGGAAAGACTACGTTAAAGTCCCATAAACTGCAACAAGAGTCATGTGTCGCAACCAAACACCACGTTACTGGTGCTGCCATATTCCCGGCCGAATTGACGGAATTGACCCAAACGATCGAATTGTCCCTGATACCCCAACACCAGCTCCAGATTGCAATGGAAAGGGATCATCTTGTCCCTCATACCGCGAATGCAAGCGCAAGTATTTCCAGCAAAAACAGTTGTGTCCAGATTGCACCAGCAAAATAAACCAATCTCCTCGAGTAAAAAAAGAAATCAAGGCCTGGAGCAAGGAAATTTTCTATTATAAAGTTACTAGTGAAGTTTTTGACTTCCTGAATGATGAAAGGAGGGATAATGGTGAACAAATATTGACGGGTAGTGAAAAGCTTCAGATACGGGATAGTGTAGAGAGACATTTTGATGTTGCGATTCAGGAGCCATATTATGCGGACTTGTTTGCTTTCCAGTTTGAATACTTTAGAAACGATGAACTTCTTCGGGATGTCAAGCGGAGAGTTTTATCGGAGGAAGAGAACTAATCTACTAGGAAGGACGGTTAGTTGATATATATCTTGCCCCCGAATTAGCTCTGGGAAGCTACATAAGGCAGTTATGCTGAAGTTGAGGTTCATTTTCTGTCTGTCTTCTGAACTTATCTCTCGCGTTAAATCGTCTTTATAGATAGCGTTGAACCTATTCAATAGCATTTTTTCATGCTTTTAATTTGATTTCATATTACAATGCAATTGATTCTATATTTCCTATAATCATCAGAACAATCTAGCGAGTTTCACTCGGGCGGACCTGTTTCTGAATATATCTGTGGATGAATGATATTGAATGCACCTGATGCCATGCTTTGAGCAGTAGAATAAGCGAAAATTATTTGGCTTCATACTTCAGTAAGTCAAATCAGAGCATACAAAGATTTTAAGGTGTATCGGATTTACTTCACATCCGTCTATACATATATTTTCCTCCCCCCCTTAAAGATAAAACCTCAATCCGTCAGCAATGAGCTACAAGCGGCTACATATCGTTCCCGCAAATCATCCGACTTGGGTGGCTTTGTGGCTATCTGTGCCGCATTCTAGGCAGACAAACAATTTTCCAAATTTTGACTTTCTGGTTTCGAACTCTTCCTCATGTTATAATCGTGGTTATCTCTGGAGAATTATGCTCGCAGTAGTGCGTTCGATTTTGAATTGATTCGAAAGTGTCAAATCTTCAATTCTACAATTTGTTATCGTTTTTTTTTGTAGTCAGGCTGTCAGCCCGAGTTGCATAGCCGACCTACCTCGAGGCCCGCGGCCAGTTTCTCAATATTTACAATGAACGCAATTCATTCGAGGATCCATCCATGTATTGTATATTTGGTTATGCATAGCGCACAAGTGTCGAGGCGTTTATTTGATAACCCATGATAATGCGCCTAAGCTGGCATGCTAGGAAATCTCAAGGTCGTAATCAGCCGTGTTTATCGAGCTGTGCAACGGAATTTGAGTGTGGCTTAGTGGGTGCCTATTGCCATCAATTATCTTTATAAGTTTTCATCCTATTCATATATCAAGATACAGAATCAAAATCAAATTCTGCAAAATAACCATCTTCTTATCAATTTTACATCAAGTTAAATTCAATTAAAAACCATCCTCAACATCAGAATGCCAGCACGATCAGAATTCAGCTTCGCTGCTTCTCTATCCACCTCTCTCCCTGGGGATAACAACAACGATGGAACAGCCATATCACCCCCCAAAGATCTCGGTACAGATGGATCCGTACCAAGCACTGGAGATCAACCTTCCACTCCAAGATTCAATTCGAAAAACCCTTTCATCTCAACACCTGACCATACTCCCCCTTCCCCTCCATTATCCCTGAACGAACCAACCACTTCCTCTACAGATCCCACTTCAGAACGAATGCTTTCTTCTTTCGGCAAACTCTCTTTATCTGACTCATTCATCCCTACCTCTCCCTCAATTACTTACCTATCAAAGCTCGACACATCGCCAGACACTCCCATTATTCCTTTCGGGCATACCCTTCAAAACAAGGAAAACAATACCGATACCCTCCTCTACCGCTTACAAAATGCAACATCTAAGACTAACCATTCTCGCTCCTACGGATTTCGTTGCTCTGGCTGGATGGATAGTCTCTACACTTCCGGCGTAACAGACGAACGACAAGCCGACGGCCGAGCATTCCAATCCCACTGTAATTTTACCTTCCAGCCAAGTCCCTACATTTCCGTGTCCACGTCCGTTGCACGAATTATGAGATTACCCCAGTTCAAGAAAGAGGATGAAGCGAAAAGTCGTGTATTCGTGATCTCGCTGAATCGACTTAGACAATTGGGTATCAAAGCACAAAGTACGGATAAATATCTTGAGAAGTTTGTGAATTCCGCAGGGAACCAGATATATAGCAAACAGTGGCACGGGGACGATGAATATAAGTGTGGAGTGAGATATGTGACGGATACTCATTGGTTGGTGGAGAAATGGATACCGGATCAGGCGATTGTCAGTGAGATGGATTTTGGAGAGTTTTTGAAGATAGCGGAGAGAGAGGGAATCACTAGGGAGGTTGCCAAGATCAACTCATTCATAACAGAATTAGATGCACAGAAAATCGACTTGGAAAAGTGGCCTAAGAGAGATGGGAGTGAGCAAGAAAAAGTTATCATGAAGCCGGAATCTTCGAGCAGAATATTTTCAGCCTTGCTATAGAGAAAACAGAGGCTCAGGTGAAGATGTTTGCAGAGAACATACAGATCAAAAATTGTCGACATTAGAATCTAGTTAGAACGAGGAACGAGGAACCGGAAGAAGTATCGGTACAAATAGGACGATCCTGCCACATTCAGATGAATCTAGCCGCGTCGCCATCTCGACTGAAAGACGCGACGAAGAAGTTGGAGCTGAATGCACATATATAGATATAGGTCGTTGGAGTCTCGGCTAATTTGATTTGATTATGCATACCTTTTTGAAGCTATTTTTTACCAGCTCTGTGTTAGTTTCTTTTTCGAGTTTGGTTGTCAATATTCTGGGTATATTCGGGTTTGTTCCGGTAGTGAACTTACCAACTATATATATATAGAATCAGATTTTCTTCCAATCTTAATCCTACATTAACCTTCTCATCACGTGCCCCCCTTATTCCTACCCTAGATAATCCCCCTCTCTGCTCAAAGTGCCCACAAGAACATCAAGCAGCCATACCAGCCTCATTTACTTCCAACACGTACCCCCACGAAAGAAAAGCAAACCCTCACATCATCGCTATTATCCTTAGTCTTAGTCTTAGCTTCAGCATATCATACTCAGTATCCCTACAAGGTGTTCATCTTACAGGTCCCTCTATATCTTAACAAAATAAAACATGCTGTCGCTATCATTCGATTTTTATAGCCAGTGTGGCAACTGCTAATTATTACTTTCTCTCTCCCATGATTTTTACATTGATGGATAAAGTCGACTCCATTACCAAAGTCTGTAGCATGAACAACCAAAACGCTTAAAAAACTCCCAATGAAATGGTGCAATTGACGAGCGTGAACAGAGGATGAGAAGAGGAGTTGATCACTTGACCGAAAAGATAAGGAGGAATTAAAAGATTAGATCAACCATAATGAGCTACAACTTTACGCTGAAAATCATCCATTTAATTGTTTATCCTGTCTATCTTGTGTATCGTGTGCATCTCAGCAATGTATACTCATCATCTAACCACCAGCGCCAAAATTCCTTAAACACCCTTACAAACCTCAGAATGCCCTGCATTCATCCGTCCATTTACCCACCCAATCTATTCATTTATCCCTCTACTCCTTATAGATATCATCATCGAACTTTCCAAATCTATCTCTTCCCTCCGCTTCAGCATTAACCCATACGCTGACACTTGTTCCCGGACACTTGAAAACTCCCCACCCATCCTCTCCAATCTCTACCTCTCCTTGTTCCCAACCCAAAACATCCGTCCATCTCTCTCCCGCATGCATTTCTCCTACAAACATTCTCTTCTCTCCTGGTCCCGCATTACTCAATACTACTGCGCAACCGAATGGTCGATCCCAAGTTCCATATCTTACCCAGCCGATACAGGTTGCGTAATCGAAGTAATCTTTCTGTTCTCCATATGCGTAGAGTTTTCTGGCTAAAGCAAGATTTGGGAGTGCACCACCGCACGATGGAGGGAAGGGATGTTCGCCTTTGATGCCGTAAAGATCCCCGTAGAAGATACAGGGGTAGCCATCAAAGCGGAGAAGGATGAGGGAATAGGCGAGAGGTTTGAAGAAAGGTTCTATAGGAGCTTCGAGGGCCTGGTAAGGTTGGGTATCGTGGTTCATGACTAGTGTCTAGAGAGTTGTTAGTTTTATATGTTTGAGAGAAAGAAATTGGAAAGCGATAGAGAGCTCTGAAGAAAAGAAGAGAAAAGCTTACAACAGCATTAACTGGTGCAGTCTGAACCAGGGTATCATCGAAAACACCTCTCAAGTCTCCTCCCTCTGTCTTGCTCAATTTGCTGAAGTTATAAACCAAGGGTGCATCAAAAAGACTAAACTTTCTGCCCATGCGATCCAAATATTTGTTCATATCATCCAAACTATCCTTCCAAAATTCTCCCACGAAGAACCATCCTTGGCCATATTTATCATTCATAAGAGTAATGAATTTTCTCAGAAAATCCTCACTGAAATGTTTGACAGCATCAAATCTCACTCCCTTTAGTGTGATTTGATCTCCAAGCCATCCTCCCCAGTTCAATACATCTTTTTCTACTTCCGGATGATCATAGTCAAGATCTGCGAACATGAGGTAATCGTAATTGCCCTTTTCAGAATCGACATCGCCGTCAGCTGCCCAATCTTTTGTTTTATCTCCGAGAATCTTGTAGATTGCATTTTTTTGGTTTGCGTCGTTGTAATCTGTGCCAGAGAAGTGATACCAGTGGTATTTTTGTTTCGAATATTTATCGCCACGGCCGGGAAAGTCAAAACCGAGCCAGCCTTCGATTTCATACGGGTCTGAGACATTCTTTGTGCGGTCTTCCTCATCGACTTCCTGGGCAAGACACTTTTCTTTATGGTCTGCTGCTGCTTTGTGATTGAGGACTTGAGGAAGAAGGGAATGTTAGCTATTCTTCTTCTTAGAAGTATATTGTTACGAGGAGGGTATTACCAGCATCCCAATAAATTCCTACTCCAACTTCATTGGCTTTCTTCACCATTTTTACCAACTCTTCCTTGTTACCCCATTTGGTGCCCTTTCCTCCCTTTTGTTCGAATTCTCCCAAATCATATAAATCGTAAACATCATAACCATTTCCAGATTGAGAAGACGCTTTGCATCCGGGTGGGATCCACATATTATCGATACCGGTAGCTTTGAGAGAAGGGATTGCATCGTGGAGTCTTTGCCAATGCTTATGATCGTCTGGAACATACCATTCAAAGGCTTGGAGCATGGTCATATTCTCCGGAGTAGGTTTTCCTATTGATGTTAGGTATGCTTCTTTAAAATCGGGATATTGAAGTGGTTGCTTACTTTCTTCATTAATGTCCCCCATATTGACGGATTTTGAAAAGACTAATCTTGGGTTTGATGGATAACCAAAATTATGTAGTAGTTGTAGAAGAAGAATATAGGTGTATAGGCATTAAAAAAAGTCAAGGAAAACATAGGGGAACCTACGAGAATAAATAATGAATCTCAAAGATGGAATTGTCGTAAGATTACAACAAATTCGATTTTTGAAACTCGGATGCCCCTCCATTATTCCAAGTAAATAATTCACCCCGCCTGATTTTCAAGTGTTGGGCTGGGGCTAGAATAGAGCTTAGAGACAAATAAGCTTGGAAGTGATAGTCTAACTTCCAATTTCCACCTTCTGGACTCTAAGACCTTGATTTTGGGAGGGAAATGCATGAAGGAAAGATAAGACTAGTTGACCCCTGGAACTAACAAAGGTATCATGACGTGGTTGGCAAGGAACTATTCTTTTGCATGGATTCAAGAATTCCAAACCATGAAGCCTTTCAAATAAAGTTACAATGTGATATCGTGATATTTATAGCGACGACAAGCCTCATATGATATGGTACCTAGAGACCTTTTGTTACACGACTGATTAGCCGGAGTTTTGTACGACGAGAGCAAGTTAAAGTGTCATATCTCGTTACTGGCCCGTTTCCATCGGCTCGGATCTTGGCTGGATATTATTTACTCGAGTATGCAGTACGACATTTGAAGTAGCGGTAACGACAACGGTAACTGTAACGGCCTCGGTATTACCGAGTACTTGTGTTACGATATCAAAAGATAAAGAAAAAGAGATGAAGGCATCGCAAGTTTAATCGACGGTCCAAACAAGACACCCTCACATCCAAGGCTTCATTCAGGAACAGAGTAGAGATCAGCTCTTGGTCCCTGATATCCCCCCACATAGTCGGTCAGATAGAAAATCCCCCAGACCAAGATAAGTGAAGCGTGAGTACTAATAAAAAGTGGTAAGAAGAGGACGAAGCAATACGAGCACACTTTCGGGGTTGTACCGCTAGTTAAATCTTCGACAAGCTGGCATCTTATATATCATCGGTTACGCCAATTATTCGGAAGATGATGAAGGGGGTATGAATTAGCTTCTCATTTTCCTTCCTCTCTTCTTCTGCTTCACCCAAGAAGCAACGAGGGATAAATTTAGAGTCAAAGTACTCCAAGAATACCATGAGGAACAATGTTTATAATTCACCCACTTCGGTGCAGGCCGACTTTCTAGCAATGTTCAATTGGTGGTCCTTTGCCCTCTTTTCTTGAGTTGTTCGGGAAACCGTCAAAACGTCAAAAAACACGCCAAAATGAAGCATCGTAAACTACCTACATTGACATTGACATTGACATTGACCTTTTGACACTCACCGACATTCTCAAAAGTTTGGTAGCTGATTCTCAATCCAGTCCGGAAACAATCCACCCCTGCCACCATTACCATTTTATATTGGATTGATTTGTTCGTCGTTGAATTTCCCCTCAATTCATTCCACCTTTTGGTTTGACATTTCTACGAAGGGGAAAAGCTAAAAGATCGGTCCCCTGGTCCCCTACAAATATTTATACGGTTACCACGACAACCGAACAATCTCAACATTTACTCACTCTTCCATTTCATCAGATACCTCCCAATGATTTCAAATGATTCAATTTTGACAAATATGCTTTCTCTTTTACCTGTATGTCAACTAACTAATGAGATTCTTGTAAATTCACTCCGTACACTTGTTGTCAAACCCTCCAACTTCATCCTCGTACCAATCATCAAAATTAATCGACGGGTTGCTGCATGAACTGTTTCACAGATCCGTCAATATTTACTTCCCGAGCATCGTTACAAACGGGTATACTTAGCGAGATTATAGTGAAAAGTCGAGGTAAAATGCCGCAATCAAGTTCTCATCGACAATCGGAGTTTGAAATTCATGAAGATTCCAATTCTTTGAATGATATGGTTGAAGATAAAGATATCGAGGCGTTCGACGGGGAGAATGCGACAAGTGAGGGGAAAGACATTGGTGATGTAGTGTCTCAGTTGGAGGATACACAAAGAAATACAGAAGAGAGTCTGGAGATGGAAGAATCTGAGATTGGAGGAGATTCAATTTTGGATCAAGAGTTACCAGAGTTACAAGAGGACGATTCGATACTCGCAGGCACAGAAACGAAACACAACGAACATGATGACTGCGAAGACTGCAAACACGCAAGAGAGGAGAAGCGCAAGCGAGCAGAGGCAAGAGAACTACAGATGCGGCGAATCGATGCGGAAATTAAGGATGCAGCGCGAAAGGTTGTGGAGAGCATTGAAAAGAAGGATCCCACGGGGAGTGCGGACACGAACGACTACAACGATTTAATACTTAGCACACAAACGGCGGATAGTTATGAACCAGAAGATCATGATGATTCTCTTTCGAGCGCAGGAACCGACGAGAGCTACGAAAGAAATCTATACAACGGGCAAGATGGAACGGATTTGACATATGATATCACAAACGCTACGTTGGAAGACGAAGAACCAACGGAGGACGAGGACAGTATTCTTCACCACGATCTTTCAAGTACCGATGCCGAAACAGAACGTGGGGACTATGATATGGAAAGGAGAGATAGTAGTTCACGTTATGGAGATGTCGAAGACGATGTTTTCACTGATGGTTCCGACAAGAGCCCCCGGTTGTCGATAGGTTCCGCTGAGGAAGAACCTAGCAAAGTGAACATTAGTAATCGAAACTCATGGCAATCAAATCGATATCTTGATTTGAGTGAAGAAGCGCACCAATTGGTTGAGCTCAATTCGCCGGTTGTTGGTGAAGAAGCTGCTACAGAATCTGTCATCTCAAGAATACCTAGCGGTACTTCTCATTCTCGTACGTCTGCACCGAGAGCAAGGGAGTCATCATGCAGTCCGAGAAAAGTACAGCGTCATCCATTCCGCACACCGTCAGATATAAGGGCGATGCAAATGTATTCACCAGCTCCTTCACTCTTTTCCACCCCTTATTCAGTAAAACGACAACAGAATCCTACCGTTTCTCGTCTTGGTACTCCAACTGGTTCTCAATACTCTAAAAGTCGTACGCCAACTCGATTCAAAAAGACTAGAGAAGAATCCTCTCTTGTACTTCTTCATGTTACCGTTCTTCCATTGCAATGGCAATACGCCAAAGCTATCCTTGCTCCAGAACTTCCTGCGAATCTTTACAGTATACGTGAGGCATATTATCTTTTACAAGAAAAGCTTAGCGAAACCATTCTTACTCGTGGAATATTACTTCCTCATCCACAGGATAGTTATGAATGTCTTCAAGAGCGTTTTCTTGATGCTTTAGAACTTCCAGTACGCCCCCGAGCTAAGATCCTCCGGTGTGGACATTACATGGGCCCTAACACCACATCCTCCGACGATGACTCGGACGAAAGAGATAGTGGGTTTGGTAGTACTGGAAGATTTAGACCCAGACCAGACAAAGTCTGGTGCGACATTTGCCGTCGAGACGTCAGATACGAAGATGACGACCAAAACGAAGACGATAAAAGATTCAATGTCAAGATCTTCGCAAGCAACGGCTTAATGAGAGCTGGGGCCTGGGCAGCTGCATGGCGAGAAATGGAAAGAGTAGATATCGAAATTGAACCATTTGTTCAACCATGGATGGTTGAAGATATGGAAGATTTAATCGAGAGACTACGAGAAGCGGAAGAAAGAGATGAGGATAGCTATGGACATTATTCGGATGATTCGAGTAGGGAAAGTTTAGGGTCGGAAGCTCAGAGGTTACATGAGCAGGGGATGGACAAGGTTACATTGAGACAGAAGAGAGGGGGCTCGGAAGAGAGAATTCAAAGAAACGAATGGTTGGCTGCTGCTTCTAAAGCTGCGGTAGAAGAGGCGGAGAAGTGCGCGAGGGAGGCTGAAGTCTTAAGGTTGAGAGAAAAAGAGTTGGCGAAAGCTAAAGAGGAAGAAGCTAGATGGGTTGAAGAAGAAGCAGAAATCTTGCAACTCCAAAAAGAATCCGAAGCATCCAAAAAAGCAGAGAAGGAAGCTGGAAAACTCCACGTTGAAGCGGAAAGCTTAAGACTCCAGGAAGAAGAAGCCGAAGTTATACGGCTTGTGGAAGAAGCGAAAGACCGAGAGTCAGCTGACCTTGATCCCGGGTCACCGCAACATAATGACGAAGGCCAAGTCGTCAAAGAGCTGGAAGCAGAAGCCCAAAGAATCCATGAAGAGGAAATGGCATTAGAAGAAGAAGAAGCACAACGTATTTTCGAGGCAGAGCTTGCAGAACAGAGGGTTCTTGAGGAACAAGCTAGGGAGATTATGGAGGAAGAAGAGGTTTCGAGGAGAGCCAAGGAGGAAGAAAGATTACGAGAGAAAATCTCGAAACAGGAAAAGGAAGCAGAAGAAACGAGATTACGGGATATTTATGAGAAAGCTTCAACCCGAAGTGAAACAACACAGTTTTCTTCTACCTATACTCCTACTTCGAAGCTGAAGACTCCCACGAGGACAGTAGAGGGAGATGAAACACTCACGGAACTCCTAGTCAGAGCAGTAGGTGTAGCGATGCGCGATAGGAAAAATATACTCATCTTAGTTCTCAGCGTGGTAGTGCTAATACTCGCGCTGAAACCAACTTCAACTCAAGAAGTTGAAGGAAGGAAATCTGTACCGGATATTATCATCCAGAACCATAGGTATGAAGTTGGTCAGAGTGTCGATCAGAGAGGTTATGCTGCTTCTGAGAGTGCTTTGCCTATGAGGGAGATTGAAGGTTCGATTGAGTGGAACGGACAGGGAAGAGATGTGGTTAGTACGAGCTCAGCGCCGGCTGTTATACAAGGCGAGGCTATGGGGGTAACAAATAAGGGGGGAAGATTGGAGATTGATGCTCCTGTCCCCAAGGAGGTCAAGAAGCCTCTTCAAATCAGTGCTTCTGAAACAGAGAATCTCCAGACGGCAAAAGAGAAAAATCCAGTCTTGGAAATTGGAATGAAGGTTGAGGATACTGTGTTGAAAGATACCCCAACCTTCGATCCTTCTTCATATGCAAGTTTTGAACCTGCAAATTTACCAGCAACCGATACAGAACCACAAGTACAGAAATCAAATATCGACAGTAATACCGAATCCTAAATCGGCAAATATAATAACAGAAAGAAGAAGGAAAGATAAGCGAGTAATGATGTGGTTCATTTGATACAGACAGAATATGTTCTGATACCTGGTTACCAGTCCTGTAAGCGTGTGCATTGTTGGAGTATTTATGTAGCGAATGAATGAATGATTGAGCGATCATGTGGGTTGCTTAGTTGGTTGGATTGTTTATGTGATGATATGGTTATAGTTATGTTTGTTTGTTCGGAAATTTGGATAGATTTCAGGATTCTTACGCTCTTTTTTTTTGGTCTTGGCTTGGCTTGGCTTGGATGAATGTTTGGATGATGTTAATGATTGGATTTGGAAAGGTATTTTCCGGTATTGTTTGGAACTTGGGGAATGATGAAGCTGGAAACCTTATCATGGAAGATGATGAGGGAAAGGTGAGGGTAGTGTGGTTGTATATATTGTTGTGGTATTTGTCTGGATGGATGAATAAATGAATGGATGTAGGTAGTTGATAGGATAGGACAGGATTGATAGGAGAGGTTGAATTGGTAGTTAGCCTAGGACTAAAATCAAATGGCATGAAAATAAATGAAACCCAGACATCTTTTGTTGGGGATTGTAATAATGAGGATAGGTCTTTATGGAGAGATTGTGATATAGTCAGTATTTGGCACAATACTCTTTAATCTCACCTTACCTCATCTCACTCATTAAGATAACATTCTCTACTAAATATCTAAATGGAAACCTCTTTCCAATTCTCTCATCTCACCTTCCTAGATAATATTCCCTGCTAGCTAGCTCGCTGGTTTAGGATTGTGATTAGAGAGGCTGGGGTAGAGGGAGGAGAAGGGGAAAGTGTATATTTAGCGAATGACAATTCGTATTATTGGTTGGATGGGATGGGATGAGATGGGTTCTTATTCTATTATTTATGTACTGCAATATTACTGAATCTATCTACGTGATGCTAGGTATAGCAGACCGGGTGGAAGTTAGTGCATTGTGTTTTATTTGTCTGGGTGCAGAAGCAGAACTAAGGTGTTGAATATGGTCGCTTAGTCCCTGGAGGATGCTTTTCTTTCATGACGTTCTCAGATGTCAGGATCGCCCAACTAGTTATCTTTCCATCATCGCGCAAGATCAATCAATGTATGTCTTTCGGATTCACTTGAATGGTGGGGACTCTATGGTCTGATAGCTCGGATGGGTACTGAAGTCTTTTTTAATATGCGTATTATTATGGCAATTGCTTGCGTCGCAAGGGTTAAGTCTCTTCTAATTCACTTGGATGGGCTGTTTGTGTCATATTAAATAATCGCTCAGTCAACGTGTTCTTGATAGTCTGCCGAGAATGATGCATATTTTCTCATTTTGCTTAGACAAGTTAAATCACCAGCTCCATAGTTTCCATCAGAAACATGTGATCGAGGAGCAACATCTAACATTTCTCAATGATGCCAGGGTAATTTCCAATTCACTCAAATGGCCTCGCTTAATTCCCTAAAAATCGCCAATTCACTTTGCGACAATCGTTCATGCGTCTGTTGGCACGGGAAATGATGCCTCAATCCTTCAAACATATCACGCCGTTTAACAGTTATCAGGCATTTTTGGTAATCATATGTTTACTACTATTATGACCAATAAAATAAACTCGCTACATCCATAATTAGATTTACACTTTTGATATTTCTAATTTAAGTGGTCAGTTTAGACACTTCACACTTCAAGCCTAAAGCTTATGCACAATTCTCTCTGAAGCTTCAACCATGATACGTCAAAGATACGTGAATAGAAAGGGGGCTTCTGTTATATCACGTGGATAACATTAGTCCTGTATACCTAGATCCACGGGGAAGAGTTATACTTTTGTTGATATGATACTGCATCAAGAACATACCACGCTACCAACTTCTCCATACTGGTTTGGTCGAGAAGGTAACGGTCGAGAATTGAGGAGATGTTCTGATTTTAATGGCAGTTGTTACTCAAAATGCACCCATTCAACTCGCAGAAGTGCGAACGGGGCTTCAGTCGAATTCGTCTTGATACTCTTTGGCATGCAATGATTAATAAATAGTGAGCTTCCGGGTATGTTTGAACAACCATTTCAAGGGGGGCTCGCATGAAGAGTGGGCTATTGAATGATATAGTGCGGGGAATTTGAATTGATAGACTGAACTCACTTACAACTTTCCAAACTCATCCTTTGCTTTTCACTCAAATCACCTACAACTATCCTCATGGGAGAAATGTACCACTTTAACTAATCCTCTTCAACTTATAGCGTTGAATCAATAGAAGCCAATAGTTTGAATTTGGAGAAAGGAATTAAAAGGTATCAAAGGGTAGGAAAGTGGAGACCTTTTCGTCGTCCCAGCTTTATCTTATGTTGTACCTGAGATGATAATCCGATTGCCGCAGGTATTGTAGAAGGAATGACGAGATTATGCAAACACAGCTGGGAAAACATGCGCAAAACATTCAGATCTATTTTGAAATTTAGCTTTACTGTCCTCACCACTTCATCGAGGTGTTCAGCAGCGGAACAAAAACGCTGCGTTCATTGCAGCCTGGCCTAAGGGGTAAAAATCACGTCCGATCAAAGATATCGAGCCGATAGCATTTGATATCTAGCCAATATGCATCATACTGTCAAGGGTACAACACACAACATATCTTATTGTCATTAAACTAAATACTTTTTTGAGCAGCCACTAAGCATACAAACATGAAGCGTACTAATTCGTTATCCCCTTACTCAACGATACCCGATTTAGCAATAGCAACACGAGCTCTTGGGGTACCAGAACGAGTACCAAGTGCTTCGATTTTCTTCACAAGATCCATACCCTCAATTACCTCGCCAAACACCACGTGTTTACCATTCAACCAAGGTGTTGCTATTGTGGTAATGAAAAATTGGGAGCCGTTCCTATTGATGGTTAGCCTTTCATCACTGACTACCTCATGGATACCAATAACGGGTATCAGAAACAAAACCTACGTATTTCTGCCTGCATTAGCCATACTTAATTGACCAGGCTTTGTGTGCTTGAGCTCAAAATTTTCGTCCGCAAACGTTCTACCATAAATGGATTTTCCACCAGTTCCCTGAGGGTACATTAGCAGTTTCTCGTCAGAGATGAATCAAGCAAGTAATATAACCTACGTTTCCTCGAGTAAAATCTCCACCTTGTAACATAAATTGTGGAATAATACGATGGAAAGAACTTCCGGCATATCCAAATCCATGTTGGCCGGTACATAATTCACGGAAATTGCGTGCAGTTCGGGGAGTAATCTTATCATAAAGCTTGAAGGTGATGCGACCCGCGGGAGCTTGGAGTTATATCAGCAAAGGATGAACCCATCAACGAGCGTAAGACCCCACCAGAATCAACAGTTATGTCAAAGAAACAGTTCTTGCTCGAGTCTTCCCCATCCCCGGGCTTGACCAAAGGAGCTACGGGATTGGAAGTCGAGGATTGAATGAATGGGAACGAAGAAGTGATTGAGAAGAATGAAGGTGTTAAGAGATTATAGAGCGAAGAGTTGTGTCCTTCAGACGATAGAATTGGTGATGGGTAGGCATACTTCTGAGAAGGCGTGGAAAACAGTGGTGCCATATATCTTGGTTTTGTATCATTATGAAGCCACTGGAAGGCAGAAGTCGTTGCGAACATCTTTTTATTGGGAAAAAAAGTAAAACTAAGTCAATTGAAGTTGATGGAGATTGTATCAACCAGAACTCAACTATCAGCAAATGCTCGTCGATACTGCCGAATTGTTAAAGTTGGGTTACACACGTGATGAGTTTGGAGCCCGTGGTTTAGCCGGTCATCTGATATCATTTCAACAATCTATTGGTTGTGCAGTTTAATTGAAACACAAGAGGCACATCGACGACAACGGCTTGGTATTTACGACTTATTACTGTGACTGATCGGGCCAGAACCCTGTCATCGTCTCCCAATATCCCCAATATATGCTAATGCTTGGTTCTCCCCCGAAATACAGCTTCTCCCTTTACAAACTTTCTACGCTGAGGTCTCCACATAAGCCAGATGCGATATGGTTCTGGCCTGACAACTTCCCTCAATTCTGCGAGTTCTTCTTCGTCACATTCTGTAGTAGGTGGTACTCTAAGGAAAGAAGGAAGGGCGAATAATGACGAAAGCATAGGCTTTGTACAATTCGTGCCCGTCACCGGTTGACTCGACGAATGCCTCAAATACATTTCCTCTGCGAGCTTGCAACCCCATGCATCATCAAATTACCTGTGCCTATACGACGATGCTCTGGATCCACGAAGCAGTAATTCAGAATTGAGATCAGGGGATCAAATGAGGAGTCATTCCACAAGAGTTGTAATGCATTTCATAATGATAAGAAAGAGAAGCAGATGTTCCCTACGCAAGTGTGGGCGGCTCATGACCGAAGGGCGACCTCCAAAAAGAACCCAAGTGTATGGTCAGAAATAGTCTTCAGTGGGCTTGTTTGTCATGCATATTCTGAGTCAGAATCCGTAAAATTTTATGGTTCTATTAGCAACAATGCGTTACACCTGCTGGCCCCCAAGTCACTGTGATAACAGGCACTAGCGTTGCAAATGGATTTTCCGTGTGAACGATCCATTCAGCACCTAGAAAAGAGACACAAAACTCATTTTTCGTATTTGACGGGGAACCTGATGCGTAAAAGACTACTGGCTAGCTTGTCTCTGTCTTTGACCGTGAGCCAGGGCTGTTTGGATTGCCTGCGTGCCAAGGTCATTTTCTTTCAACACACTCCTCGCTGCCGGCACCTTTGAGAACTTCCCAAAGGATGTTGAATGGTGCCAATAACGAGGCTACTGGCTCCCACATAGAAGTGGCAACGGCGACTGTTACGAAGTCAAACGGGTTTCCGGCGCTGATCGAGCGAATAGACAATGGTAAGGCCAGTACCTCACCTCACGATCGAGATGGTGACGATGTGGATGTTAGCGATGAAATACTACGACGAGTCAATGTTATATCACGCGTTGATTGAATAAATTGGTATCGAACAACAAGCATGGGTTTCACGAATTAGCATCGAACAATTGATGTTGAATGTGTGAGCTGACACTGGAGAACCAAGATAGGTTGTACAAATCGAGCTTGAACAAAGATGACATGCAATTTGAAGTGAAATATTGAGCCCCCTAGTTTGAGAGCTCGAAAAAGTTCGCTATCCTTTAGTTAAAAGATTGACAAAACACTTTGTATGAGGGAATGTTGATCCCCTCTTTTAGACCAGTAGAGCATTGCATCAGGTTAAAAACTGGTCTGTGAGCGGTGGACATTTGCATCTTTTTTGAACGATCACATCAAAGTCGATGACATTATTTCTTTGCTTTGTTAAGACTGCTATCAATTGTAATCATGGTAGGTCGAGTGCATTGAATGCAACAGTCCTTGCAACCCATTTTCTTAAGACACTGTTCCACAAGCCAACGGGAAAATTTTTCTCAATGCATTGAAAAGTCCCACCTTACAAATCATTTGCATTCCGTACGACTCGCCTGGCAGGAAACCCCAAATCACGTTATCACATAAGGAAGAATGATTGACTGAAAAGTTCCTCAATTTCACTGATATCGCTTGTCATAACCATCCCTACCGGTTCTTCACATGTGAAACCCTAAACCGCGGCAGACAAGGATACTTCCCCAGATTACCCCGCAGACATGTGTTCCTGCAGCATGCCTAGCATGTTTATTCTTTATGATATCCGTCCGAAAATCAAACTAAGCTTTCAATGCTTTTCTACCGAACGGACTTCGCAGGGAATTGGCTGCGGGTGACTGGTCATCGATCCTGTTCATTTGTACTTCCCCTCATCACATCATTACTGTTTATGATAAGCACCCACCAGAAAATATTGAAGGATTTCGATGCGTCCAAAGTGCCTAAAAGCTGCAGGTATCTTTTGTATAGTTGGTTGCCGATCGATATACATAAGAAAGTGAGAGGTAACAATGCATTTATCCGATCAGGAATATATAATACGGATACGTATACACGTCTAAAATCATAGAAAAGTTCCTGGAAGCTATTCTCATAATCATCTACCTTTAATTTGACATACTTACGTCCAGTATTTCATTCAGAATGCGTCTCACTATCCTCCCCGTGTTCTTCCTCGCCTCCAAAGTCCTTTGCGATGGCCAAGCAATCGTAGATGCCATTTCAGAAATCTCAAATACAACCACCTCTCTCAACCAAACCGTTTCTAGTGTATGTCCCCTTTCCCCTCACACTTCCCACTATTATCATATCCTATCCATCCCTCCCTCCAACTAACTCTCTCCCCCCCTCTCCTCAGTGGTCCGGCAGCCTTCTAACCTCCTTCCCCATCGTCACCCTCTCCGCCAAACTCCTCATCGACATCAACACCGGCACCTGGGTCGCTTCCTCCTCCGCAAATCTCACCCTCATTGAAACCATCACCATTGCCACCGCGACGCAAAATCTCGTCACAGTCGTAGAGGGAACTCTCGATACGATCGTATCTGCCAAACCAAAATTTGATAAACTACTTTTCAGTCCGCTTATCTTGTTAAATCTGGTGGAGGAGAAGAGTGCGACAGACAGTTTCAGCGCGAAGATCATTGAGAAGATTCCGGCAGCTTTTCAGGAAACGGCGAGGTTTGTTGGATTTTATGTCATATTTTTGAAGTTATATTTTCTTTAGAGAGTTTGAGAACTGATTTTTGATAGAACTATTGTGGCGCCTGTTGATACGGCGTTTGATGCGGCTATTTCGGATTATAAGTTGTTATGAGAGAAATGAATAATGACGGAGGAAATAGTGATTGACGAATTGGCAAAGGGAAATCGGAGGGGACGGAGGGAATGAAGAGAAGATGGGGCGAAGCGGTGGTTGCAAACTTCTTAGTTGAGCAGAAGAGATTCAATGACGAACACCGATTATCTCGAGAAGGAAGCTGCATATAAACGGTAATGAATATTATCTCTGATACAATGGGTGTTCACCACAGAATACCTTCAAACCCCCTTCATTGAGAGTGAGAAGCGACCTTAAGACCAGTATCGAATCGATCTCAGGTGACGTTATTTAGTGATAGCAACATTGATAAGTTACGGAACACTCCTTGCGCATGCCTAATGAAAGCATCGTGTATGCATTCATCCATTTCAATTTCCTAGACTGAATTCCATCCCTCTATCTCTCGCGTCCATATCATGATGTTGGCATTCACTAGTCAAATCTGCACACAATACTCCTCCTATTCAGCACTTGCGGGACCTAGCTTCTAGAATTCATCATCGTTGGTATAAAATCTCATATCCATACTTGATCAATGCACTCAATTATATTCCAATAATATTAACATTATCACGTACATTAAACCGATGGCCAATTTTTCCTTCACCATAGATCGTCCCGGAATTCCCCACGTCCAACTCTCGAGGTTCAACCAGCTCTTCTACATCTCCTAACCCTAATCCCAATCCCATATCCATTTCTCTAGTCTCTCGTCTTTCCCTCCGCTCATCCAGCCCCCTCGCAGCTGTCATATTCTCGTCAACAGAATACGCATCCATCTCCACTGGCTCTACATTAACACTGACATGTTTCTTCTTCACCAAATCAACATAGGATCTCGTCGCAGCCTCCGATTCAGTAGGTACTTCGGCTTTAAACTGACGTTCTTCATCCCAAGAATCATTATCATCTGCGATTTCTTTCGTAGTGAGCTGTCTCTTTGTTCGAGGCGTGGATGCTAGATAGCGGCGACGTCGGATGAGTATAAAGGCAATGACCATAATGAGTGTTACGCCGAGGATTATGCTGACGGAGATGCTGATTTTTATTGTGTTTGTGAGAGAATCGGAGGAATTGGATGCGAGTTGAGTGCTCACTGGCGGAGTCGAAGCTGAGGCCGCTTCTCCATTTGCTGCAGTGGGATTAGATATTTCAGTGGGCGAAGTGATTGAACTTGTGTCGGTCGAAGTAGCCTGACTGTTAATTACGCTACTTGTATTGGTAGAAGAGCCAGCAGGCATTTGACCGAGTGTGAATGTCGGACTGTCTATTTCGGGTTGAGTATTATCTGAAGGAACCCAAAATATCTTATAAACTCCAGCTCGAAGTGAATTATCCGGAGTCCAAGTCAATGAGTTTCCCGATGTTGCAACTGCGATTTCTACCGTCAGTCTTGTGTAATATATTGATAATGCCTGGATTGTAACACACCTCCTATCGATACTGCACCGGCTAGCGAAATATTTTCATTATAATATTGAACGGGTGCTAGATGGAGAGTAACGGAGCCGGCTGAATCAACCCAAGTGATCGTAAATTGCTGTCCTAATACGGGATTAAAGGCCGTGTTCGTGAAGTGAAATGAATGAACTAGACTTGCAAATGCAAGCAATATTAATTGCAAAGAAACATTATGAAATACCCGCATAGCGAATGCTACACGGAAAAGGGATAGGAAAACAAAAGAGTGACGATAACAAAACCTGGAGAACAATAAACTCAACTTTAGGTTCTTATATTTATTTACGTGCTTGGGATTCTTTGCGGCAAGGTCAAGTCAGTGTAATATTTTAGAGCCACTTATGGCGGTACATGACATGACAATCCTTTTACAATGATGGCCAACCACGATGCAATGGATTTCTGGCATGCGCTCTGCGAACTATTAAAACATTAGGAAAGATCAGAGGGTGGTGTAAGATACATCAGAACTGGGTAGGAATGCATCTTTGAGGCCACAGAAGGAACACGGGAGATTAATGGAGTGAGATTGGCAGGCTACGCAACTCGTTTAATCCTCTGGTTCATCTCGTTACTGCAATATGCTGACGTGAATAGAACATTTGTGGGTGCGTAAGGCTAGAATGTAAGACGCGTTAGTTGAAAGGATTTCAGTCGTAAAGACTGTATATCTGAATGGTACTAATAAATAAGACATGAGCTTCACCTTATATGATTCTGAGCTTCACGAGTGAGTTTTTGTTGAAATTTACAGAATGGAATTCACACATTTATACAGATCAGAACAACCAACTAGTATGTATTCAGATTTATAGCAAATCAAAGCGTAGAAGAACGATAAAGATCTTTAAATGGTGAGAAGCTTATTAACTGATTAAATTGATCAAGAGGAAGTGATGAGTAAGATGAGGATTTGTTTCTACCCGTGTAAACTGGATCACGTGAAATCCATTTGATGCAACTGACAACTCGTCTTAAGATTCTAGTTCAATAACCTGAGATACTTTCAGATCAATTCAAATAATCAAGCCCTATTTCATGAAGTCTACTTGGAGAATTGAGTCCAACTGCTTGAAGTTTATTTGCAGAATCGAGACCGATTGGTTGAAGTCTACTTGGACATTGATCAATCCTGTCTCCGTTTGATATCACGTGATCAGTCAAACTTAAATGGCAATCAAAATGGGAACATCAGATGAACTTATTCTCTGATGGAGCAAAACAAGCGTTGGTTTTCATTCTTGCACCCTCAAAGCTTGAGAAGGGGCCTTTAAAGCTTGGTTTCTGACATTCCATTGATACAATGACCAATTGGCTACTTGATCTACATCTGGTAGCTGTTGAAGAATATTACTTTTCAGTAGACTTGCAAACACAGCTTATGCTATCGCAAGATTAGCCGAGGACATCAGATAGCCCGCGGTGGGTACAACACCATGGCCTGTAGATACTTAACTTGCTGATAGTGCAAATTCAGCTGCCAGTAGAGAAGGTTGGCTCCCAAGTTCCGTGCAAGCTCCAGCGAGAATTTCAAAACCTGCCCGTTTCTTTCGAGTTGTGGGATACAATGTTGTGAGAAGACCGCTCCCTATGACCGGAAGCATAGCACCCACAAGCGTGTATCGATGATGATAACGAAGGTTACTTATTAGTACTGTCCCGATAGTTCCTGCCAGGATACAAGATGCAACCAGCGGGATAATACGATATCCGGATTTGAAAGGTGATTTTACGTCAATCAAGAGTAAAAAGATCACAGTGATAATGTATCAATGCGGCAAAATCCAAGCTATAATGTCCGTGAAGCCCCGCTCTGTCGAAACCCTCAGAGAAAGCAAGGATAGAAGAACTCGTTCAGAATCGCATCACTGACCTGTTGGCTAAGCTTTTACAAGCCCCATTGGTCCCAGCTGTTGGGTGCCTGCCAAGTCTGTTGTGCCGGCGACTCGTGCAGACATACCCCGACTCGCTTACATCCATGTTGTTGCTTGCCTTCTCGACAATGCATTTGCCTTACACTTTGATAATACAAAAGAATTCGAGCAAATAGTGACGGAGATGCTCGAAGATCAAGTCGATGACCCGAATTAGCAGCATATCAAAGTTATTGACAAGAACACGAACAAGATTACTGCCTGGGCCTCGTGGAATACTCCAACTGATGCAGAGATCCGAGAACGAGATGAAAAGGCCGAGGCGAGGATCTCAGCTTCGACAAAGGATTTGGCTAAAGGCGAATTCAACTTCCCTCCAGGTTTGCCAATGTTCGTACAGGCTGAAACCAATCGATGGCTAGAGAGATGGAGTAAAGGTCAACGCCCCATTCTTTGCAAATCTGTTTTTACAGAACCTACTTTTCATGGACGTGGTATGGGTAATGCTCTCGTTGTATACGGCAACAACTTGGTAGACCAAAAGGGGTTACCCGTCTTCATGCAAGCTTTGCCTTTCGGCTTTTTACTTTATACGAAGCATGGCGTCGAGACCGTACAGTATTTGGATGTGAATCTCAGGGAGTGGGCACCAAATGCCAAGGGTAATGATAAAGGTTATGGAAACTACGAGTTCCGCTATATGCAAAGGCTTCCACAAACGCTCCCGAAATTTATCTGAGGGCTTGAGAAGCATGTCAATTCTGGAAGTACGCTTCGGTACTCTCTCCTTTCAGATGAGGTGTATATTTCCAGGAAGATCACTGCTTCACGATAGGCTTCTCGCCTACTCGTATTTCTTTTCCGCGAGATAGTAATGATAACTAATTGCAAGGCAAAACAACAGTGGAACGGAGTAGCTGATAGGAATTGAGACAACGCTTTGGAAATGGTAGACGATTGACGAATATACAAATATGTTTGAGCCACACTACAAAAAGTGAATTCACTTACAAATTCGACAGGAGATAATATGGGTATGTAATTCACAATAAACAAATACATATTGACAATGAAAAGACTCATTCGAGAGTCCTCGGTGGATAAAGTGACGAACGAAGGTCATGAACTTAAACATTGAGGGGTTCTCAATCCGCAATACCTTCCTTAAAGTCTCCATTTCCTGACTAGAGGTAGAAGAGAATTATACTGTGACCTGATAGTATCAAGGTGTGTAATCTTTAAAGTCCTCTTGTAAACCATTCGATGGATCAAAGTTTGTTTCTGGACCACCGCTTGGTGCAGTTCCAATTTCAGTTTACAGCTGCGTACACGTCTGAGCATAGCGAAATCATAATCCCATTTGTTTACGTTCACCAAACAAGTGAAGATAATTCTGGACAAATGTAAAATTATCCGAGTAAAATTTACCCACGATGTTGAAGATGAATTTTCGATGCTTCATTGCTGGTATTAGAGTGGTTTTCAGAGATGATGTTCATTGCAGTGGAATAGCGATTGATGTTCAGGCGTAAAAAATAGACTAAGGCATGTGCGACCGCACGCCAAGATCTCAACTCGATAACCTTCAACACCTCTTTATACATTATGAGGGGAAGTATTTCAACGACGATTAATATTAATTATATACCACGAGAGAATGGGGAACTTGGCATATACAAGGTCAATAATACCTATGCAACCATTTAGATCTATTCTCAATTTAAAGGCATTTGACGCCTCATAGTAAGTCTTGTCTTGATTTTACATGTACTCGTTTTGGAACGTATCAGCTCTTTTCCACTTGAACAACAATCACCTCGAGCAAATTCGCCCTCGATTAAATCGCTCGCAGACACCAATTCCAAGTTGAGATAGCGGTTATGAGACTGCGTATACAATTGCGCGAGTTCACTTAACCTTCGACGACTCCTGCGCCTGATACCAATGTGATGAAATCTACGCTTGGTGGATGGGACAATAAGTTCAGTCAGATGCGATGAGGATATTTTGGGTCCGGATCCGCAAACGAAGTCGCTGAAGTGGCAAAACTCAACTCGAGAAACGAGGAAAGAATAACTCTGTTCTTCTGGATACTGGCCAATCCACAACCCTGTCTTGTCCGTGGCTCAGTCGATCTGTCGAGAGCGGGCAGTGAGAGTTTTCGATGATCGGACATACACTCAATATTGTTACATGCAAAGGATACACAATCAGCTTACCGCCATATTCACGGCATACCTGGGCAGAATGTGAACGATCTCGGCGTAAGAATCGGTTGTCATTACTAGATATCCATGTCTGACTTTGGTGCAACTTGTTACGAATGGGTTGACGATGTTCCTCATGCTTCAACATGAAAAGACCCAACACCACAACCAACGGCGATGGGAGTCTCGTCTGTATATCTATATATATGTGGGTGGCACTTCCAAGATATTGATCTATTCCACATGGCGCCCTCAGGTATATCTTTACGTGTGTAGGTGGTCAAGGTAGGTGGAGGAAAAATGTTGACGACATTTTGGAACTTATATGGTTTATGCAGAAACTCGACTTAGTCAAGATCACATTCGTATTGACGGTCGCCACACATAACCGTAAAAAGACATGAAATTATAAATTTTGTAGAGCCGGTCTTATCGAAATTGACTGCCACAACATAATATCAAGTCTCACGCATCAATCATGTATTCATCACCGCTCAAGAAAGATCTGAAACTTCTTCAAAGTTCAAAACAAAATAGAAATCAATTTAAATATCAAATAATCAATTTTCAATATCTTCATTGCCAATTCAATTGCCTTCAGTGGAAAATTTCATGTTCCTCAAAAAAAACTTGATGTTCAGGCATTCAGGCCATCACTAATAAGCGAGGGTTGAATTTCACACAAACCCTTTAGCGCCTCAAGAATATTCGAGTGGAAACTCTATCAACTTGAGAAAATTCACCGACGTCGACAACTTGTAAATTTAACCACCACCGCCAACTCCACAAATCAGCCATCGCAATCATGTCTGAAGGAGAAATCGAAGTCGAGGCCGTTTCCGGCTACCAAGTGCTCCCAAAGGAGGTCACTGAGGAGATTGGAAGCATCAAGGTACAACCCAATTAAAATTCATCGATAAATGGGAATATTGAAGCTGACAATCTGCAGCTTTTCAACAAATGGAGCTACGAGGATGTTGAGATTCGCGACATCTCTTTGACGTAAGATTACCCAATGCGAATTATATGGGAAGGAGAAAATGATGGAATTGGAAAACATTCGACAATTGTTTTGGATGAGGGGAATTATAGGAAGAGCCAAAGGCTAATGCGATATTCTTCAACAGCGATTACATTCAAATCAGAGCCCCAGTCTACATCTCCCACTCCGCCGGTCGTTATGCGCAAAAGAGATTCAGAAAGGCCAACTGCCCAATCATTGAGCGTCTTACCAACTCCTTGATGATGAACGGTCGCAACAACGGAAAGAAGCTCATGGCTGTCCGCATTGTTGCCCACGCCTTCGAGATCGTACGTCCGACCACATTATGATGCATTTGCAGGAAATTCTAACATTCAAAATTATAGATCCACATCATGACCGACCAAAACCCAATCCAAGTTGCCGTTGATGCTATCGTCAACTGTGGTCCTCGCGAAGATTCCACCCGTATCGGATCCGCCGGTACCGTCCGTCGTCAAGCCGTCGATGTCTCCCCTCTCCGCCGTGTCAACCAAGCCATTGCTCTCCTTACCATCGGTGCCCGTGAAGCTTCATTCAGAAACGTCAAGTCCATTGCTGAGTGCTTGGCTGAAGAATTGATCAACGCTGCCAAGGGAAGCAGCAACTCCTACGCCATCAAGAAGAAGGATGAGTTGGAGCGTGTCGCCAAGAGCAATCGTTAAATGGTTATATTCGGGGATTTTCTGTGGGGTGTTTCAATTTGCATTATGGATGGATGGGCGATTGGCTGCATTTCTGTCACATAAACGACTTTTATGAATGCAAAAAGTCATGACACAACCGGAATAATGGATATATGCATTCAGTGATTTTGTGCCATCGGTTCAAGTGCACAAATTTGTATGGGACCATGAGCCTAGGATGGCTGTAAGGGCTGATCATATGCCATCTGGTGATTCTACAGAATTTTGATACCTCCAGATAAAAAGCAAATTTGATGAACAAATCCCGCACATTCCAAAGCTTCACAAGTGACATGTACGATGATTGACAGATGTTGCTAACGAATTCGCAGTCAGACCACTTCAGCTTTATACGTCAAATTATGCTTTCAGGAGTCTTCCATCTGCATCCCCGCCTGTATGAGGTTTCCATGGAGTTGACCCCAAAGGTTTGTGTCCGAGTTCCTTCCAAGATTTGCCAGTGAAAGTGATACTGGATAATGCTGGCTATTCTTTCCGCTATGCTTGGCGCGTATGGTAGTCTCAACCTAGAGTTGCAGTGTTATCCGGAGCCAAAGCACCCTCGCATTGAGAATATAGTAGTCTCGCTGCATCGGGGCTACTACCGCCCAGCTTTCAATTCCACTTTATCAATGATCGATGGCTGATGGTTAATTCCTGCGTAAATTCCGCCATCTTGCCCGTTTCGATCGGCAGGGGTCTTGGATTGTTGGGGAAGATGAGTATACTGTTGGTATGTGGTTTGAGAATGAGGGGCTTGATGGATTGATGACTCGAGTGTGGGTGGAGAACAGGATGTATGGAAGGAGGTAGGCATTTTATCGAAGTGGATGATTGAAGTTTGTATTGACGGACTCAAATGAACGCAAATAAGTGAACCCACAACGATTCATGAACAACCCTCCTGGGAAAATGGTCCAGTGGGTGCTGGAAATTTTTACATGATTCATATTGTTAGTCCGTCAGCAAACACATTTGCAATCCTGCACGAATGCTCAAAGTAATGGCTTGCGTTCCCGTGGAGTGTTGTGAATAGTCCCGAGGGCCCATCTATTGACTATGATATTCAACTGGACTGCTTGTCCTCCCTCTCTTATATTTTTTCACCCTACACACTATATCGATTACATGTATACATCGCATATCATTCCCAACACCGTGCAGATAACATCGACGCCCCTCCCCCCTTCCCGTCATAAGATGTGGCGAAAGTTTGGCAAAATCTGGAGTAGGAAGTTTATCAAGATTCCAGAAAGTATCAGGCGGATCAATTGACCTCCCATTTCTGGGGTTGGTTTGAAGAGCTACAAATGAACACTTCGCATTCTAATCAATGAAATGAAAGATCTTAGGTTCTTCAAGAGATGTAACAGTTATCCGGAAAGTTTTGAAAAGAGGGATGGGGAGTAGACTTCGTGGGTTTATACTATGTGGGCTATTTTTGTGTTTAATGAACATTCACTTGTATGGAAAATCTCCTCGGATGTAGGCGCTTCTTATTCTCATATTTTTGTGCGCGCCCTTCCTAGCTTTGTAATCTTGTATCCTTTGAGCCGCATATATATCCCCATATCTGACATCCCAGATGCTGGATCATATTGAGATTGTTTCATATATTCCGTGGTCAACCCAAACTCAACATCACTGATCCACTCAAGACACCATTTACTATGGTGGAATGAATCATTCAGCTCATACAGATTCATGCATTACCTGTTGTGCTTGGTTACACTTCCAGGGTAGAGGCTGGAAATTTGAGATGGAAAACTTGAGAGAGGAGGTATGAAAGGATGAAGTTGAAGCCGGTGAGTTCCCAAGATTGAACATATGATACAGTGATGCTCTGGGGAAGTTGGCTATGTTGAGAACAGGAGGGAAGGGTATTGTGAGAATTTTGGGAAAGTTTTACTGGAGTTTCGAATGGGATCGTGAGGAATAATATGGTTGTAAATCTGGCTTTTTGTTGTAGCAAATCATTTCAAACTCCTCTTGCTATGCGTGAATAATATATGCATACTATGTCTCTAGCATGCATCACCGAGAGAGCATAACAAAAAAATTCAGTAATCTGAATGAGTACTATCAGGAACATACAACTTGAAATTATCGTTCAAATTGACTGTAGAGGAGGGATGAATATAGATGATGACGAGCCAAGCGACGTTCATAAGCTGTAGATAACGGGAGAGAATTGGGACACGAGAATAGAACGAGCATCATTGATTTGATTTGTGAAGAGGCATTTGGATGTGCTTTAGTGGTTGCGGTTGAGATATTCTCATACCTTTCCCTCGGGGCGGAAACGAAGACTGAATGAGCGATGTTATTCAGAAGAGTGATATACTTACTAGAAGGGGGTTAAACGACTGCAAAATCTGATGGATACACAAACATTGTGTATGAGTAGGCCGCCGAAACTTTTCTAGCTTTTCCACAAATAATTCTGAACATCAAGTCCGGAGATTTAAGATACAACAATTCAAAAAGACAGTTCAGAGATATCAATCTTGATCATCAGATCTAATGCTCTGAAACGTGATGGCTAAGAAGAAACTTTTCATGATTCGCTATTATGGATACAATAAAACAATACCCAATTCAGATTACCAACGTTTCGCTGATAAAACTCCATGACGAACTGACAAAAAGAAAATACATTCCACGACTCTATCCTAACCTCCAATGATCACTTCTTCAATTGCTTCTCCTTTGGTTCCTCCAGTTTATTTCTGAGCTTCAATCTGATTTTAGTGGTGGGCGTGTTCGATACAACAGCTTTGTCTGCATTAGTAACGTTACTTGTTGATACGCCTGGTACATCTTTCCGTGCCTGTATGCATATTGATCAGCTTCAGCTGATAGAGGTAAATAGCTGTCTGGGTCTGAGTAGAATTAATAGCGTACTGAAAATATGCAATGCACTATTTTACCCGATGAGTTCAATACATCTGGAACATGGTGGATGTCTGCCACATTCTTTTCTACGCTTATGACAAGGAAGACAGGCAGGCAAAGAATGAGACTTCATTGTAGTCGAGGAAGAAGCCATCCGAGGTTCGTCAGGCTCGTCGGAATCCAGGAAATCCTGTGCGGCAAAAGAGAGTCTTTTCGGCAATGAGATAGCGGCAGGCAGATCCAAGTCAGGCTCAGGTTTTGGGAAATTCGCGACGGCATAGAATGTTTTTGAAGGCGGATTGGAATCAAGAAGATTTAGTTCTGCTTCAGCTTCCGAGGGAGCCCTTTCCTGGAAGATATTCGGAATACACGTCCTCAAAAGTCTATCTAATTCGGGTTCACATTCATTCACTGCCCTGTCGTAGAAATTCTCATGAGGGTCTGAAGAAAAAGTATCTTTCAAAAGTCCCTGGAGTGGGAGTTGTAATGGATGACCATTGGGAAACAGAAAGAAGGCCTTCAGAATATAGTTAGAAGGATGCAATCACTTCGATTATCTTTCAAAATAGTTGATTGGACTAACATGCTTCTGGAGGTCATCCGTGAAAGCATTTATGCTTTAAGCGGGACCAGCAGGATGTGAAAATGTGAGCGGAATGATAATGGTAGTTCTGGGACACATACAACGATTCTTTTCGTAAATGTATCTGCACCCTTAAGCAGTGCTTCTCCTCTTCGGAAATGTTGAGGAAAAGGCGAGATGTCTCCCAAATACTGACATGTGATCTCCTGATCCGGTGGAAATACTTCAAGTGGCGGATACTTTGACCCTTGGCCTTCGTCATCCACCAAAAAGCTTTCGTAGCCACTTTCCTCCATAATGTACTTGGGAAACTCGTTCAGTACTATCGGCCTAAAAAGATACTGTTATGCCAAACGATCCAAAACAAAAAAACGCAATGTTGATGTTGTCGAGGGTGATGAATTAGTGTATATTGCTTGTGGATGTATCGAGTAGATCTTGGTGTGTCTTTCAGATTGATGAACACATAAGTTATTGTCTCTTCGCGCCTTCTAGATTGCGGTTGGAGACTTGCACCTTCTCTTCGAGCACTTTGCACGCGTGTAGATGAAATGAGGATGACGAGAACACCCTTTGCATACAAATCATGTTGTAACGCAATGCTCATGTCGACTTTGACAGAAATGGGAAACGAACGGATGTTATATATTTCGCACCAACTTCACAAGTCATCGTTGTTAATGCAGAAGTTCAGGGAGTTGGCTGAAGCCCACGATACTGCAGATTGATGAAGCTGCATGATTTGCTTTTGATTAATTTGTAATACGACCAATAAATTAACAACCAATGTTTCCTCTCTTTCCACCTCTCTTAGTTCTGTCAATATGTCCTTTAAGCACCCTCCTAGTATGTTGCAAACTTCTCTTTTGCTTACTCTTAGCCTTACCCAACGTCATCATGAAATTCTTCTTTCGAGATTTTTCTTGATTGGTAGTACTCTTGCCCTCGGCATCCTTCTTCGACCTCCTAATTGCCTTGGTAGACTTATGCTCGCTACGCTCACCCTTTCCTTCCCTAGCCATTGCTATCTTCTCTTCTCTTGTATTCTTTTGTAACTTCGAGAAACCTTCAATTTGATCAGCTGTCAAGGCATCATCCGCATGTCTTGCAGCTGCGTCCTTCATTCGTTGAGATTGTGTCCTTCCTCCCATCGCTTTATTTACGCTAGCCTCAAGACGGAGCTCCTGAAGCTTTGCAAGATCGGCTGGAGTGAGAATTTTGGTGGTTGCATATGTGGAGATCTTCTGTTCAAGAGCCTTGTCGGCAGCCTCCTTCTCGGCATCTTCTGTTGATGTTTCGGTGCCGTCAGCTGGCTTTTCGCTAGATTTAACTTCGAGCTTCGCTTTCTTCGCGGCAGGCTTTTCATCTTCACTGTCACTGATCTCAATTTCACCATCGCTCTCGACGTTGATCCAACCACCCTCATCACTATCAGCATCAGATTCAACATCCCATGCATTCCAATCCTCCTCATCGTCCTCTTCTTCATCCGTGCCCAATTCTTCCGGCAATCCACGTTCAACTCGTTTTCGTTTCCTTTCGTCTTCCTTCCACTGCTCAAGTAGTTCGATACCTTCGATACCGCCGGCTTCTTCTTCACCAAAGCGTCTTTCTTTGATTAATCCAGTCTTGAGACCCATGGTCGCTGTCTTTCCTCTATCTCTCTTCTTCAACATATCTGCTCCGACTTCACGGTACAAGGACAACAATCCTTTCGCTGCCATCATTGTTCCCTTATCCTTGCTCTTTCTGTACATGATAAGATCTTGTAGAAGTGTATCATTCATAGCTAATGGTTGTCGTACGCAAATTTCTCGAATAGCATTCAGTCCGGAAGCAGCGACCTCCGAGGCAGAAGCTTCAGAGACGAACTCATTGGCAATCTTCTGTACCAAAGGTTCTAAAGCATCGGGTGGAACAAGATTGTGTGTTGCTTGAGCTAGAGATGCTAAGAATGAAGTTACAGATGGTTGTCGTGGTGTAAGGTACTTAGTAAAGTACGAGTATAATGAAATTACAGTAAGCTTGTGCAAGCCAACAAGTCGCGAAACCAATTGTAGGACAATCAGTTTTTGTTCGAGGTTGAGTTTCGACTTTGAGTTTTGAAGGTGTTTTGAAAACAGGGTTTCGGCGAAACCTTGGGGATCGTGCAAGAGATGCAGGGCGGAGAAATTCAGTGGATGGGGTGCTTTGCTCTTCTTTTCCTTCCTTCGTACCTTCTCGACGGCCTTTTCCAATGTTTTCGTCTTCTTCTTTGTTTTCTTGTTAATTCCAACTTGATGCTTCAGCTTACCAATATCAATGGCTTCTTCGTCACTGCTTTCGTCCTCCATTTCTTCTCTCTCCTTGTCACCTCCCAAGAAAAACCGTACGCCACCACCAATAACCTTCTCATTATCTGACAAACTAGCTTCCTTCATAATTTCAACAGCTTTCGCATCTGTCCAGATCTGTCGTTTCCACAATTCTCTTGTAATCTTGACAGCCCAAATTCCTTTGGAAGATGTTCGGTCGGAGGTGAGTAAATTGAACAGTGCTGTTTGCATTGTTCGATTGAGACGATGGTTGATACTCTTCGAATTTGAAGTACGGAGATCTGACAAGATCTTCTGGAATAGCAATGTTCGAAGAGTTTTACTAGGCGTAGCTACCAATATTGGAAACAATGTATTGAGAAGATTGGCCGAATCAATCACTTCCTTTCGTCGCAATAATACCAGACTACCAACGATCTTCTCACGCAATTCGCTCTCAAGTTCGGCATGGTGTAAGGTCAAAATCTGCTTGAGATCCTCTGGGAATTCTGCGGTATCTTCTGGGAAACAGTCTGAACAATGCGCGACGAAATCGATGAGGTCGTGAAATGATACGATGCCGCCGGATGTCGCAGTGGAAGGAGAAGACATAAAAATGTCTCTTTGTGCTTGGTACTGTCCATATTGATTTAGGAAGTCTTCTGCGTATGATCTGGTATACTTGTTAGATGATGATTCCATTACTCAGTGTAGGAGACATGTAACTTACTTTGGATCTCTTCGAATCTTGTATTGTAAATTTGGACTATAGAGGTCAGCAATGATTAGTAGAAATATACCAATTGAATACTTACAGATCCGCATCAACCTTCTCCAAAGCACCAACTCTCTTTTTACCCATAATGCCGGTTGGATGCTGTCCGATTTTGAGTGTTCGATTCTGCCTTCTCACTGAATTTCACATGGGTGAGATAATTTTTTTCGTTATCATTATCTTAGCTCCAGTCGCTTAAGTGACTAGTGGTATCAAGAGGGCGTGTGAGAATTGATTAGTAAGGTGTTTGAATATGAAATAACTGAGGTTGGCAAACTCTTCAACCACATGCCTTTCTATTGGTTCACATATTTGCCAACTCACGCTCGCCCAAGAAGTTTATATCATTAATCACAGCGACGACGTGGAATTAATCCATGATGGTTCATCTAACGTTATCAAATAACATCCAAGTGGCTACCACACCTCGTATATATTCAGTTAGCGGCCGCATCAACGCGGAGCACGTAGCTAACAATGACTGCATCGATCCCCAATATTATCATGAGCCTCAGCTCGCGTCAGCAATCCGAGACCTACCGAATTTGCAAGATGGCCCCCAAAGCATCTCATTGGTTTCCGATGCCAGTCTCCAGCTTCTAATGGTACCACATAAGTTTGTGGTGGGTCTTCGGAGTCACTCTTTGCTACGACTACTGCGAGTAATTTCAGGATTTTTATGATGGTGATATCACGGTTCGTTTGAAAGGATCAGGTTTTGGTGAAGTCGTTGTTCAGCCATTATCGTGCCCAAATACTATATAACTCCTACCCAGTGGCAGGTGATCAAAGAGCCCATAAGTCAATGCAAACCCTACCCATCTTCGTTCTTTTCATGTCCCCCTTCATCTACCCTTATCGGTGGTAATGAATTCTCCCACAGATTGTCCATTTATTTCTGCGAAAATGTCTGATGCAGATCCATATATCCTTACAAAGCTCTCTGAGCATGTGTCACAACATCTGAACAAATCACTTGATCAAGCCGTAGAGAATCTATCTTTGAGACTTCAGGACACGGCTAAAGATGCTATCGCGGATACTAGAGAAATCAATACCATTGTTGACCAGGCGGTCAGAGAAGCCGTTGAGAAGGCATTCGAGAAGTCTGTGGTAACGGAAGTTGAGCCTCCTTCGATACAATCAGAGTTCAAATTCCCACCTCCCCGAAATTCCAATTTCGTGGGCCGCTCTTCAACTCTGGCGAAACTACTCAGCCTATGGAAACCAGATCAAAAGAGTCGATTGGCAGTAGTAGGGCTTGGAGGAATAGGGTATGTTGTTTGCCCTAAATAATTCCAATGCCAAAACTCACATCCACAGGAAAACCGAGCTCATTACTGAGCTTGTCTACCAAATTAGAGAAGCATCACCCGCATCAATATATTGGTTTGGGCCTGGGAACTTGCTTGCACCTTCCGTCGACGGACATGAACCACTAGAAAATTGGCTGCGACCAGGACGGGACTCCGCAAGTTTGTTGGTGGTTGATGCCGGGGATAATTTCGATTTTCTGATGCAGCACACTGAGCATGGTAGACTGATTGACAGGCTACAAAGGTTCGAAGGTGCCATCATACTCATTACAAGGACTAAATCGAACGGGTGTCTCTTAAGTGGCCCCCACAATATCTTCGAAGTGGGATGCCTCGAGCTCGAACCAACAATGTGTTTATTACGAGACAGGTTGACCGTTGACCTATTCGATAGTTCAACTGACGAGCAACTTCGCGAAATCGCCCTTCTTGTCAATTGTCTGCCAAGAGCCATTGTCCAGGTCTCAAACTTACTCAACGATACTTCGATGAAATTGTCGCAGTTCATCTCCATATACCGAACAAATGATCAATTCAAACTACGACTGCTGAGTTCGGTGGCTCCGCTTTTTACAATATCGGAAGAAGAATCTGTTATTGGAAAGGGAGTTATGAATGCTAGACAATTTCGATCAACTTACCCTATGGCTGCTCGTATTCTTCACCATCTATATTATCTTGGTGGCAATGCAGTGCCACGTTCTATCATCTGCTCGTTGGTTGATCCTCTTGATCTCATTGTCGTAATGTGCATTTTGAAGGGGAATTTTCTCGTCACAGAGGACGATACTAGCGAGACATACAATATGCATCCCTTAGTCTTCTTGTCGCTCAAGAAGGTCATTACCGGCGAAAGATCAGAAGCGGAAGAATGTGAGATTGAGCAAGAGCTGGAATGGTACACACAAGCAGTTGTTGCCTTTGGGAATCATTACCCTGACTCAAATAGCAAGGATCGAGAATGGTGGAAAGCATGCTTCGAGCGCTTCCTTGGCGATGGAAGCAAGAACAGTGATTCTGTACGAATTGCGCTGGCTTTGGTCTACAACAAAGAATCCAAACATCTTGTTCGCATGGGCCTCTACAATGATGCTTTGAAGATGGCAACACACGCAGTTGATACCTTGCCTGAGGCAATACCCCACGAACATCTCAATGTACTTCAACATCATCTTTCGCTACTCGACCTACTAGCCAAGTATGGAGAGCTTAGAGATGCTTTGCAGACGTATACTGAAGAACAGCCAGATGAGTTGTGGAAGAAACGCGTTGAGGGCATCCTGTACTTGTCAGAAGGTACCAACAAAGCCGATGTCGTGGACCTCTTCCGCCAGATTCGCCGTACGAAAGAGTCCATGAATGCTCCGGAAAGTGATTTATGTACCAGCATTGACGACTATGGGGCGGCTCTCATGCTGATTGGCAATTACCAAGCTGCTGAAATAGAATTTTCGACAGCTTTTAGGAAAAGGGCAACATTTTTAGGAACCAATCATCCCGACACTCTCATCAGTTGCCAACACCTTGCAAATGTACTGCATAAGTCTGGCAGGTTTAATGATGCCCTTAGATTTGTGGAAGGTGCTATACGTGGAAGCCAGATGTCTCAAGGCGACGAGCATCCTCAAACTCAATACATTAAAAGTCTTAAAGCACGGATTTTACTGTCCAAAGCCGTTTCTTCCTCCGATTACAATGAAGTTGAATCTCTTCTTACCAACGCCGCCGAAGTTCTGACGACTCATCTATCTGACTCTCATCCTCTGGTTCTAACTTGTCGGAGCAACATTGCGCTAGTGATGCTAGCACAAGGGAGATATGATGAAGCTTTAACCATGAACCGTGCTGTTTTGACCGCAAGAGAACATGGTCCATGGTTAGATCGTGAGCGACACCCGGACATACTGACGAGTCGACATCAGATTGCGGAATGTCTAAGGCTCAAAGAAGGATGTCATGCTGCTCAGAGTTTAAGTTCTCAAGTTTTGGTCGATAGAACGCAGATATACACCGAAGGAACTTTTGAGAGCGATGACTTTCATCCCGAGCAGCTGACGAGTCTCCACCTCCAAGCTCTCATCCTTGCTGGCCTTGGTCAGCATAGCGGAGCTCTCCACAAGATGGATCTTGTGTTGATCGGTAGAAAACGCGTTCTTGGAGAGTCACATCCAGATTACCTCAACAGTCTCACCTGCCGAGGTGAAATTATACGTGGGCAGCTCCCTCTTGAAGAAGGGCGAGAAGAGATGTTGGACACTATCGATGCGCTTCACGGAAAAGCTTTGGAGGGCCTTACTCGAGTATTTGGTTCTCAGCATCACTGGACACTTCAGTGCCTATCTTACATGGCAGCTGCAAAGCGTGAACGCGGCGATGCATTGAGTTATACCGAAGCCGCCGGGCTGTATCGTCATATCTCACGAGCTTATGAGGGAAATATGGGTGACCTCCACCCTGAAACCGTCAGAGCGAAAGCCCATCTCGCTGAAGTGATGCACCTTTTGGGAAACCGTCCTGAAGAGGCTAAAAAGGTTTTCAGAGAAGCATGCGCTGGCCTTGCGAAGGTATTTGGATCAGATGCCCATGCTACTATCACGGCGTATAGAGGGTATGAAAAGTTTGCTAAGGATCTTTCCGATCCGATTTAAGGCTCTTAGAGGGTAATGATGGAAGGATTTTGAAAACAGCCTGGTCAAGGATTGTCAGAAAACACACACGTGAGATTACATCTACGGGAAGGGTAGCCCAGCGTAAACGATGTTCGAGTAGGCGTTATAATGGATGGATAGATATTTTGGATGGAGTTCTTTATTGATCCTTGTTCTCTCCTTGCTGGCTCAACTAGCAGGAGTAATTTACAGAAGCCTCGTCGGAGGCTGGAGTTCATGCACGAATTTGATAACGTTTCTTGTTGTTACGTCTATTTTTATTTTTGTACAAATTATAGTGTCCAAAAGGATAACACAGAGTGGTTTCAGGTGCCTGATATCGAATCATTCATACACGCGATCCAGTATTGTCCGTTGATGTTGCAAGATGCCATCATTGAAGATTTCAAACCTACCACTGTCAGCCTTTCTAGTTCAGCCTATTTGCGTTCCTGAAATTCATGCCAGCAAACACTCACACAAACGGGTCTTGTGCTACGCGAATCCAACCCAAGGCGCCACGTTCTATGTTATTCCAATGGCCAATCAATTTTTAGGGCCTTGCTTGCAGATTTCTCCATCATCTCCATCATCCTGTATTTTATATCTGGCGCATGTTTGCTTTAATTCCTATCAATCCCCAATTCAATTCAATTGATTCTTTTTTTTCTGCGTTACTGGCGCAATTTTCATTATGTTTAATTGAAACTTTCAGATTGTCCCTGGTGGAATTCGTACTGTAAATATGGCTCCAATAGCCTTTTCCATTTTATCCTCCCGTTCGTATCCAAACAAAGCCGCAAATTCCACATCCCCAATTATAAAACTTGTCACCCAACCTTCTGCCGCATTCTCTGCCTACACACTCTCTCCTACTCCACTTCCCACTCCCTCAAGACTGCCTCTAAAATCTCCAATCCCGACTGCGCTCCCCAATCTATTGCGTGAACAATTCTCCACCATCATAGTTGATGCTCCTACCACTACTTACACATCCTATATCGAACTCAACGATAATTCATTCACTTCTGGACCTGCTTCCCTCCCTGATTCGACTCCGATAAGTGATTCATATGCAGTGGAGACGCAGGCACCTCAACCCAACAATAGCGGTAGAGATATC